CCGGTTCACTCAACACCGTGTAAAACGCCGCCACTGCTGACACTCCCTGGAGAGAATAGACGAGCAAGGGGGTGACAGGGGGAGCAGAAAAATGGTGGACGCGGAATTGGGAAGAGCTGGATGGAGGCACGAGGTCCCTATTGATGGGGTGAGGCACCTTATAGGACGGGATTCACTCAGCGCTGTATGAAAGGCTGCCACTGCTGACACACCCTGGTGCGGATGGGAGAACAGAGGGAGAAAAATGGGTGTTGGCAGTGAACAAGGAGAACGGGGCAGGCAGAGAGCTGGATGGAGGCACGGGGTCCCTATTGATGGGGTGAGACACCTTATAGGCCGGTTCACTCAGCACTGTATGAAAGGCCGCCACTGCTGACACTACCTTGCCTTCCACCAGATCAACCGTTCTCGCCTGAATCAGCCCCTTGCCTTCCACCATATCGCCCATTTATGCTGTCAGCTTTCCCTTCCGCAAGCTGCTGCCCGTACCACGCGTTCCACCACTTCCACGAAACATGCTTCAATCCGCTAATTCCCCGAAAAAAACATCTTCCCTACTGCACTCCACCTATTCTTTCCAGTCTCACCTGAATGAGCCCCTTGCCTTCCACCATATCGCCCATCTCAGGCGTCAACTTCCCCTCCGCCAACTGCTGCCCGTACCAAGCGTTCCTCCCCTTCAGTAAAGTCACATACGTGTCCGCCAACAACGGCCCAGCAAGCCTTTCCGGCTCCTTTGTTAACACGTGTGTAACGAAGATCATCTCGCTCGTACTATGCGCGAAATACACCGATTTCGACGTCGCACTGTCCCGCGTCGAACCCGCAACGATCCCCGCTCCGATCGCATATACATTTTTTAGCCCACCCATGACTTCGTGGGTGACTAAGTCGCTGTTGTCCCAGACTATGAAGTTGCGCTGGCGGAGGAATGCTGCCATGGGAATGCGCCACGTGGCGGCGCCACATAGGCGCGCGTTGGCGTACTCTTTATTGTAAATCTCGGCTGCGATGTTAGGGCCTCCAAGATACAGTATGTTCTCCATAGGGACGCCAGCTGGGGATTGGGGTGGGGGGGAACAGGAGGCCGAAGGGAGGATGGGAAGAAAACAACAAGTTGATGTAGGGGCGGTCAACTTACAGTATAAAACCCTCAACTACAGCACTGTTTTAACAATGACCCACTTTCTCCATCACCAACCACTCGCTTCTCTGTTCAGCAAATCCCACTCACTCTCTTGATGAATCATGAGCGTCGGTGTCATGATGTGCGGCTCAGGTTCCATAGCAGCCTCCACGCCCTTGGCCAATGACACGATGACAGCTGGCGGCCGCCGTCTCTCCCGCCAGAAGAGCCCGATCTGGCGGAACACGGATCTGGTCTCGGTGGACGGCAGGCCGTTGATGATGACGTCAGCATCCCACACGGCTTCTTGCAGATTGGTCACCACGTTCAGCGGGCACAGGGGCGTGTCAGCTAGATTTACACAGAAGCCATCCCTAAGATATAAAAAAAGCAGGGAGGAGATTCGGGGTGTAAAGGTTGAATTTTTAAGGCGTCTCATGAAGCATCCCACACCGCTTCTTGCAGATTGGTTACCACGTTCAGCGGGCACAGGGGAGTGTCAGCTAGGTTGACACAGAAGCCGTCCCTGGAATTGACAGGCAGGGAGGAGGTCCGTGAAAGGTTTGGGAGACAATCGAGATAGCGGAAAATGGTTGGGGCTTTCGGAGTTACAAGAAAGCGGAGAAACAGAATGAGCCTCTCTGCCTATTGATGTTGCCCTTGTAGACAACTCTGGTGGAGGCTGGCATTACAAAATCAATCTGCACTAGAGGACCAGAACTCCAGAGTTGCAAGGAGCCAAAGCAGCTTGCGAGGTCATTATTGGTGGCAAGCGGCAATGAAGAAGAAAAACGGCCCCAAATGATCACCTCAGGATCTCATCCGCGAGCAGTACTCTATCCCCCAGCTGCCCCTCCACGTATTTGAGATAAGCGCAGTTGCGTATCAGCCGGCGGAGAACGTCCTCTCTATGAAGGGGTTTACAAAGTCACCTCTGATAGCAAAAGGAATTACTACAAGGACAGCTTCTCACCTCAAGATCTCATCTGCGAGCAATACTCTATCCCCGAGGCGCCCCTCCACGTATTTGAGATAAGCGCAGTTGCGTATCAGCCGACGGAGGATGTCCTCCCTGTCGTTGATCACGTTAAACAGCTTCTGCGCGAATGCCTTGTCCAATGTGCGCCCGCCACGTCGCCAGATGCGCACATCAATCTTGTCCTTGAATTGCCCGTACGTTTCCTGCAACAGCACATGCAGACAGACGGTACATGAGACGTTTATGCCCGTTTTGGAACATGGCGTTCACGAGCCACTGCTACGAAAGCACCGTAAGGTGTAGTAGCATCACCACAATTAGGGCTCGAAGTCACTATATTAACCTCCTCCTTTCCCCTGCACCCTTCCCCAGAATTGGGAGTGTAAGTCAGGAGACGGGGTACAACTAACCGTGTCCGAAACCACTGAGAAGGACGGGGCTATCCTGCTACAGCACCGGTACCTTTTAACCCTCGTGTCAATCCGCAGTTATAACATGCCTCCCATAAGCGCATAATTATTCATGCGAATTTTGGCGTCGTTGATAACAGCTGTCCGGTCAAGCCACTAAGCTACACCGTAGACGGAGGACACACACCTGAATCATTGCCGTGAAGACGCAGCGCCAGTGAGAAAGAGGGCAGGGTCATGAATCGTATCACTACACTGCAGATGGCGGACACACACCTGAATCATTGCCGTGAAGACGCAGCCCCACGCGCCAGCGCCAACCCCTACGACCTTCAACGGATCCCCGTCCGCCTTCCCCATCCGTTTCCGCAGCTCGTCCAATCGCTCCTCCGCCGTCGGATACACGATCTGACGGTTGGTTCTGTCCAGGCTGGAGCGACGCGGGGTGCCGCTCCCGATGCCATCTAGTCTCGGCGATGGCAGCGTCATTTGGAACGTAGTAACTGGTCGTGAACCCGCGTCAGTAGTCTTTTAGAGGGTTGGGAATAAATTATTCAGACAAAAAGGTCTCCGAATCGTGGTGTACTAAGCAGATGAAGAACCGGTAGACGATGGATTCTTAGCGGAATTCAGATAACTGGAATCACAGAGGTCTGTGTCTGGCGAGACGCTGGAATCTGCCGGTTTCGCTTCTCCAGCCGTCGATTTTATTCGTCTAGACCGTCAATCGAAGAATATCCTAGGCAAATGGACGGTCAGAAGGTCCTACAAGAGTCATGAGTCACAAGGGGCGGAGCGGAACCACGCTGTTCCTTCGGCAATGGGAGTCAGCGCGGTGTTAGCCAGAACAGCTGAAACATTCGCGATACTGAGAGGCGAGGGCAGAATTCCCTTGTGAAATGCCAAGGCTTGTGTAGAAGTGCTTACATAATATAGGAACAGATTGAACATCCTTGTGCCCTTCCGTGACAGCTATATCATAGCTTATTGACTTGACCAATGATTTTTTAAGTACTGGAATTTTTGTTAAAATTTTACTAACATAGTTTGTCACCATCTTTAAAATCATAAAGAGGAAACAATAGGCAGATGTTGGTCTCAATAATATAGAAAGTCAAGATTGACCTGTGTGGCAGAAGCGGAAGTTCAGGAAAGGACTTTGTTCAGGGACGAATTGTATCATATAGACGGGTGTATCACATAGAAGATTCTAAAACAACGCAACTTCAAGGGAAGAGATCCCCAGTCTTAGAATTCACATCTCTAGGCCTGCGAGAAAGCCATTGCCCGAAACGCATCCACATTAGGCCACTAGAGAGATTTACTAACCCGTCGTTAACGTTTTAGCCCTGAGGAGAGTAGGTGTGTCATCGACCTCATTCTTTTTCTCAGCTTGGACTCGAGAGCTATTAGCGATTCGGAACCGAGGTTTAATAACGTCGTTCATCGTGTAACTTCTCTCAGGAGAGTAGACTAAAAGATTTGCACAGATAGTCTGTTGTTGTTCACGCGTTGATTTTAGACATTCAATTCTAGGGTTCCGGTAGAATTCGTTTGATAACTTTGTTCTTTCAGTCTCATTCTTGTAGTCTCGGATTTGTTGCAGATCGCTACTTCCAAAGCCCGTAGCAAGCCAGGAAAACGAGAATTTACTCGCCTAGGGAATTCGCGAATGGCCTAGTCCGAGTGGTAACTCGCTACTCGTCGCACACGATTTCGCGAACCCATGGACCTGGATCCGCCGTCAGGTCCGTCCAAAACGTCCGCGCGAGCAGCTGACGGAGCTCCGAAATTCGTCGGCGGAAACGGCAGCACCCGAGGAGGAGCGAGCACCGTCGGATTGAAAAATGGAGCTCAGAGCAATTCTACAGGATCGCAGAAGAACGCAGCTGGCGGGCCGCAGCAGGGCAGGAAGCTGGTCATAAAAGCCTTCAAAGGTACGTCTTTTTTCCAGTCACCTCTTCATTTTCCACTGTCACGTGCCACCGTTATAGTCACACCCGACAGACGCGTCATGATCCTTCCTGTTTCCCTCACTCTCCGTCGTACTCTCCCCGTTTTGATGGTCCAATTCGTTTAACGCCTCTTTACACATATACCTCTCTATCTCTTCCTGCCAGGTTCATTGCCCCATAACCCCGACTCCTTGTTCCTTTTTCCTTACCCCGCTATCTTACTCATCGACTTCACAATTCTCATTTTTTCTTGATTTATGCTGGGATGGCACCACCCTGCACCCCGCCGGACCTTTGAATTCGTGGTCCCTGTGGAACTGCTCCTCCTTTTTGAATTCCTCCTCCTTTCGTGTTGCACTTTGCCTCCCCCCTTAGCCAGCCATGTGCACACTGGATTTGCCCTTAACCTTGTGCACATAAATATCGCCTTGACGAATTTATTGTCTGTATTGTGACTGTGTCGTGCCAGCGATCCCTCATACCAGGATCTACTACCCGCAATCTCTGAATCCAGTGTCTTCCATGGCCAAATGCATTGCCTTCTCCTGCTCTCATCATTCCCTCTCTCCTTCCTCTCTCTCCCTCTGTTCTCCTTCCTCTCCTCCCTTTCCTCCCTCTCCTACCTCTCCGTTTCCTCCCTCTTCTCCCTCTCCTCCCTCTCTTCCCACTCCTGTCCTCCCCCTCCCCTCCTCTCGCCCGGGCCCCATCCCCGCCCACCAGCCAAGCCACAGCTGCCACCAGATTACGAGGAAACGACATGGGCGAAGCTGAGGGAGGCGGTTACCGCCATTCACGAAAAACGAGCGGTTTCGTGCAGCTTGGAGGAGCTATACCGGGTGAGTCGGGAGGAGGTAACTGGTGAAGTGTGGGGGGGAGGGGCGGGTGAGATGGGGAGATGGATGGGTGAAATGGGGGGAAGTAATTGGGTGAGATAAGAGGAGGTAACTAGGTGTACGGGGAAGTGTATTGAGTAAGGTGAGGGACGGTATTCAGTTTGATTTTAGTGAAGGATTCGCATTAGGATGTAATTTACCGGGGGGATACACACCAGGTGAGTAAAGTGAGTGATATGCAGGAGGAGTGTCTAAACATTCTTTTAATTGCCAAAACTTGAGCCCGAGCAGCTCTCATCCTCTCCTCCTTACTCCTTCTCCCCGGTCCTGCTCTGTTCCTCCCTCACGCCAGGCAGTGGAGGGGTTGTGTCTGCACAAGGTGGCAGCGGGGCTGTACTCGCGCCTGCAGGCCGAGTGCGACCGTCACATCGCAGCCAAGCTCCACCTCCTCCTCGCCCAGGGCTCCCCCGACCCGGTGCTCTTCCTGAGCTTTCTGCCTGCTCATCTCATCATTGTCTCCCTGCTGATCCTTCTCCCTGCGTTTTTCTCCTCCCCTCCCCTTCTCCTTCTGTCTGGTCCCGCCCCTTCCCTTCACCGGACAGGCAGTGGAGGGGTTGTGTCTGCACAAGATGGCAGCGGGGCTGTACTCGCGCCTGCAGGCCGAGTGCGACCGTCACATCGCAGCCAAGCTCCACCTCCTCCTCGCCCAGGGCTCCCCCGACCCGGTGCTCTTCCTGGAGCACGTGGCCGCCACGTGGCGCGATTTCTGCGAGCAGATGCTCATGATCCGGTCCATCGCGCTGTATCTGGACCGTACGTTCGCGATGCAGGCGTCCGGCGCGGGCGTGCAGTCGCTGTGGGACATGGGGCTGCGGTTGTTCCGCTCGCACCTGGAGGGGGTGCCTGAGGTGGAGAGGCGGACCGTGGCAGGCCTGCTGCAGCTGATCGAAAGGGAAAGGTGGGTGCCGTGTGCTTGCTGCATCCCCACCTCTCCCCCTCCGTTTGTTGGATAGAGGAGCCTCATATACGAGCGTCAGGGGCAGGCGTGCAGTCGCTGTGGGACATGGGGCTGAGGCTGTTCCGGTCGCACCTGGAGGGGGTGCCTGAGGTGGAGAGTCGGACAGTTGCTGGGCTGCTGCATTGGTATGCACACAGGTCTGGCGACACAGTGGACCGTTCCCTGCTGATTAACCTGGTGGGCATGTTCTCAGCTCTGGGCGTGTACAGCAGCAGCTTCAAGCGGCAATTCTCGGCACTGACCCACCCGCCCAGCCCCCTTCCACCCTCTCCTTCCCCCCCGCTATTGCCCTACTGCTTCTCTCTGTGCTCAGATCCGGGGACACAGTTGACCGTTCCCTGCTGAAGAACCTGGTGGGCATGTTCTCAGCGCTGGGCGTGTACAGCAGCAGCTTCGAGCGGCAGTTTCTGGAGGAGACAGCGGAGTTCTACAGCTTGGAGGGCAGCCGGTTCATGCAACAGACGGACGTGCGAGATTACCTCAAACTCGTTGAGGTGAGCGCTGGGCGTTGGGGCTTTGAGCCTTGTGAGTGAACCGGTGTGTTGTGTTGTTCGTGGCTGGCTGTGTGTGTGTGTTTGGAGGAGACTGCGGAGTTCTACAGCTTGGAGGGCAGCCGGTTCATGCAACAGACGGACGTGCGAGATTACCTCAAACTCGTTGAGGTGAGCGCTGGGCGTTGGGGCTTTGAGCCTTGTGAGTGAACCGGTGTGTTGTGTTGTTCGTGGCTGGCTGTGTGTGTGTGTTTGGAGGAGACTGCGGAGTTCTACAGCTTGGAGGGCAGCCGGTTCATGCAGCAGACGGACGTGCGTGACTACCTCAAACTTGTTGAGGTGAATGTTAGGGTTCGGGCTTTGGGCTTTGTTGTTTTGAGACGACTGGGAGAGGTGCGTTATGGGTGGCCAGCTGGTAGTGTTTGGAGGAGGCTGCTGAGCTCCACAGCTCTGAGGGAATTCATCTGGTTCATGCAGCAATTTTGAAATCACTTTTGAGAATTCTCAAAAGCTCCACAACTCTGAGGGCAGCTGGTTCATGCAGCAGACTGACGTGCGCGACTTCCTCAAACTCGTAGAGGTGAGTGCTGTACTATGAGCTTTGGGCTGTGTTACACAGTCATTGATTCCCTATTGCAGCGTCTTCTTCCGCCCTTTCTCTCCTGTCATCCCTCCTTTCAGATCCCTTTGCAGGAGGAGAACGAACAGTGCGTGCGTGCACTACCTGCCCAGAAGGTCTCGCAACGAAAAGCAATCCCTGTTTCTCTGTGTCCTGTCCAGTGCCTTGTGCCCATATGTTGACCGTTTTGTCACATTCCTCCACCCATGTTTCTCCTCTCCCAGACCCGACTGCAGGAGGAGAACGACCGGTGTGTGCACTACCTGCCTAGCAGCACTCGCAAGGCACTCATCGTCACCACAGAGGCTCAGCTTCTTGAGAAACACACGGGAGCGATTGTGGATAAGGTATGGAGACTCAATAGTTAGTAGAAGCTGGATTGATCAATGGTTGATAGGGTAGCATTCGGCACGTGATAGGTAAGTTGTTGATTGGGTAGGGGAGCTTATTGCACTGCCTGTGCCGGCTCTTTGCATGACTGAAAGTTTTTTTCTAGCACTCTCCGACTCGCTCTCTCGTCACACGTGAAGGCAGCGGGGCAGGCGGTGGTGATGGATGCAGACAAGGACGGCGACATGGTGGCGGGGCTGCTGGCGTCTCCCTTCACCCTCCCTCCCTCTCACTCTTATTTCTGCTTTTCCTCGTTCCCTGTGCTCCTGTGCTCTGTTCCCGCCCCCTCAGGGCTTTGGCATGTTGATGGAAGCGAGCGAGTCGGGCGATTTGCACCGCATGTACGCCCTGTTCGCGCGAGTCAACGCACTGGACGCCCTAAGAGTTGCTCTTTCGTCGCACGTGAAGGCAGCGGGGCAGGCGGTGGTGATGGATGCAGACAAGGACGGCGACATGGTGGCGGGGCTGCTGGCACTCAAGGCTCGCGTGGACGGGCTGTGGGAGGCGAGCTTCCACCACAACGAGGCGTTCGGGATTGCTATTAAAGAGGCTTTTGAGAGCCTCGTTAACATGCGCCAGGTGGGTTTAGAGTGGTGGAGAGGGGGCTGTGGGAGGCGAGCTTCGAGGGTCAATGAGGCATTTGGTATTTCCATCAAGGAGGCGTTTGAGAGCCTTGTTAACATGCGCCAGGTGGGTGGAGAGGGGTAGGGGGGGGGGGGGGAAAGTGCAGAGTGGAGGCAGAGGGGTGCTGGTTTTGAGCATTTGGCATTGTCACGCCTGCTTGCTGTCTGCAACTCCTCTGATGCTCACTGTACTTCACCCTCTCACCCTCCCACTACGCACCTACCCTCACATCAGAACCGGCCGGCAGAGCTGATAGCCAAGTTCATAGACGGGAAGCTGAGGGCGGGCAACAAGGGGCTGTCAGATGAAGAGCTGGAGAGCACTCTCGACCGTGTGCTCGTGCTCTTCCGCTTCATCCAGGTGCAGTGCGGTTCTCCCACATGCTCTGTCAATTCATCCAGTTGCAGAACGGTTTCATCAGCCATTCTTCCGCTTCATCTAGGTAGGTAGCATGTGGTTTTGTTGGTTGACTCAGGTGCGGTGTGGTCTTAGTCTCTCAGTCAATGCCACTGTATGTTGCTTCACTCTGCTTGTTCTGCTCCTTAACCCTGCTTGTTCTGCTTGTTCTCCAGGTGTGCAGTGCGGTTCTGCCACTTTATGTTGCTTCACCCTGCTTGTTCTGCTTGTGAACTTTGTCATTTTGTTCCGTGTTTTGTACACGTTGCCGCTCTCTTGTCCCTTTTCTCCCCCTTTTAGGGCAAGGACGTGTTTGAGGCATTTTACAAAAAGGACCTGGCGAAGCGGCTGCTACTGGGGAAGAGTGCATCGATCGATGCTGAGAAGTCCATGATTAGCAAGGTGCGTGCATTGCATGCATGCATGTGTGCATGTGTGCGAGTGTGCATGTGAACACGGTTGGGTGCATATGCTGCTGGGGAAGAGTGCATCGATCGATGCTGAGAAGTCCATGATCAGCAAGGTGCGTGCATGTATGCATGTGTGCATGTGTGCATGTGTGCGTGTGTGCATGTGTGCATGTGTGCATGTGTGCATGTATATGAGATCAGCAAGGTGCATGCATGTGTGGATCTGTATGCATGTGGATGTGACACAGAGGGAGATGGTGTGTATCTGCGTTTAAATATGCATTTCCTGGCTTTGCATAAATCCCTCCCTCCTTCCTTACCTGAAATCTCAAACCACGTAATACATATTCTTCTCTATCATCCACTCTCCTTGTTAATCCCATCAACCATTCCCAGTCATCCCATCCTCCTGTGGAGTTCACTCATCTCTATGCACAGCCCCTTTCACCCCTCTCCTCGCATGCACGTTTCACCCTTCTCCCCGTCTCTGCACACTCACACCCACTATGCTGATCAGCTCAAGACAGAGTGTGGCAGTCAGTTCACCAACAAGCTTGAAGGCTTTTGAGGCGCCTCAAAAGTCGTCTCATGTCTCGCGGTTTTTGAGACACCTCAAAAGTCCTCTCCGCACACCCACACCCACACCCCCACCCACTATGCTGAGCAGCTCAAGACAGAGTGTGGCAGTCAGTTCACCAACAAGCTTGAAGGCATGTTCAAGGTATACTCTATACTCTACTACAAATATGTACAGTATGTACCTTTTTCTACTATGCATGTGTGTGTAAACGAATGTGCATGTTTACTATACACGGATTGTCTGAAAGGGCTCCTCGATTTCGCTTGGCAGATGCCTATACAGAAAGTTGATTAGCCGTTCAAGCAATGGCGCAGGAAACACTAGCTTCTCACGGTTCAAATCTAACAACCCTTTTCTCTCGCTCTCCGCCCCATCAGGACATCGAGCTATCCGAGGAGATCAACGAGTCGTTCCGGCAATCATTGCTTGATCGCACTCAGAAACCACTTGTTGCCCAAATTTTACCCAATTCCTTCCACCTCCCTCTCCCTCCCCCCAATCAGGACATCGAGCTATCCAAGGAGATCAACGAGTCGTTCGGGCGATTTGAGCTTACTTACAAGTCACCAGTTGCTCATGTTTCAGATCAAACATTCCCCTCCTCCTTTCCTTCTCCCTCCCCCCACCAGGACATCGAGCTATCCAAGGAGATCAACGAGTCGTTCCGGCAATCATCGCAGGCCCGTGAGAAGCTGCCAGCTGGCATCGAGATGAACGTGCACGTGCTCACCATGGGGTGAGTGACTAGTTCACCAGCGTTGACCAGCGTTGACCTCCTTTTGACCAGTGTTCACCGTGTTTGCTCATGAGAGAGGCTGCCAGCTGGCATCGAGATGAACGTGTACGTGCTCACCATGGTGTGAGTGAGTGTGCTGGCTCAGTTGACCAGCGTTGACCATGGGTTCAGTGGTTGTCCAGCGTTGACCATGGGTTCAGTGGTTGACCAGCGTTGACCATGTTTGACCATGGTGCAGGTTGTGCGACTAGTGAGCCAAAATAGTTTTTGTGGGCCACATATCTGCCAGTGGAGGTGCGGCTACCATGCGAGCTTAGAGTCATCAGGACATATTCCGGGACTTATCTTGGCAAGCACAGTGGGCGGCGCTTCATGTGACTTCCTTCCCCGTGCTCCTCCATTCTTCATATCCTCCCCTTTCCCCATACCCAGCTACTGGCCCACATACCCACCAGTTGAGGTGCAGCTACCTCGCGAACTCGGTGTCTATCAGGACATATTCCGGGACTTCTATCTGGGCAAGCACAGTGGGCGGCGGCTCATGTGGCAGCACAGCCTGGGGCACTGCGTGGTGCGGGCGGACTTCCCCAAGGGGAAGAAGGAGCTCTCGCTCTCGCTCTTCCAGGTACTGTGCGGTGCTATGCGGTGCTCTGTGGTAGTGTGCGGTACTGCATGGTAGAGTGTGGTGCTGTGCGATGCGGCATAGGTCTAGCTCTCTGGTGTTCATGTGGCAGCACAGCCTGGGGCACTGTGTGGTGCGGGCATATTTTCCCAAGGGCAAGAAGGAGCTCTCCATCTCGCTCTTCCAGGTACTGTGCGGTGCTGTGTGGTACTATGTGGTAGTGTGCGGAACTGCATGGTAGAGTGTGGTGCTGTGCGGCACGGCATAGGTCTCGCTTCTATTGTGTTCATGTGGCAGCACAGCCAGGGGCACTGTGTGGTGCGGGCGGATTTCCCCAAAGGGAAGAAGGAGAGGCTGACCACTGTGCGCTTCCCAACGATGCTGACCGCCTATCATTCTCGGAGATCCGGGACGCCACGGGCATCACTCTTTCTCCCCCGTCCCGTCCCCTAACCTGACTGCTCCGCACACCCCTGCCTCACTCCACAGACCGTGGTGCTGATGCTGTTCAACGATGCGGACCGCCTGTCCTTCACGGAGATCCGAGATGCCACGGGCATCAATGATGCGGAGCTCAAGCGCACGCTGCAGTCGCTGGCGTGCGGCAAAACCAGGGTGCTGCAGAAGGTGTGTTGTCGGTACAGTGAGGTGCAGTGTGGTGCATTACGGTTGGGGGATGGTGCAGACTGTTACGGATGCCACGGGCATCAATGATGCGGAGCTCAAGCGCACGCTGCAGTCGCTGGCATGCGGCAAAACCAGGGTGCTGCAAAAGGTACGGTGCAGTGCTGTGCGGTATAGTGCGGTTCAGTGCTGTGCACTAGGGTTACCGGATGGTGCTTATGGTTATGGGCGCCATGGGCATCACTGTCGCGGAGTTCAAACGCACGCTGCAGTCACTGGCGTGCGGCAAGACCAGGGTGCTGCAGAAGGTACGGTGCGGTGCTGTGCGGTACGTTGTGGTGTAGTATGGTGCGGTGAAATATGGTGTGGTGCAGTTTGGTGTGTGGTGCTTGCACACCTTGCTGCACATGCGGAGCCACTGGAGATTTAAAGTTTCCCCAAGGACGGCAACATTTTTCGGACCCCAAAGCTTGATTCCAAATTGTGCAAGCGTGTGTTTCCGGTCTTTTGTTTTGCTTTCCCTGTGCTTGCGCACCGTGATGCACATGCGCTGCCACTGCAGATCCCCAAGGGCCGTGACGTGTCAGACTTTGATTCGCTAGAGTGATAAGTCATACAGGAGTGTGCATCTATGCTTCCTTTTGCTTCTACCCACCACACACCTGCAGATTCCCAAGGGCCGTGACGTGTCGGACTCTGATTCGTTTGAGTTTAACACGGATTTCACAGCATCGTTGTTCCGACTCAAGGTGCGACGAATTAGTTGATGGGGGCTTGGCTGATGAGAGGGGAAGTGCGATGGGGATGAGGGGGGTGTAAATGAGGGGATTGATGGGGGTGTTGGTGAGTTGGGGGGGCTGATGGGGAGCTTGTTAATGAAACGGATTTGGGGGGGTTCAAATTAGTTTCTACATGGTTCCTTTGAGACAACAGCTTCGACTGCATGTAGGGTTGAATTACTATTGATGTTGGTTGATCAACATGCAGAGAGCGTACATTTACAGCAATGGAAGTATATACGACTTACAGGATGTGCACGCGTGCTTGAATATTGAGGCGCTTCAAAAGTATACATTCTTATTACATGCCTGATGCATGGTGGTGTGACTGCAGGTGAACGCGATTCAACTGAAGGAGACGCAAGAGGAGAACACCAACACTACTGAGAGAGTTTTCCAGGACAGGCAGTACCAGGTACTCGTTTTAAGTACTACTATCAAGTACTCGTTACAGGCAATCTCAGGCACCCATTACAGGCAGAACCATACTTGTGAAAGGCAAGACCTAGTATTTGTTATGGACAGTGTCTTTCCAGTTGCATGGACTCTGCTGCATGAAGCAGGCATGCCAGTTGGTTTATGTGCGATGACTCATAGTCCTTCCCATTCCACCCCCACCCACCAATCCAATTCAACCCCTCTCAACCGTTTGGCAGATTGATGCAGCCATCGTGCGAATCATGAAGACGCGCAAGGTGCTCAGCCACACGCTACTCATCACCGAGCTCTTCCAACAGGTGTGTGTTTACACGGGGGGCAGTGCATTCCTGTGTGCCTTTGGGGTTGGTAGATCGTTGACTCAAAGGCTGTGAAGACTCGCAAGGTGCTCAGCCACGCGCTACTCATCACCGAGCTGTTCCAACAGGTGGGTATTTTCATGGGGGGGGGGGGAGAGGGGGAAGGGAGGCATTGCACTCTGGTGTGCCTGAGGTTGTTAGTTTGTCGACTCAAACGGGCGTGGAATCTCGCGAGGTGCTCAGGGGGTAAGCGTGTGCAAACTCGCTTTGCTCCACCTTCCTTTCCTTGTGCCTGTCCTCTGTTGTTGATGCTTGTGTTTACGGTGTGTATCTGTGCCTGTGTGTTTCTCTCCCCCGCTTTGCCTCCGCAGCTCAATCAAGCCAGCGGATTTGAAGAAGCGAATAGAGAGCCTCATAGACTGCGAGTATCAATTTTGAGGCGCCTCACATTTTCATCTGTGCCTGTGTGTGTCTGTGTGTCCCTCTCTCCCTCCGCAGCTCAAGTTCCCAATTAAGCCAGCGGATCTGAAGAAGCGAATAGAGAGCCTCATAGACCGCGAGTACCAATTTTGAGGCGCCTCACATTTCTCTCTGTGCCTGTCCGTGTGTCTGTGTCTCTCTCTCTCTGCCTCTGCAGCTCAAGTTCCCGATAAAGCCAGCAGATCTGAAGAAGCGGATAGAGAGCCTCATCGACCGAGAGTACCTGGAGCGAGACAAGAGCAACGCTCAGATCTACAACTACCTCGCTTGATTCATTCTCCACTGCACACCAGCAATGCATTCTCACACATACAGCTACAGTACCTGCCGTGGTTTTGGAGCGAGACGAGCAATGACAAATCCATACCAATGCGCACACACCTCGCGCGATTCGTCTGTTCGTGGTGCTTCACAAATGCACACACGCACACATGCATACAGAAGTATGATGCACTCTGCACACTCGCACCTACAGATACCTTGGGTGCCATTTTTGTGGGCCGAAGCAAACTCCAGTTTATGAAGAACAGTGTCGTGACTCATGATGTGGACAAACCTTGATTACCGGTAGATGCACCACCTTTACTGTCCCTGGTAGAATTCGACGCAGCTTACCATTCTGCTGCGCTGATGCATGCATACAATGCATACTGCTTTTTGGTCCTTGCTCATTCTTTTGGTTGATGCTCCTTGCATGGCCTGGTCTGGTGACTGTTGGCATGCAGAGTAGGCAGGCAGAGGCAGCCGCCTCATTTTGGGCGTTTCTGAGCCGCCTTGATGGGTGTCTGACCTTGATTTTGCATGTTCACATTTCCTTGGATGGATTCTATAATGAGTGCAGTGCAGTGCCTCTGCCGAGCCGATTACAGTGCATTCAAGTTAAGGCAACACAAAGCCAGCGAGCCGAGCCACAGCCCATAGTTGAGGAAAAGCCAGAGTTTAGTGCATAAACAGGGCTCTTCTGTTTCTTTCACAAGCTCTGCAAGGCGATGGCTACATTGCGTTTTATTCTCTTTGAAATGCCCTCCTGCAAGCCCCGATTCGGCCACCTCAAGAGCCAGAGTTTACTCGGTTTCTCGAGAGCCTGAAATGAGACGGTTTCTCGAGAGCCTGAAATGAGACGGTTTCTCGAGAGCCTGAAATGAGACGGTTTCTCGAGAGCCTGAAATGAGACGGTTTCTCGAGAGCCTGAAATGAGACGGTTTCTCGAGAGCCTGAAATGAGACGGTTTCTCGAGAGCCTGAAATGAGACGGTTTCTCGAGAGCCTGAAATGAGACGGTTTCTCGAGAGCCTGAAATGAGACGGTTTCTCGAGAGCCTGAAATGAGACGGTTTCTCGAGAGCCTGAAATGAGACGGTTTCTCGAGAGCCTGAAATGAGACGGTTTCTCGAGAGCCTGAAATGAGACGGTTTCTCGAGAGCCTGAAATGAGACGGTTTCTCGAGAGCCTGAAATGAGACGGTTTCTCGACTTTAGCCTGAAATGAGACGGTTTCTCGACTTTAGCCTGAAATGAGACGGTTTCTCGACTTTAGCCTGAAATGAGACGGTTTCTCGACTTTAGCCTGAAATGAGACGGTTTCTCGACTTTAGCCTGAAATGAGACGGTTTCTCGACTTTAGCCTGAAATGAGACGGTTTCTCGACTTTAGCCTGAAATGAGACGGTTTCTCGACTTTAGCCTGAAATGAGACGGTTTCTCGACTTTAGCCTGAAATGAGACGGTTTCTCGACTTTAGCCTGAAATGAGACGGTTTCTCGACTTTAGCCTGAAATGAGACGGTTTCTCGACTTTAGCCTGAAATGAGACGGTTTCTCGACTTTAGCCTGAAATGAGACGGTTTCTCGACTTTAGCCTGAAATGAGACGGTTTCTCGACTTTAGCCTGAAATGAGACGGTTTCTCGACTTTAGCCTGAAATGAGACGGTTTCTCGACTTTAGCCTGAAATGAGACGGTTTCTCGACTTTAGCCTGAAATGAGACGGTTTCTCGACTTTAGCCTGAAATGAGACGGTTTCTCGACTTTAGCCTGAAATGAGACGGTTTCTCGACTTTAGCCTGAAATGAGACGGTTTCTCGACTTTAGCCTGAAATGAGACGGTTTCTCGACTTTAGCCTGAAATGAGACGGTTTCTCGACTTTAGCCTGAAATGAGACGGTTTCTCGACTTTAGCCTGAAATGAGACGGTTTCTCGACTTTAGCCTGAAATGAGACGGTTTCTCGACTTTAGCCTGAAATGAGACGGTTTCTCGACTTTAGCCTGAAATGAGACGGTTTCTCGACTTTAGCCTGAAATGAGACGGTTTCTCGACTTTAGCCTGAAATGAGACGGTTTCTCGACTTTAGCCTGAAATGAGACGGTTTCTCGACTTTAGCCTGAAATGAGACGGTTTCTCGACTTTAGCCTGAAATGAGACGGTTTCTCGACTTTAGCCTGAAATGAGACGGTTTCTCGACTTTAGCCTGAAATGAGACGGTTTCTCGACTTTAGCCTGAAATGAGACGGTTTCTCGACTTTAGCCTGAAATGAGACGGTTTCTCGACTTTAGCCTGAAATGAGACGGTTTCTCGACTTTAGCCTGAAATGAGACGGTTTCTCGACTTTAGCCTGAAATGAGACGGTTTCTCGACTTTAGCCTGAAATGAGACGGTTTCTCGACTTTAGCCTGAAATGAGACGGTTTCTCGACTTTAGCCTGAAATGAGACGGTTTCTCGACTTTAGCCTGAAATGAGACGGTTTCTCGACTTTAGCCTGAAATGAGACGGTTTCTCGACTTTAGCCTGAAATGAGACGGTTTCTCGACTTTAGCCTGAAATGAGACGGTTTCTCGACTTTAGCCTGAAATGAGACGGTTTCTCGACTTTAGCCTGAAATGAGACGGTTTCTCGACTTTAGCCTGAAATGAGACGGTTTCTCGACTTTAGCCTGAAATGAGACGGTTTCTCGACTTTAGCCTGAAATGAGACGGTTTCTCGACTTTAGCCTGAAATGAGACGGTTTCTCGACTTTAGCCTGAAATGAGACGGTTTCTCGACTTTAGCCTGAAATGAGACGGTTTCTCGACTTTAGCCTGAAATGAGACGGTTTCTCGACTTTAGCCTGAAATGAGACGGTTTCTCGACTTTAGCCTGAAATGAGACGGTTTCTCGACTTTAGCCTGAAATGAGACGGTTTCTCGACTTTAGCCTGAAATGAGACGGTTTCTCGACTTTAGCCTGAAATGAGACGGTTTCTCGACTTTAGCCTGAAATGAGACGGTTTCTCGACTTTAGCCTGAAATGAGACGGTTTCTCGACTTTAGCCTGAAATGAGACGGTTTCTCGACTTTAGCCTGAAATGAGACGGTTTCTCGACTTTAGCCTGAAATGAGACGGTTTCTCGACTTTAGCCTGAAATGAGACGGTTTCTCGACTTTAGCCTGAAATGAGACGGTTTCTCGACTTTAGCCTGAAATGAGACGGTTTCTCGACTTTAGCCTGAAATGAGACGGTTTCTCGACTTTAGCCTGAAATGAGACGGTTTCTCGACTTTAGCCTGAAATGAGACGGTTTCTCGACTTTAGCCTGAAATGAGACGGTTTCTCGACTTTAGCCTGAAATGAGACGGTTTCTCGACTTTAGCCTGAAATGAGACGGTTTCTCGACTTTAGCCTGAAATGAGACGGTTTCTCGACTTTAGCCTGAAATGAGACGGTTTCTCGACTTTAGCCTGAAATGAGACGGTTTCTCGACTTTAGCCTGAAATGAGACGGTTTCTCGACTTTAGCCTGAAATGAGACGGTTTCTCGACTTTAGCCTGAAATGAGACGGTTTCTCGACTTTAGCCTGAAATGAGACGGTTTCTCGACTTTAGCCTGAAATGAGACGGTTTCTCGACTTTAGCCTGAAATGAGACGGTTTCTCGACTTTAGCCTGAAATGAGACGGTTTCTCGACTTTAGCCTGAAATGAGACGGTTTCTCGACTTTAGCCTGAAATGAGACGGTTTCTCGACTTTAGCCTGAAATGAGACGGTTTCTCGACTTTAGCCTGAAATGAGACGGTTTCTCGACTTTTGCCTTTCACAAGCTTTGCAGAGCGCCAGCCACATTGCGTTTTATTCTCTCCGAAATGTCCTCCTGCAGGCACGTGGTACAGCATTGGTCAGAATGTAAATTGCCCAGATTGTATGGTGTGAAACACACACACACACGTACGCAGGTTGGGGCCACAAGCAAACTCACAACAAACGCACAACCTCCAAGCCTGAAACGCATCTAGCTGCAAAGCAAAAGGAGAATTTGAAAGACGCCCAAGCTGCATATACATAACAAGCGCAGAACTCACCTTGACGTCGGGAAGGTGGAAACGCCGCCCGGTGATTGCCTCGTACAGTGCAATGTAGCTGGTGTTGGGAAGGGGGTGGGAGGGACATGGGGGAAGAAAGGTGATATGAGATAGAATTCCAGGAGAAGAACAACAATAACCGTGAGAGTGGGAAGGTGGGAGCGCCACCCGGTGATTGCTTCATACGGTGCAATGTAGCTAGAACTGGCATCTTGGTGTACAGAGGGATATGGGCGACGAAACATGTGGGACAATCTTTAGAGATATAACTAGATATTTGCATGTATATTTTTTGTAGAATGCCTTTTGGCTAGCACCAGGATGGTGGGAGCAGAAAGCAACTCACCGCCAGGACAACTCTGTGATGAGATGAGCGGGTGCAGCAGGGAGAGTCTGATACAAAGAGGGAGCACACAAGAAAGGGAGAAGGCGAAGGGGCAATCAAGACGGCATGATTTGAGACGTCTGATGTATGCGCAACTTGTTGGTTGCGCACGGCGATTTGTTGTGCAGCGCAGTGGCATTGGATCACCACGAACAGTTTTTGTCATCAACTGCCACGTTGGCAGCACTACAGTACCCACCTTATCATTGTACGGGTTGCAGTTTTCCCAGAACCAGAGCCAGTTTTTGTGGTGCCTAAATAAAAATCACTGTGTGCCGTGCTGGCAGTGCCCCAGCACCCACCTTATCATTGTACGGGTCACAGTTTTCCCGGAACCAAAGCCGCAAGAAATTTCATAGGCAGTGCTGTAGTACCCTCCCATACCAGTAGTGCTATAGCACCCACCTTATCGTTGTACGGGTCGCAGTTTTCCCGAAACCAGAGCCGCAGGAATTCCTGCAAGTGAAACGTGAAAAGACACACCAACACCAGAACGCAGGAATAAGGGATTTTGGTGTTGATGATTGAAAAAACATCGGAGGCACATGAAAACCAGCCTCACCTTGTCTATGTTCTGCGACTCTAACCCCTCTGCATGCATATGCTCATACGTGCTCCTGCCCGTACCTGACATGTATAAAATCGGCATTCAGTCTCACAGCAGTCGCTCTGCCTCACCTTGTCTAACCCCTCTGCATGCCGCTGCTCTGAATGCCGTTGCTCGTACCTGAGATGCTAAAAAACACTCAGCTCCACACCCTCACACTTATCAGCCTCACCTTGTCAATGTTCTGCGGCTCTAGCCCCTCTGTGTGCCTCTGCTCGTACATGTCCCTGCAGGCACCTGAGAGCACTCAGCCTCACCGCACTCAGCCGCACACCACTCAGCCTCACCTTGTCGATGTTTTGCGGCTCCAGCCCCTCTGCATGCCTCTTCTCGTACGTGGAGGCAATCCAATAGCGGCTGGAGTCTGGTGTGTGCACCTGACAGGAGGGGAGATGGAAGGGGAGAGAAGGGAGAAAAGGCAGGGAGGCAAACGGCGACTCAAATGCAACCGTCTCACCTCGTCTATCAGTCGAATGCTCCCGTCTGAGTCTTTCCGTGTTTCGTATCCACCAGAATGAGCCCATGCTGCCCCACCACGTCACCTGTTGCCCTTCTACTAGCACAATGCTTGCTGCGACCCCTCGCACGCAGGTGGACCCACCTCATCAATCAGCCAAATGGTTCCATCCGAACCCTTCTCAAACTCGTATTTGGTGTCCACCAATATAAGCCCATGCTGCCCCACCACGTCACCTGTTGCCCTTCTACTAGCACAATGCTCGCTGCGACTCTCACCTCGTCTATCAGTCGAATGTTACAATCCGAGTCCTTTCCAAACTCGTACTTGGTATCCACCAGAATCAAACCATGCTCCCCCGCCACCTGCTGCCCGAACGCAAACAGCTTCAGAGCCAAGTCCCTGGTCGTCTCAAACTCCTCGCGCGTCATGAGCCCGCGAGAGACAATCTCCTCTGTTGTGACTGGCTCGTCATGATCCACTGCTTTCGTGGTGGGGGTCAGAATGTTCTCCGCCAGGCGGTCGTTCTTGCGCAGACCTGGGATTATGAGGGGGGAAAGCGGCAGAGAAAACGACAGAGGGAGGGAGAGAGAGGGGTGTGGGTTCTACTGTTGAGGCGCATCAGCAATGAAGCTCAGAGCCAGCTCTCGCGGGTCGTCTCAAACTCCTTGCGGGTCATGAGCCCGCGGGAGACGATCTCCTCTGGTGTAACGGGCTCATCATGATCTGCTGCCTTGGTGGTGGGAGTCAGAATGTTCGCAGACAAGCGGTCATTCTTGCGTAAACCTGGGTGTAGGGAGGGACATAGACAGATGGAGAGGGGCGGATTTTGGACTCTCGTGGCGCCTCAAGTATGGGCTTCAGAGCCAACTCCCTGGTCGTCTCAAACTCCTCGCGGGTCATGAGCCCGCGAGAAACGATTTCCTGTGCGGTGACCGGCTTATCATGATCAGCCGCTTTGGTGGTGGGGGTGAGAATATTCTCTGCCAGGCGATCATTCTTGCGCAGACCTGCATGGACAGAGGAGTAGGAGGAGGGCAGAGGAGCAACGTGCTGTTGACGCATGGGCATTATCGTGTTCCCCCATCTCCTCTCCTCTCCTCCCCTCCCCTCCCCTCCCCTCCCCTCCCCTCCCCTCCCCTCCCCTCCCCTCCCCTCCCCTCCCCTCCCCTCCCCTCCCCTCCCCTCCCCTCCCCTCCCCTCCCCTCCCCTCTCCTCCCCTCTCCTCTCCTCTCCTCTCCTCTCCTCTCCTCTCCTCTCCTCTCCTCTCCTCTCCTCTCCTCTCCTCTCCTCCCCTCTCCTCTCCCACCCTCCCAACCACTGACCCACCAAACCACCTTCAGGCAGGTCGTTTTCACAGTAGGACCGAAACCCCTGGCTGTGTACAGTGAACGCAGATTGTTAGACATTTCAGCAAGCTGCAGCTTTTAAGGAGAAGGCTTAGCAAAGGAGAAAACTGGTTGTACACAGTGGACAGCAACGATTTTGAGACGTCTCAAAAGCACTCTCTTCACGCACACAGTGTACAGCAACGTGCTGGCGATGCTTCCAGACATCTCAACCCCCCCCACCTTCCCCGTCCCCTATCCTCTACTCCCCTTCAAGCAAGGACTTACACCAACAGAACACACCCACCTTCAGGCAAGTCGTTTCCACAGTAAGAGCGAACCCCATTGTTATACACGGTCCACAGCGACGTGCTGGTTGTCCCCGTGATATAACCGCGGACTGGGAATCAAGGGGGTACGGGGGAAAAAGGGACAAAGAAGGAGGGGAAGAAAGAGAGGTTGGAGTGGAATTTCGGAGGTTTAAGTCGAGTGTACGACTTATTTGCAGTACAGGCCCATTGCTAGGGGAGGGACCGTGCAGACCAAGCCCCACAGCAAAGTCTGAAGTGGGTGATTTTGGGGTTGGGCGAGGAGCGGAAGGATTTGGGCACCCAGCAGCAAGCCATGCAGCAGCAGCAGCAGCAGCAGCAGCAGCAGCAGCAGCAGCAGCAGCAGCGAAACTGACTCACCTGCTCACCGACGATTGGAACATGAGGGCAGGAAGGCACGGCACTTGCGAAAGAGAGTGACGTGGGATCGGTCGAGGAGAGGAATGCACACAACAACCAAAGGCACTCACTGACCATCTCCCTCTGACCAATCGTGTTTTAGGCGCTTCACAGAAACAACTGGGGGTAGTAGCAGGAAGGCACTCACCGACAAACTCCACAGGGAAGACTCGGCACTTGCGGAAGAGAGGGACGTTAGGGTCGAGCGAATTTCTATGGAATGACCCTAACACCAGCCGACCGAACCACCACGCACCACCGGCCTGGCTCAGCAACCCCTGTCACTGAGCACGACACTCACCCACAAACTCCACAGGGAAGACTTGGCACTTGCGGAAGAGCATGACGTTGGGGTCGGGTGAGGAGAGGAAGGCGTTGGGGACGATGGAGGCGGTCTGCTCAAACCACCATGCGCTGGTTTGGTTCAGCACCTGAAGGGGGGGGTAGGGGGAGGGAGGAGGTGTGGGGGGAGGAAAGCCGAAAGCCTTGGCAAATCATGAAGAGCGTGACGATGGAGGCTGTTTGCTCGAACCACCACGCGCTCGTCTGATAGAGCACCTGGAGATAGGAGTGAGGAGGGGGAATGGAAGAGGAGCGGGTAGAGGGAGCGGGAGGCGTAGAGGGCAATTGGCATGTGACGGGGGCAAAGAGAGGAAGAGAGGGGAGGACAAGCCGCTGCTGATGTGCCACTTAGACCGTTAAACCCCAGGTTTCGGGTTTAACTAAGGTGCACGAGCAGACTGTGTGAAAAGTAGAAAAGAATAAAACCAGAACAGGAAGTTAATGCCAGGAATTTACCTGCCCCTTGAACGGTACGGATGCGAGGATCCGGTCGAACGCGCTCTGGCGATCTGTGGTTACCACCAGCAGCAGTTCTTCGTCCGTTTTGCTGTTACTGTCGCCACTCGCTGCCGAACCTGCTGTAGGTTTGGCAGTGTACACGTCCCGAACCTTCCCCTCTTGCTTCGACCCGACCCCAGGCACGGCCCCCTCGAGATCTGATTGGACGAGGCATCGCGATAAGCTCCCCTCGATCGCGACGAGGATTTCTGGCCGTTGATTCAAGTCTAGGTCGATCGCTGACCGTACAGCCATGGACGAGGTGTTTCGTTTTCCCTGGTTAGAGAATAAGACGCGTGATCTCCAGGAATCTGCGCGATGCAGGGGAAGGCGATATGCGGGGGAGGAGGAAAACGAACGGCTTATGGAGGCACTGCCCCTAGTTTTAAGCACATTGTGAACGGAAGCAGGTGACTCTTGCAACGAAAAGCGCGTACACGCGAGGGCGCGGGTGGCCATTGCGGAAAGAGCGGCGCAATGCGCGGTGGCAAGTGCCAGATTGCCCTACTGAAATGGGGCAATAGAATATTTGTACGGGAATTTGGACAAATTGCGCTGAGTATGGGAGCGTATTTGGGGAATGCACCCGCCAATCGGAAAAAACTTTGTAACCGAAACGCATCTCGCATAATAGTTCGAGGAAATTCGTCGACAATGAAATCTGTTACACTATATTTGCCGAAATTCTGCAATTTTTTTGTCAGCGTCGTTCCAACTGGTCCTCGGGGTGTGCCCTGCGATTCAAGCCTTCGAGAACAGCCCTGAATGCGGAGCCACGAAACCTGGTTTTGGTTGTAGCAGAAATTCGTTTTACCTGTTCTTTGAATAGCGAGTTCAATAACGAGGACGAATGAGGGGATCAGTGTTGATCAGTGTTCCAGCCCAGCCTATGGAACATGGATTTTACCGGGCGGATTGCCTGACAGTAGTAGGGTTGGTGCAGTAATCTGATGAGTCGTGGAATAAGAGGGCTATAGGACAGGACGCAGAGTCACTTCAGTGCACGCCTGCTGTCTGCTCCGTGCCGTCGAGTCCCTCCTTAGCACCCGCATACATCCAGAACTAGCTGTGCAAGACTTTAGTACAGCCTGATTAGAGCCTGAACCGAGGTCTGAATCGCGGCTTCGATTGAGGAGCCATGGCCCGGCCCGCGGAGATTTTCCCGCCGCTTTTGGACCGTTTGAACGCGCCGCACCCGTCGGTGCAGCGATTCACTGTAGACGCCATCTTCGCGCGATTCACGGCGCCGAGCACGGCGCCGCAGACCTGCGCGCCCGCGCGCGAGGCGCTGACGGCGTGCCTGACTCATGCCACGTCAGCAGTGGTGGACCAATCCGTAACAGCGCTGTGCGGGCTCGTCCAATCAGGGCACTGCAAGGCGGATGAAGGTTCGTGGTGGTTTCCTAGTGGTGGAAGGCAATAGGTACCTGTCAGTTTGGAAGGCAAATACCCTCTAGTTTTAGCATTTTATCTATCGTTCCACTTTTTCCATGTACCCTTCCCAACATCATCACGCTCTGTCCTTTACCCCTCTTCTTCCCCTTCCCTCCAACCGCCCTCCCCCTCCCCCTTGTCCTCCCCCTCCCCCTCTCCCCTTTTCCCCTGCAAATCCCCCCATTCCGTCCCCCCAGCGCTGGCGCATCTGCTGGCGGCGCTGCCAGCAGTGCGGGGGGAGGTGGTGGGGAGTGTGTGCGCGGGGGTGGTGGGGATGTACGTGGCGTGTGTCAGGGATGACGTGGCGTCTGCGAGGGGTGACGTGGCGCTGGCAACGGGTGACGCGGATGCGCGGGAGGGGCGGAAAATGCAGCAGGAGGGCGGGATTGAGTCCGAAGGGGAGAAGGAGGGGAGGGACGAGCAACGAGAGGAGGTGCAGTGGCGCTGGACAGGAGGCACCCACCCCTTCACACGGGTAAGCGTCTCTGGCTAGAGGGGGGCGACAGGTTGGCAATGAGGTAGTTAGCTTAGTGTTAGCAGCGTGGTTTGCTGTGTGAGGCGCCATTCAATGCAGTGGCGATGGACAGGAGGCACCCACCCCTTCACACGTGTAAGCGTCTCTTCTTCTCTGGCTGACAGGTTGGCAATGAGGTAGCTAGCTTAGTGTTTGGAGCGTGGTTTCCTGAGTGAGGCGCCATTCAATGCAGTGGAGGTGGACGGGAATCAGTGTTAGTAGGAATTTCTCAAAGCGCTTTCGATATTTGTTATTTATGGCGATGGATGGACGGGGGTGCACAACCTGGTGCACACGTGAATCTAAGCGTTTTTTGTATGTGTGTGTCTGTGTGTGTGTGTGTGTGTGTGTGTGTGTGTGTGTGTGTGTGTGTGTGTGTGTGTGTGTGTCTGTGTGTGTGTGCGTGTGTGTGTGTGTGTGCATCCATGCGTGATGACGTGGCAAGCAGCTATTGGAGACACGGGACGAGGCGCATCTGCCTCTGCTCCACCATCTCACGCTCCTCCTCCTCTCCCCTCCTCCTCTCTCCACCACCCCCACCCCCACCACCAAGTCAAAGCCTTGCAGTGGCACTACCACCATTATCAGCAGCAGCGACACCATCAGCAACAGTGGCTACGCCAGCAGCGGCAATAGTAGCAGCAGCAGCAGCAGCAGCAGAGACAGGTCTCTTTTCTTCTCCTCCCTCCTCCCGTTCCTCTGCCGCGCCCTCCTCCCCGCCCCCTCCCCGCCCTCACGCCTCCGCTTCAAGGCCGCCCTCCACACGCGATTGGTCCAAGTGGCTGCCACGTCAGCAGACCTGTTCCAGCCAATCACGGCGCTGCTGGTGTCGCTGCTTCCATGGCACATGCTGTCGTCGGCAGCGGTGAGTGGCGGTCTCAGTGACAGTGAGCTGCGCATTGATTGGACAGCAGTATCTTTGCGGGGTAGATTGGAACTTGCCCCTCTGCGTGTGGGTGAGTTTGGGGCTTGCCCTTTAACGGCACTTCCCATTCGTTGAGACGGAGACCAATTTCTGTGTTGTTTCGTTCTGTCGTTGCAATGTACTACCCCTATGACGTGCACTCGTGTGTCCACCCATATCTATGTGCATACGTTTGTTCATGCGCTCCCATCCCATTCCATCCCATCCCATCCCATCCCATCCCATCCCATCCACACACGCCAGGATCGAGAGGCCATGCTGGCATGCCTGGGCGAGCTCATGGATCTAGCCTATGCCACGTCATCATCCAATCACACGCAAGAATCCCGGAACCAAATCCACCAAATCCGCAACATGCATTCGCTCGCCTCCCTCGCCACCCGCCTATCCGCCTGTGCTCTTGCGCTCTCCCTCGAGCTGCAAGCCGCCGGCACCACCACTGCTGGTGGTGCTACTGGTGCGGCTTCTGCTGGTACTGTTGTTGCTGCTCCTTCACCCACTGCTGCTGCCTCTGCTGCTGCAGGGCTGCCCTCGTGCCTCTTCCTCGTGCAAAAATCCTCCCTGCTGCGAGCTCAAGTTGATGTTCAAAGAGGGGAGAGAGAGCGTGAGGGAGAGGAAGGGGATGCGGTGGAGGTAGTGGGGCTGCTGCGCCTGCTGCTGTGCGGGCTACCAGCAGACGAAGACCACATTGCAGTGCTGTCAGTGCTGCAGCAGACTCTTTCCAAACTGAAACGTGAAGCTGTTTTGTCTCAACTCAAAGGCACACAGAGCGCGGTTCCTCTGCTGCTGCTGCCGCTCCTCCACCTGCTCTCCTTCCCGTCGCCTGCTCTCAAGCAATCCGCAGCACAGGCAATCAATGCGTGCCTCGCTGCCATGGCAACTCAACCTCTCCTCTCCACGCCCCTATCATCAGTCTCGTCTGCTTCTGTCTCCGCCTCTTCCGTTGCCTCTGCTGGGTCTGCCACAAACTTACTATCCCAACAGCAGCTGTGGCACATGCGGCAGCAGCAGCAGCAGTGGAGGCACCTAGACCTCTGGCACACACACCAGTACGCGCAGCTCTTCACCTGCCTCGCCTCCCAGCCTCATACTTTCTCCTATGGCTACCCATTTGCAAACAGCAATCCCCAATGGCAGCGCAGCACGCGGCAATTACCAGAAACCTGGGCCAATGAACCCGTGCCATGTCAGCACGACTTCGCTGGATCTTCCCCTGGAGCAGACGTGGATGATGCGCTTTCTGACGTGGCAGGCTCTCTGGCGCTTTCACACGGGAGATCTGTGTTGTCAGCAGTGACAGGGGGAGAGAATGGGTGCCACGTGTCAGGCTCTGACAGGTGGCTGATAGCGCTGCAGCAGCAGCTGAATCAAATCCGGAAAGAGACAGTGAGAAAGGCAGGCAGAGAGACATCAGCCGGTAGCGGCATGTCTCAATCCCTCATCCTCTCACTCGCAGCTCTCCTCCTCCCTCTCTCCACCCTCCACCCCTCCCCCTCCCTCCGCTCCTCCTCCCTCCTCTCCCTCTCCCGCCTGGCCTCATGCGAGCCTATCTGGGCTCTCTCCCTGCTGCCAGCTGTCCTCTGGAGCTTGAGCCACGTGGCACAAGAAGGGGCGGGCGGGATAGGAGAGGTGGGGAGTGAGAGAGGGGTGAAGGAAGGAGTGGGGAGGGGCAGTGGTGGAGCGGGTGGCGAGGCGTGTCTTCTAGTGCTGTGCGTCGTGCCGAGCCTTGCGAGGCACTGGCTGGCTGCTGGCCCCGTGGTGCAGGTCCTGACAAAGCTTGCCGGCCACAAGTCCCGCCCGTACGTATTTCCATTTCCTCTGCTTTTCTCCTGACAAACCCATGAGAGCCTGTGTTCTGAGCCCCCTGCTCTTCTCACTCTGCCCCCCTCCCTCACTCCATCTCTGCCTTTCCCCTCCCCTCCCCCAGTCTCCTCGCGTCTGTGGCTCTGCGGCTGCTACAGCAAGCATGGGCCATCACCGGATCGCATCTTCCCCTCCTTGCAGCCGCTGCTGCTCCTCTTAACCTGTCATTTCCCTCCGTTTCCACTCCCCGACTCCTCCCTCCCCTTTGCCTCCCCCCAGTCTTCTCGCGGCTGTGGCCCTACGACTCCTACAGCAAGCCTGGGCCATCACGGATCGCATCTACCCCTCGCTGCAGCCGCTGCTGCTCCTCTTAACCTGTCATTTCCCTCCGTTTCCACTCCCCGACTCCTCCCTCCCCTTTGCCTCCCCCCAGTCTTCTCGCGTCTGTGGCCCTACGACTCCTACAGCAAGCCTGGGCCATCACGGATCGCATCTACCCCTCGCTGCAGCCTCTGCTGCTGCCGCCCTCCCTCTCCCTCTCCACTAAACCCAGCACCACCAGCCGTACAAGCAGCAGCAGCAGCAAGGGGGGCAGCGGTGCAGCAGAGGAGGCGATGGTGCTGGCAGCAGCAGCAAGCGTACGGGGAGTGTGTCGCCACGACACGGACCGGGCAGTGCGCCTGGTGCTCTCAGTACAAGCAGCCATCGAGTCACCCCATTTCCTTGTTGCTGCCTTTGGTCTCGACGCCCTTGCTGCTCTCTGCACTGCCGACGCCGTGGGTAAGTCCTTGCTCCATGACAGAGAATAAATCTGGTGAGAATACGGGGAGTGTGTCGCCATGACACGGACAGGGCAGTGCGGCTGGTGCTGTCCGTGCAGGCGGCTATCGAATCACCCTATCCGCTCGTTGCTGCCTTTGGTCTCGACGCCCTTGCTGCTCTCTGCTCTGCCGACGCCGTGGGTAAGTGCTTGCTCCAGCTGTGCTGCTCTCTGCAGGCGGCTATTGAATCGCCTAACCCCCTCGTTGCTGCCTTTGGTCTGGGCGCGCTTGCTGCTCTCTGCTCTGCCGATGCCGTGGGTAAGTCCGTCATAACCGCTCTGGCGAAGGTGCACGTGTAAGATCTGGGGACGCCAGTTTTGAGTTGACTCCGAACTAGGCTCGAAACTGAGTCGGCGCAAAACCTGGCGAAGGTGCATGTGTAATATCTGGGGAGATGCAGTGCGGCTGGTGCTCTCAGTGCAGGTGAATGAAGAAGTGTTTTGAGACGTCTCAAAACACCGCAGGGTATTTCTGGCGAAGGTGCACGTGCAAGATCTGGGGAGGAGGTGCAGTGCGGCTGGTGCTCTCAGTGCAGGTTTGGCCAAGTTATCTGTGGGAGAGGGAGGTCGTGAGAGGTTGTTGATTCGCTCATCCGCTATTGCGTGCTGCCTTTGTTTTTTGAGGCGCCTAGAAATACTGAAATACTGAAGCACATCAATATTCCCCTTCCCTCCCCTCACCACAGATTTCTTCACAGCATGGAAAGTGGTGTCCCGGTCGCACCCCTCCCTGCCCGCGCATGCAATCACGGCCGCCCGTTGGTGCTACCTGCTGCAATCCGCTGCTCTCTGTGCTGTCTTTGACCCCCACCTTCCCACTGCCCCCACCTCTCTCCTCCGCTCCCACACTCCAGACTTCTTCACGGCATGGAAGGTGGTTGCACGGTCGCACCCCTCGCTGCCCGCCCATACAATCACGGCCGCCCGTTGGTGCTACCTGCTGCAATCCGCTGCTCTCGACAAAAACCGCTGATCGCACCCCTCCCAGCTCTCCAGCCGTTTTTGAGGCCCCTCAAACACGACCCCCTTCTCTCCTCCAAATCCCGACCAACCCCTGACCCCAGATTTCTTTACGGCGTGGAAAGTGGTCTCACGGTCACACCAGCCATCAACCCGCCCATCCAGGTATACTGAAGCACATCAGTATCCCCCTTCCCTCCCCCCACCACAGATTTCTTCACGGCATGGAAAGTGGTTTCCCGATCACACCCCTCCCTGCCCGCGCATGCAATCACGGCTGCCCGTTGGTGCCACCTGCTGCACTCCGCTGCTCTCGACGCCGCGGCGTATCCCGACGTGACACGTGGCATCATGGAGGGATTGTGGGAAGCTGCCAGGAAAGGGAGGGAGGGGGAGCTGGTAGGAGGAGAAAAAGAAGGAAGAGGAGGAAAGGGAGAAGGGGAAAGGGAGTGGAGGCAGACTCGTGCCGCTGCGTTCACTGCACTTGCTGCTTTCACGGTACCTCGCCCACCCACCACACATCCTTCCCAACTCCTCTCTATGTGCACTCGATCTGCTAATGCTCTACCCGCCTCCTCTTTCCTTTTTCTTCTCCCTCATCATCTGGCAAGAATGTTGCATCAAGGCTGTTTTTTTCCCTCCTCCTATCCCTTCCGACCCCCCTCCTCCCACCTCCCAACAGCTGGATGACGTCACAGCCACATGGCCCTACCCCAGCACCCACCTCGTTCAAGCCTTCCTCTCAGAGCCCTGCTTGTCTGTGCGCCAAGCCATGCTCCCCCTGCTCCCTCTGCTCCCCCTGCTCTCCCAACAGGTGGATGACGTGGCAAACACATGGCCCTACCCCAGCACCCACCTGGTTCAGGCTTTCCTCTCAGAGCCCACGGCTATGATGACCCCACACAACCCAATCCTATATAACTCCCTCCCCATCTTCCTCCCTCCCCTAGGTGGATGACGTCACAGTCACATGGCCCTACCCCAGCACCCACCTGGTTCAGGCCTTCCTCTCAGAGCCCTCTGCTGCAGTGCGCCAAGCCATGCTCCCCCTCCTCACCAAGCTAGCTGACTACCAACACAGGACCCGGCCTCGAGGTCGGTCGGCTGGGAGGGCTATGGTGGTGGGAGGAGGAGAGGGGGTGGAAGGTGACGTGGCGTCTGGTGCCACGTCAGCGGGCGCGCCTGGGGCCGCCACGTGGCGGTCGAACAAGCTCCTGGCGGCGCTGCCCCGGCTGCTGTGTCCGGAGAGCTTCGGCGGCCGCAAGGGGAAAGACGGACTTGGTAAGACCGATGACGGTAGTATACGCTGTGAGGATCATTTCACAGACAGACTGCTGGTAAAAAGGAAGAAACTGGCAGTGTGTGCGTCACTTGATGTGTCCAGAGGACAAGCTCCTGGCGGCGCTGCCCCGGTTTCTGTGTTCGGAGAGCTTCTGCTGACGGAAGGGCAAAGATGGGCTTGGTAAGGCTGATTGCTGAAGCATCAAGGGTAGTATACGCTTTGAAGACTGCCCTTTGCCAAGCGTTGCCCTTCGCCTTGTGGCCATGATAAAATCTCTCGTGAACGAATCACAACCAACTAGCCCCTCCGTCCTTTCCCACCTCCCCCAGATGTACCTGCTGCTGCGTTGCTGCTGGTGGTGCCGCCACCACCAGGCATTGTTTCCCAATTATCTTCAGCTACCCCCTCCTGCCTATCCCACCTCCCCCAGATGTACCTGCTGCTGCGTTGCTGCTGGTGCCACCGCCACCGCCAGAGCCACTGTCAGGCGCATCTGCTGGCAGTGCCAGGCAGGCTCGGCTAGACCTGGAGAAGGTGGGGATTGGGGTAGGTGTTTTCTGAGGGGGGGTCTGTTTTTGAGGCGCATCTGCTGGCACTGCCAGGCAGGCTCGTCTAGTCCTGGAGAAGGTGGGTACTGGGGCAGGTGTTTTCTGAGGGGGGTCTGTTTTTGAGGCGCATCTGCTGGCACTGCCAGGCAGGCTCGGGTAGACCTGGAGAAGGTGGGGATTGGGGTAGGTGTTTTCTGTCGCTGGTGGCGGGTTTCTTTGTGAGAGTTTGGCGCAGAGAATTTGAACCAATCACGCGGCACTTGTGGGGGATTTTCGTTTTAGCGCTTGGTTGGGATTCTCTGCGGGTCATGCTTGCAATCAATGCAGGGCATTTGCATGCATGTATGCATATGTTTGAATGCGGAACTAATCAGCTTCCCCCTCAATGTTGTCGTAGTTGTTGTCTTCTCTTTCTTTTTTTTCTTCGTATATATATGTATATATATATAAATATATATTATTCTTTAAGTTTCGGGTTGTCAACTGCTTTCTTTCCCCCTCGTCCGCCCGTCTTTCCCCCTCTCCCCTGCTCTCCCCTTTCCTCCCCCTCGTCATTCATCCCGCACCAGGCCCTCAAGGAAAGAGACGCGCACTTCCACCGCATCTTCCTGGAAGCTTCACAATCTCTCAGCCGCCCGGCCTTCTTCCCTTTGGCGCTCTCCTCTCTTGCTGCCTGGACGCACTTCATGCGCCAATGGTATCGTGCCAGGTGTCGCCTGCTGCACGCCACAGCCACCACCACCGCCGCTGCTGCTGCTCGTGGTTCTGCCTCTACAGCTGCTGGAACAGTGGAAGGGGCAGGGACAGGGGGAGGGGGAGCAGGGGGAGGGGGAACAGGGGGAGGGGGAGCAGGGGGAAGGGGAGCAGGGGGAAGGGGAGTAGGGGGAGCCGTTTCCCCAGGCGACGTGCCGGCAGCAGCAGCAAGGGGGCTATGGTCAACAGTAACCCAAGGGTTTGACAGCGGTATTCCAGTGCAAGCAGAGAACAGTGCACTCGCCCTCGCTGCTCTCTGCCAAGCCTTGCCGTCCACCCTCCACCCTCTTGTCGCCTCTGCTGCTGATCTGCTCCGGGGGAGGCTCAAAGATGGGGGGACGAGCGGGGGATGGGGGGTGGAAGAGACGGGGGAAGGGGAAGAGGAGGGAAGGGGTGGGGGAGGGGGAGGGGGGAGGAGAGGGGGAGTGGGTGGGGAGGGGAGAGAGAGGGGTGGTGCGGGGTGGGTAGCGGTGAGTGGGTGGGCGGATGCTCTAGCGCTGGGGGCAGTGGGAGGGTGCCTTCATGCTACGGATGCCCACATGCGCCTCAGGATTGCCATTCTGCTCACCAGGGTAAGCCAGTTCACATGTGAGGGTGAGGCTATGCGTGACTGATGGATGCTCTAGCGCTGTGTGAGCAGAATGGCTATTCTTAAAGTACCCTGGTGAGCAGGTAAAGGTCTTACCCTAGTGAGCACTGAGCAGAATGACTATTCTGGTGATCCCTCTGGCACCCCTCTTACCACTTTCTCTCGTTCCCTAGCCACTTGCTCCCACTTTCCTGTTACTTCTTCACACCCTTCTGCCATTTCCTCTGCCATTCCTCCTGCCACTGCCACCCGCACTGGTGCCATTGTGTCCCGCGCTCCAGCCACTGCCGCTCGCCCTTCTGCCACTGCATCCCACGCTTTGAGTCGACTCTGAAGTGCGTTTGAGGAGAAGGCCTTTCGTGACTGACTACTAAGACGCTTGATTGATCTACCTCAATCCTTTTTTATCCCCCACCTTACTCCACCCTTTCTGTTCCAAACCAAATAACCTTCCTCTCTCTCTTCAATCCTCCTGCCCCAGATTCTCAACCAATCAGGAGCCGGCAGCTCGCTCCGGTTCGCAGCTGCTGTCTCCCTCGGGACCATCGCAGCGCGCCAAGTTGCGCTCTCCCATTCGTCAACCACAGAAGGGAGCACCAGCAGCAGCACCAGTGGCGAGAATGCTGACTCAGCATCAGCCGCAGCAGCGACAGTTGTGCGAACGCTCTGCGTTGTGATTGGTCGGTCCTCCTGCGAATCTCTCAGGGAGCTGGCGCAGGTTCTGAGGAAGCTTCCTGGGGAGATGGGGCGGGCGGTTACTGTAGCACTGGGGGAGGCAGAGGAGAGAAAGGGGGAGGGGGAGGGGAGTTTGGGGGGGATGGGGGGTATGGAATCGGAGAGGGGTGAGGGGGATGTAAGTCTAGGGGAAGATGAGGGAGAGGAGTGGGGTTTGGGGGGGGCGTTACTAGGCCTTGCTATTCTCACCTCCTCCCTCACCTCTTCCTCTTCCTCTTCCTCCTCCTCTTCCTTCACCTCTTCCTCCACTTCCGCCCCTTCCACCCCCCACCTCTCCCTCCTTTACTCCTTTGCTTCCCTTCTCTTCCAATGGATTCAAGCCTTTGCCCACTCGCTCACATCAAACCAGAATGTACCTTCCCCAGGCAAGCCTTCCTCAGTTATACCTCCCCCGCTAGTAGACGGATGGGGCGACCCGATCGCCCCTCCCTCCCCGCCATCCCCCCTGGACTCTCCCTCGGCCAATCACGTGCCGCCAGCTGTCCTTGCAGCGGCAGCAGCACTGGCACTGCCCCTGGTAGCAGAGTGCGGAGTAAGGGGGGGGAGAGAGGCTGGGGGAGGGGGACGGGGAACAGGTGGGGGAGGGGGAGGGGGAGGGGGAGGGGGAATGCCAGAGAGAGAGGGAATGGGGGGAATACCAATGGAGGAGGGAGGTGGAGTAGGTTCTTTCTCCGATTCTTTCAAGTGGGGACAAAATGAACGGATCGAAGAGAAACAGATGGCAGATTGGACCGACGGACTGAGGCGAACATTTCAAGAAGTAATGCACTTGAAAAGACAACCACTCCTCCTACCCTTACCACCAGATCAACCCCAAGCCGAGTCCTTCTCTCTGCTATCCCTGCCGCTGCTGCCACTACCGGAGCTACCAGCAGGATCGGTGATGGATGAAGAGGCGTTGTTGCTGCTGCACGCGCAGCACCAGCAGCAATACCAGCAGTACCAGCAGCACCTGAGTCACCAGCAGCAGCAGCAGCAGCAGCAGCAGCAGAATTTTGCAGCTGCAGCTCACGCAAACAGGGACCCTTACGATGCTTATGCCGAAGCAGACTATACAGGAGCCGCCAGCACCACAGCAGCAGCAGAAGCGTTCCGCGGCCCTCCTCCCGTGTTCCTCTCAGCAGTGTCTCTCTCTTTAGCCGCCATGGTGCATGCATCCCTCTGCTCTGATGTCGCCTTGCCCCTTGGGGCTATCACTGACGTCCTCTCTCCCCTGCTGGCTGCTGTGGGAGGTGATAAAGTAACCGGCTCTGCTTCTGCTTCCGCTTCCGCTGCTGCTGCTTCCTCTGCTGCTTCTGCTGTTGAGGCTGCTTCTTCTGCCGCTGCTGGTGCCACTGACCATTCTGCACCACCAGCAGGACTGCTCCCCAGCAGTGTGAGGGGAGCAGCAGCCATGGGAGTGGCAGCACTGCTTGGCGCGCCTCTTCTTCTCACCCCCCTCCCAAGCCACCGTACACAGCACCACCCTCCTTCTGCCTCTGCTGTCTCTGCTTCCGCTCCTGCTCCTGCTGCAGCTGGTGTAACAGCTACTGCTATGACTGCTTCAGTTGCTGCAGCAGAAACATCTACCACTACGGTAGCTGTTGCCAGCTCAGCAGCAGCCTATCAGATCCTTGTGATTGGTCCGCTGCTCTTCTCCCCGAGCGACGCCATCCAATCACGCGTCAGGGACGCGCTGCAGTCATTGGTCGAGGCGTACCGCCGCGACCGCCACGTCAGCGTCAAGCGCCAGGCTGGCTGGGCGCTGGCTCTCTGCGTGGAAGCTTCCCGGAAGCTTTCAGGTGAAGCGGAAGAAGAGGAGGAGGAAGATGATGATGAGGAGGAGGGCCGGGGGTGGGGAGGAGGAGTAGGAGGAGGAAGAGGGGGAGGAGGGAGAAGGGGAGAAGGTGCGGGGAGGAGGGGAGGGGGAGAGGGGAAGCAGTGGTTGTTGGGTCAGTTCCCGGCTGACAGTGTGGTGCGACTGCTGTCGTCTTGGCTGCTTGAGAGAAGTCTGCACGTGGGAGCAGGAGCGGGCAGTCTCTGGGTGAGTTTTTTGGGAGGCCTGCAGGGGAATACTTGTGGGGGGAGTGCTTTGTTAAGTCAGTTCCCGGCTGACAGTGTGGTGCGACTGCTGGCGTCTTGGCTGCTGGAGAGAAGTCTACACGTTGGGGCAGGAGCGGGCAGCCTATGGGTGAGTTTTGTGGAGGGGATTTGGTGAGTGTGACAGGAGAGAAGCAGTGGGTGCTGGGTCCATTTTCTGCTGATAGTGTGGTTCGACTGCTGGCATCTTGGCTGCTGGAACGGAGTCTATATGTGGGGACAGGAGCAGGCAGCCTGTGGGTGAGTGTGTGGGGGCTGTGAGGTAGCGGGTGGGTGAGTAAGTGTGTATGGGGAATAGAGGAAGAGTGTGAGGGAGTGAAAGTTGTAGTGTTTGCACACTTTAAAATATAACCACGCTCCTCTCCTCCCCTCCCTTCTCCTCCCCTCCCCTACCCCCTCCGCATCCCTCCCCTCTCCGTCCCCCATACCCCCCACCCTCACCTTCTCCCCAACACACAGGACGCTGCCAGCGTGCCAGCTGTCGCGTCCTCATTGGCCCTCCTCGCCCACGCCCCTCGAATCCCCTCCCTTGATTGGCCCTCCATCCTCCACCGTTTCCTCCGCCGGGTCTCTGTGACTGCCCCCGCCTCCCATGCTGCTCTGCTGCTGTTCCCTCCCTCTCCTTCTGCTGCATCAGCAGCGGCAGCAGTAGGGTCTCTTGATGGGTCAGCAGAAGGAGGGATTTCGACAGCAGGAGGGGCAGCAGGAGGGGCAGCAGCAGCAGCAGCAGCAGAAGCAGCAGCGGCAGATGCAGACAACCTACGCTGTGCGTGCCTCCACTTCGCCGCCCACCGCGGTATCGTCCCCTTCCTCGATGACCTCACCGCTGACGTCAGCAGACTCGTCCAGCTGGCGCCAGCGGTGCAGCGCGCGCTGCTGTCGCGACACCTGGCGGCCGTGGTGGGACTGTTCTCCCAGGAAAGATCTCGGAAGCTTCTGAGGGACGTGATGGGACTAGTGAGAACGTATATGGCTGCTGCAACTGGTGCCGCTGCTGCCGCTGCTGCTAGCACTGATCGTGCTAGTACTGCTGCAGCTGCTGGTGCAGCTGGTGCTGTTGGTGGTGCTGCTGCTGCTGAAGGGTCAGGCGTAACATTAGAGGAAGCGCAAGAAGAAGCCACTTCAGAGTGGTTCCGGAAAAAGCCCATGCCATCAACAGCAGCACCAGCAGCAGCAGCAGCGCCTGCTTTAGCAGCACCAGCAGCCAGTGCAAAAGCAAAAGCAGCAGCACCAGCAGCCAGTACCAAAGCAAAAGCAGGAGCAGCAGCAGTATCCAGTACAGCAAGAGTAGCATTGCGAGAGGCAGGGGAGGCTGCAGCAGCAGCTGCTGCCGTGAGAGTCTGGGCTTGGACGGGCCTACGAGACATTTTGTCCGCCGCCTCTTCTTCCTCTCACAATGATCCAGAAAAGGCAGCAAAAGAAACACATACTTCAGTATCTCGAGCTGATGCTTCTGTATCGTGGAGGCGTGATGCTGATAGTGCTGGTGCCGCTGCTGATGCTGCTGGTAGTGGTGGTGGCAGAGGTGGGGGTGGTGGGGATGCATATTCCAGTAACAGCATAGGGGAGCAGTTTGGGGGTGGGATGGTGGAGGCAACGACGTGGGCGTGTGTGAGCGAGCTGCTGAGATCTCTCCCCCTGCCACGCCCCGTGCGGATATCCGCAAGTCAAAGAAGTCAAACAAGTCAAAGTCAAGGTCAAAGTCAAAGTCAAAGTCAAGGTCAAAGTCAAGTTCAAAGTCAAGTACCAGACTTGAGGGAGGATTCGAGGGTCGCTGTGCGGGCGAGCGGCCAATGGGAGGGCGACAGCTGGCCGCTGGACGAGAGTCCCGAGTGGCGGGCGGCGGTGGAGTGTCTTGGAGTGATGCGGAGAGAAGACGTGCTGGTAATGCTCAAGATTCCCTCACCGTCAGCACCATCAGCAGGCGAAGCACCACCAGCAGCAGCAGCAGCAGCAGCAGCAGCAGCATCAGCAGCATCACCTGCACCTTCCATCTCCCCCAGTAGCCATCTCCCCCGCCTCGCATTCTCCCCAGCAGCTGTCCGTGCAGTCGCCATGCGCCTGCACCTCCTGCGAATCAACCCGCGCCACCTGTCGCTTGCTGACGTGGCGCCGTGCCGCGTGTTTCTCTGCGAGCACCCGCTGCCAGGTCAGCTCGGAAATGATGACCTGGCGTGAAAGCAGTGAACCCTCCTCGTTTGAACGATGTGGCGGGGAGGTTGGAAATATGCATGCAGCATAGCAGGGGCATGCAGCACAGCAGGGACATGCAGCAAATCTCTTCCCTGTCTATCTCTTCCCTCTCTTGCCCCTTCTACCCACTCTAATTCCTCACCAGCAACCTACACGTGGCTACTGGTGGAGCTAGCGAGTGCAGCATTCTCTCTCCTCATCTATAAGCTAACCATCTGACCCCCGCACCCCTTGCCCCTCCTTCCTTGCAGCATCCTACACGTGGCTACTGGTGGAGCTAGCCAGTGCAGTGGCAGCAGCACCGGAGGATCATCGCTTGCCATTCCTTCTCGACACACTTGACTCCATTCAAATCACCCGTTACCCCTGGACGGTATGCTGCTCACACTACTACTACTGCTACTGCTACTGCTACTACTGCTACTGCTATTATTATTATTATTATTTTGTGGTGTCTATTTTTTTCTAGCTATATCAAAATCGCTAACCAGCCTCTCCCCAGACAGCCTCCTCTTCCTCTCCACCAGCCAAATCTCTGTTTCCATATCGTTATCTTTCCCTCCTTGCTGTCCCCGCCTGTCCCCCTTGTCCTCCCTGCCCCCTGTCTTCCTCCCTCCCCCATCGCCCATCCCTCCCAGCATGCCCTTCAGCTCTTTACTCTCATGCTCACCAACCTCTCCCTCAACCACCTGCTCCTCCCCACCAGCCATTTCTCTGCTTCCATGCCCTTGCCTTTCCCTCATCCCTGTCCCCTCTCTCCTACATTTCCATTTCGCCCTCCCTTTCCACCCATGCTCCCTCCCAAGCAGGCCCTGCAGCTGTTCTCTCTCATGCTCGCGTGCATCTCCCCCGACCACCTGCTCCTCCCCACCAGCCCCAATGCTATTATGCCCTTAGCTTCCCCCCTCCCTCCCTCCCTTCCCGTCCCCCTTTTACCCCCCACAAGCAGGCCCTGCAGCTTTTCTCTCTCATGCTCGCCCGCCTCTCCCCAGACCGCCTGCTCCTCCCCACCAGCCCCACGGCAGCAGTCTTCCTCCTGCCGCACACCCTCCCTCCGCTCCTCTCCCAGCGCGGCCTAGCAGGCTCGGTGGGAGGCATAGTCTCTCGCTTCCAGTCGCTGCTGTTGTGGCTGTCAGATGAAAAGGAGTGCCTCTTCTGGGAAATTGGGGCTGATTCAAAATATGGCAGCAGCAGCAGCAGCAGTGGCGGCAGCAGCAGTGGTGGTAGCAGTGGAAGCACAGTCAGCAGCAATGAGCGGGTGCAGGTGTTGAGGGGAGTGGTGGTGGATGTGTTGAGGGCTCTGCGCCACCATCTACCCTCCCATGCCGTCTCCACCATCTGTCTCGCCAACGTCGCTTCCCGAAGTACGTGAGCCTCCATCGGAGCAGCAGCAGGGGCAGTGGCAGTGGCGGCATCGGCGGCAGTGGCAGCAGTGAGCGGGTGCGGGTGTTGAGGGGAGTGGTGGTGGGTGTGTTGAGGGCCCTGCGCCACCATTTACCCTCACATGCCGTCTCCAGTATATGTCTCGCCAACGCCCTTTTGCAATGAGAATTCAGAGGCTGCATAGGTGTGCCTGCTCAGTGGTGGTGGCAGCAGTGGAAGCAGAAGTGGCAGTGATGGCATATGCAAGACCAGTGGCAGCAGCAGCAACAGCAGCAATGAGAGGGTGCGGGTGTTGAGGGGAGTGGTGGTGGATGTGTTGAGGGCTCTGCGCCACCACCTGCCCTCACATGCCGTCTCCAGCATCTGTGTGACCATCGCCTCGTTGCAAAGGACTCCAGGCTTTTTAGGAAGACATGATCTCGCTTTTCCAGGCATTACTGTAGTCGCAGCAGCAGCAGCAGTAGAGTGGCAGCAGCATAAGCGGCAATCAGTGGGTGTTGAGGGGAGTGGTGGTGGATGTGCTGAGGGGTCCTCATATTCCATCTCTTGGTTATGAATTGGAGAGGGGATGGTGATTCATTTGATCGAATGTTGAAGCTGTATTTTCAGTTTATTAGTTTAGTGTTCGGGGTCGCATCAGGGCGCTTTGTTTAGATTACCAGATAAACCTTGGTATACACCATGCTGGTGTGTGGTAGCTGGATGCTGGAACAATGTCAAGTGTCAAGTAAGCTTCCAGGCAGGGTAACTTGTGTTTCAGATTAGAAGGCCCAGCTTCCGATTCGAGCATGTACCCGTACTCATTATTTCTGGTGGAACTACCATAGGTCCCCAAGACCGTCCCCAAGACCACCAGTCGTTCCCAATTTCCCAGTGCTCTCGACATGCCCCCCAAATTCACCCACCACCATGTTTCCATGGAAAAATCAAGGTCCTTGTGTACCATAGCAGAGTGATACGGTGTATGGAAATCAGATCACCAATTGTGCCACAGGTGGGCATCAGCTCCCTCATCAAACCCACTTGACGACGCCAGTGCCTGCAACTCAAGCCTCTTACTGTACTTGGCTCGCCGTCTCTCGTCGTACTCCTCCCACCCCTCGATCTGCGCAGGGCAAGTGGAGCGGGATCAAAGGCAAAAGAGACAATGGGTTGAAAAGTACAAGATTTTTTAGAAGACTTTTGAGTGCGTCTCTCGTCATAATCCTCCCACCTCAATCTGCGAAGCGCAATGGTGTTGGTCCAGTTTAAGTGGGTAAAGTTAAAGGCATGAATAAGGCAAAACCTGCTTGAGGCTGCCCAAAAGTGAATGTAAATAACCCTGCGCACCCTCTGAATCGACTCAAAAGCCCTCGTACCTCACCTCACGCACTTGGTCAATGGTGGTTGATACAATTTCTACAAGGGAAGAAACGTGAAAACTCTCAGCAACTATGGATATCACTCCGAACTCTGAAACTTCATGTCACTGGTTATGAGGGAGCAGCACTTTGCGACCTCGCATATGGCTGCTCTTCGTAGTAACCAGTGACATGTGACTCTGAACTGGATTTTGTCACATTCAAAGGTCAACATACCTCGCGCAATTGGTCAATGGTGATTTGGTTGCCGTGCAGGGAGAGAGTGAAGAGCTCCGTGCACCCTGTTAGCACCTCTGAGGGGAAGTGCTTGATCGCATTGTTGCTCAGCAGCAGAATCTGCACGCCAGAAAATAACACAATTAAGCGACAACTTTGTTAACCAGCAAAACACCCGTAGATCTCAAACTGTTCCCCACCATCCCTCCCCCTCCCCTCCCCCACTGCCCTCGTCCCACACGCCCCTCCTCCTCCAACCCACCCTTTTCACACTCTCGGGCGCAGCATCTCACCTTGAGATTGGTGAGTCTACCCAGAGCAGCTGGCACGTGGCAGATGAAATTCGCCGAGAAATTGGCCTGAACCGGTCAAAGGCGGTACGGAAAACCACAATGAGGCTTGTGTGACGATTCACACATGGAGCAGCATCAAAATCAGGAAGGAAAACCAGATGGAGATATTTAAAGTAGGCAAGGGATCAACATCACCTCTGCAAGAGATGTGCATTCCGCCATTGAAGGTGGGATGATCCCCAACCTGCAAGTCAAGGCGGCCGTGATAATGGAAAACTCAATCAGTGGTGAGTCTGGGGAAAAAAATGCAAAAATGCCTGCGCAATGAACATCAAAACGAAGGGGTAAACAAATCTTTACTATATGTGACCTAAAAAACGCTTTCCCCATAACCCGGCCCCACTTCTCCCTCATCCCCATCCCCCTTCTTTCCTTCCAATATAGGTCATCATAAAACGAGACAAGTGCAGCACTGTATGTCGGCATGCCACCTCGCTATCAAATCAATCACACAGCCATCATCCAGCTATTGTCACCTGTTATGAGCAGCATCGATCCATTCAAGGTTCTTCAGCTGGCCAATCTCTGGCGGCAGGGAGGAGAGGGCGTTGTGGCTGAGTGCGAGTCGCTTCAGTGAGGAGAGCTGGCCAATGATGGACGGAATCAACCCTATTCTGCAGCACAGAGAAAAAAAAGGATTTTAAGGGGAAAGTGGATTGTTTTGAGGTAGGGTGGCTAAAAGCTGGCCAGTCCCTGGCGGTAGGGAGGAGAGGGTGTTTGTGGCTGAGCGCAAACGGCTTCAGTGAGAAGAGCTGACCGATGATGGACAGAATGAGCCCTGATTTGCAGCACAGGGTAAAGCGAAAAGTCAAGATGATTGTGGATTCTTTAGGCAGCTAAAGAGTTGGCGAACGATGGAGGACGTCGCAGCAGACTCAGGGATTCAACAGAATCAAGATGGCAGGGGCACTACGGTGGCAGTTCCAGGTCAGGGCAGTGCGTGAATTGAATGCAAGCGAGTAGCAAAGGCGACAGCTAATAGTATAATACCTCGAGGGTTCTTGAATATCACTTAGCTGCTCTGCACCCCTGGTTCCCAACCGAAATCTGGTCAACCAGCCGAAACCCTAAAAGCAGCCTGCGAAACCGAGTCAGTTCGGGACCAGGAGAACACGTACTGGTTGTGGTCGAGTGCGAGAGCCATGAGGTTGGGGAGCCGCGTCAGGGCTTCCCAGGCAATGGTGTTCTCCGTCAGCGAGTTATGGCTCAGACGTAACCTCTGCAACCAACCAACCAACCAACCAACCAACCAACCAACACCATCAAGCCAACAACCCCGTTCCGATGAATCCTCATTACCAAACACCGCATATCTATTTAGTTTCTGACAATGTGAGCAATCATAACTTTGCCATAAGGAGATTTTGATCCAGCAGAAATTACACCATAAGCACCAAAAGAGGGGGGAAAGGAGTGAGAATAGCGTATGATTTGCTCATGATAGAAAAGCATATGAATGTCTGACCTGGAGGTTGGTCAAGGCTGTTACGGCAGGTGGAAAGATCCGAAGGCTGTTGCCGCCTAGGTCCAGAACACGTAGTGCGGGGCCCGCAACCCACACAGCACCAGGAACAACCTGAACCCGGTAAGACAGAGAAGTGAAATTGGCTTGAAGAGCACGCAAGTTTGGGACGTGTCGAGGCTTCAAGTTGCGAGTGTATGCGTGTGTGCGCGTCTGCGTGCGCGTGTGCGATTTCGGGGCTGAAGGCGAGGGCGAGAGCGAGTGCGAATTCAACTGCGAAATCGACTGTGACTATGAGCGTGCGCATACGCGTGCGCGCGAGTACGACTGGCAGACAGCAGTGTGCGCGTGCCGGAGCGCACAAGCTCGCATGAGCGAGCGGCTCGCGCACGGGTGCGCGTGCGTGCGCACTCGCCCTCGCGTCTCCGCGCGAATGCGCGTGCGTGCGGGCGTGCGTGTGCGCATGAGAATGCACGTGCGTGCGCGCTTGCGGCTCTGACACTCTGCTTGTGCTTGAGCGCGCTAGCGGGAGTGTGCAAGGGGTGCGCGAGCGCGTGTGTGAGCGTGAGTGCTTAGGTAAGCGGGAAAGAAAATGTATAACGTCTGTCTGTGTGCTGAGGAGGGGGTGTAGCAGGGGGGAATGGGGGAGGAGAGAGGGGGAAGAAATGAGGGGAAAGAAAAAGGCTGCCAACCAGACCGCGCGCGTACCTGCAAGTTACTGTCTCTTAAAGACACGATCCCTGTCTGCACCCACATCCGTTGTCTGGCCTTTTCTTGCCCCAGTGCGACCGGCGATGGCGCTGCGACCGACCGTTGCAGACCTCTGCCGTATCTGTGGCTGGCTGATTGTCCCAGAGTGTAATGGTTACCACCGGCCTGGAAAAACGAAACGGATTTTCACAAGAAACAACCACAACCCAGCAGCAACGCATTCATGAATCGAAATTCGTTGAATTGTAGCGACGTAAGAAATGAGGCAAGGCGGGGAGGTACGGTAATAGGTATGAAAGGAAAACGTCATCGCTTACCCCTTGATGCACTCCAGCCGTCGCCATGAGCATAATCTTGGCATTGTTGGTAATCTTCGCCTCCTCAAACGACATATCAGGGGTCAAAATCTTCCCTGCAAATACCGCGACAGAATTAGGTGAGCGTCAGCGCACTCATAAACCTCGCACTACGCAATCTGACCGCGAAAGACGCACCTTTGTAGATAAGTTTCTGACCCCTTGAATGCACACTCGTTAACCCTTCCAGCGTCTCCATTAACTCTTTGACAATGCATCCCGGTGACATCATCAGTTGATGCGTCTGCTGGCCATGTTTTACAACCAGTCTCAACTTCTCCTCGGCCGTATCTCCAGCGGCAGGCTCGGGTTCTGGGTCACCTCCAGCCATTAGCGACCTCCCAAGCCTGTCATGCACTCGGGAAACCGCCCAAGAGAATCCTTCGCGGAGAAAAAAACAACGTCCTTACACTTGGAAAGGCACGATAACAGAATTCTAAAACTTCCTTCGTTACGTTACGCTATAACGCTAGCAAAAGACGTTCAACTTAAGCTGATAAAGGCCCTGGAGTCACGGAGAGATGCCACACCTAGGCGATTCCTACACGCCAATCACAAAGCAAGCAGTTAGGTTGGTGGTGCTTCCCTGGAAAAACGGAAGGTTGGAAAAGAAGCCCTAGGGAACATCGATGGGGGGGAGCGACAAGCGACGCAAGAGGGTACAGTCGATGCTCAGCCTATCACAAAAATTTGCTCCTCACAATTAGAAAATCAGTCACTCGCGAACGTTTTGCCTGTGAGTGGTGATTGTGCTGATTTCGGGGTACAGTCACCAAGTCGCGGAAGAAAACATCTACAGTTCATAAACAACAACGGCTGCCTGTCATCAGAATTGTTTACCTGGTTACGAACTTAAACCCCTAGACTCGTTTCACATTCCAATTTCATTTTACAATCACAATTTTGCCCGTGGCGACAAGGGCGAATGTGGCGAAATCCACAAAACTCGTTTCACTCACATGCCGCCCGCCTACCTGGTGTTCTTGAAATGAGCACCGACTGTATTGTTCGGCGAAAACCTGCAGCGTCGGGGTTACTGTGGTGGTGAGCCTCAGGCCTCGTGTTTGGACTGACGCGTTTGCGGTTTCAGGAGGGAGTCAATTTCAGAATTGAATTCTCACTGCTTGAACGAAGATATTCCAGAACGAATACAAATTGAAACAGTACTTGTTCCATGCGGCATATGATATGACCCACGCCTTTTTTCCAGGGCCATATGAATTGAGCTCTTACAGACAGTTTTTAAATGACATTCCACATTGAAACCAGACATGGACAACTGTGGACAAATAACAACACCTAACAAATGATGGACTGTGGACGCCATGCATTGATGTGACTTGCTCAACCAGGTACTCCACATGACTAACATACCAGAACCCATGCATGGATATGACAGACTCTGGTACCCAATACATTGGCCCTGACGCGTTGTGGCCGACCTACACATTCTAAACTAACTGACAGTGACGCACTGACGACTGGACCAAAACAGGAGTCTGTCATATCGCAGAGAACATGACACCTTGACATGACATTGACAAACCTAAGTGTAGGCTGTCATGGTGTCTTCAACCATAAACACTAAGACCCAACGTTGTTCCTGACGTTGTTCCCCGACCTCCATGATTGATGTCAGATCGAGCACCAAAACCCGTCCACCCTATCAACTCGACGCGGCTGTGATGGCTGCAATCCTGCTCTGTGCCCATTCTGCTGTCTCCTTAATGGATTCATCTGAGTTCAAGCACTCCTCGATGAACTCCCGGTGGAAGCGGTGGGTGGCAAACAGCTGAGCAGCAGCAACTCCAAGAGTGTCAGCCAAGTCTCCCAAGACACCAACCGCAGCCTTGGTCACAATCTCATCCCTGCATTGCCAAAAGCCCAGTTAAGGTCAGGATTTTAATCAGTCTGCAGCAAGTCACCTTTGGTGATATTGGACACATACTCCCAGCAATCAAACCCCTACCTTCCCATCCCACAAAAAGGAAGGCTGGTTCATCAGCATGCAACAGCTACCTACCTCACATGAACTTAAACATTTGTGCAACAAGCTTGGCACCCAGACCAGGAGCTTAACCCATACATAGGCATCATACCAGCCTCATACATCCTAAGACCATGTTGATTAAAACATCCCTTGTACACGCATAACCCAAGCCCAAACTCATACACTCCCGGTAGATGAAGCCCCCATCATTACAGATCCAGTTTTGTCATGAGATTGCTCCTTTTCTTTCCGTCCACAGCCCATTTCCAAAGAATCCAGTGTGTCATCACCGCAATCACATGCCAGTCCAACCCCCACTCCAGGCAGCGCACCTTTGCTTGTCCACGTACACATTCTCGATGAACACCACAAGTCATAGACTGTGTGTCAGTATCAACCACCCTACCCATCATATATGACCCTCCAGCCCCCCAGGCGGTGCACCTTTGTTTGTTCAAGTTTACACATCCTTGATGCACGATTCATCCATCTTGTGTGATTTCCAACCACGCCAGCCATCACATATTACTCTCTACCCACCCTTCCCCACATCCAACCCCATCTCCCAAAGCCACGCACCTTTGCTTGTCCAAGTACACATTCTCGATAAACAGCAGGATGTGCTCCGCGTACGGCGCCATCAAATAACACTCTCTACCACAACCCTTCCCCCAACCCTCCTCCCCCAAAGCCACGCACCTTTGCTTGTCCAAGTACACATTCTCGATGAACAGCAGGATGTGCTCCGCGTACGGCGCCATGAGCTCCGGCTTCGTCGCCTTGAACCCCTGGAATATCCCCGAGTACGCCTCAAAGATCCCCGCGCGCAGCTGGTTATTATACTCCACCACCTCGTCCCACACATCATTCATCCCCTGCTGCGCCGACAGCTCCGCCGCGCTCTGCAGCATCGGCATCGCGTAAGCAAGATACTTAGCAAAGTGCTCGCCGATCGCCAGCGCAATGTCCCCAAAGCAGGAGAAGATTGGCGGCTTCACGCTGCGGTGGAGCTGGTCCGAGGAGAGGTCTTTGAGCAGCTGCGTCATGATGCCGTCGCAGTAGGGTAACACGGCTTCGTCCAGCGCTCTGCAGATGTCGCCCACCACGCCTACGGTTACCGCGCACACCTGGTACTCCTCGAAGTTCTGCAGACCCATCTCCAGGTAGCGATAGAACTCGGGCATGTACTTGCCAAAGTCGGGGCCTGCAACCACGCACCATTCAGCAGCCACGCAGCAATGCAGCAACCACGCAGAAGTAAAATGGCATCAGCGTCCCTTCGGGATCCCCGTCAGCAAAAAAAAGAAAAAAAATGCACGACAAACGACAGAAAATCCATGACACGGCAAGGGCGAGCAGCGAGCGAGCAAAATACCTGTGGAGTACGCAAGGGCTCCAATGGCGAGCATGGCCTCTTCGTGCACCGTGGCATTGCGGCAGGCGAAGACTCTGAGGAAGAGAGCCATCATCTGGTCCGCGTACTGCGTCACTCCCGCCTTGGTCGCGTCGTTGCTTCCCAGCTTCTGAATTATCACCTGTTTGGGCAAGAAAATCGGAACAGCAGAAACATGGTAGCAAAAACATGGTAAATCAGCTGCTTGCCTAACAGCGTAGAGTGCTGCTAAGACCTAATTATCAGTGCAACCAAAGCGCGAAACAGAAAGCACACGCAACAGAAACGAGAGAAAGGAGAGCAGATTTTACCTGGAGCACGCCGCAGAGCAGCGCTTGCAGCTCGCTCTGCTTCTCGCGGTCGTCCGTGGAAATGATCTGCATGTCCATCGTCCGCGCCAGCTTCTCCATGATCACCGGCGTCAGCTGCGCCGTCGTCGCCGCCGTGTCATCCCCCGAGCACCGCACGATCTCGTTCAGCGTCTCGTACGCCGACGATCTCAGCCGCGAGTCCGACGCGTCTTCCCTGTCGGCCGTCGCCAGCAGCGCCGTGATAAGCGGCTGGAAGTACGGAGTCAGGGACAGCGCTCCTTCGCTGCCTTCCGACCCTTGCGCGAGGAAGTAGATTGCTCCGCACACCTTCTCGGCCACATTTGGAACGTCCTTGAGGCTCTCGATCAGGACAGCCAGAATCGCTGGGAGATTCGTTGCGTTGATGATCGGATTCTCCGGCGAAGATCCGTGCACGATCTCGAAGATTCGGCCGAGAGTCCACGCTGTTGTATCCTTCACATGCGCATTCTCGTCCTTCATCGCATTCAGCATGAATCCCAGCGCGCTGTTCACCAAAGGAACCAGCTGCTCCGTATCAGGACCCTCGAGGATAGATCCGAACGCGTACGTCGCCGCTTCCCTGTTCCTCCATTCCGGCTTGCTGATGTTTTCCTGAACGTACGGCATGACTAGCGGAACGATATCATTCCCCACCGTTCTGGCAACCAGACCCAAGCAGGTACCTCCAGCCATGGCCAAATTCCAAGCCGTTTCATCCGAATCTTGACCCTCCTCTTGCTTCGTTAGAGTCTCCAGCAGCATAGGAACGAGCGCCGGAAGAGCCTGCTTAATGAAATTGAAATTCGTAACTTCGGAATCCGCAGTGTACTCTTCCTGTAGCTCGATCTCCTCGTCACAGATCGACGACCACAACTCCACGGCTTGCAGCGCAACGGGCTCCTGATCTTCTCTCGTCGCCTTAGCCGTGATCTGGAAAATGTCGTTCATGTACGGTGCGAGCTTCGAGTAGTAGGTCGACGCGATGGCCACCAGGCACTCAAATGCAGCTTGCCGAACCCTCACGTCTGGACACAGCGACGCTTCACAGATGACCGTCATAATGTAGTTCCGCTCCACCTCGTTTTCGAAGTTGGTTTGGGCGAATTCAAGAGCGTTGGAGAGTGCTCTCGTAGCAGCCAGCCTGATGTCGTTGTTCGGCTCCGTCTTGTTCATCCCTTGCACAACAGCAGTCAACACACTGTTGACCTGCTCTTGCGCCAGAGAGTCAGTCCCGGCGATCTCCTCGCAAACGAATCCAAGCGCTTCAAGAGTGCTCTCTTTTAAGTGATCTGGCTGCGGTTGAGTTGGCGATCCCATGTTGCCAAGCAAGCCTACGACGAGTTCAGGCCACTCATTCCGTGGAAGCTCAATGGCAGCGATCTTTGCAATAACCTGAGCCGATGTATGACGAGCATCTTGGACTGGGGATCCAAGGGTTGCAAGCAAAGCGGCCTTGATCTGTCCCTTGATAGCAGCATCTAGAGCAATCCAGCGTTGAATAAACTCGGACTTCCTAGTAGACTCCTTCGCGTCGAGAGAGTTTTTCAGAATGAGACCAGCAAGTCGCCGGGAATCTGTCTGCTTTTCCGGATTCGCAAGCTCCAAGGACAAGGAAACTAAGTACGCCGGAAAGTTGGAATCCTGAAGCTGCTTCAAGTTTTCCTCCGCCAACCTTCTGACATTTCCGTCAGGAGACTGAGCATTTAGAAGAAGCTGTGTAATATCCATACTGCAAGGAGGAAACACCAACCAAGAGCTTCAGCACTTCAGGTCGGAAACAAAAACGGCTCCGTGGAAAGAGACTGAGAACTACGCGGATCAGGTCTAACCTCCTAAGAACTAACCTCTATCTTGCACGTCCTGTAATCTAGGGCTAATTCGTCTGGAGGACGAACAACACAACCGACACTCCAGTTAGAAGTACTAAATGATTGTGACCCTGATAAAATATGGTTCCAGGCAAAGCTTGTGGGTCATCGCCTGACCTTGCTTGCTGCTGGTAGCCAAGTTCCAGAATTCAGATCCGAGGCGTCCTGACTCCTGGGAAGAAAAGGAGGGAACTGAGATTGCATTCCCCGTTCAGACATCATCCGAAGTCTGGACACCTGTAGCGGTTTTTGAATGCTGTAAGCCTACTCGCCCTGTTTTAATCTGACCTAGACAACAGCCTTCAAATTTTTGTTGGATTGAGAAATACCGTGCGAACTTCTTCGCACTGTGAGTACACTCTACGCTACATGTGTCAGTGAGCGTGAGGGAACACAGTGGACCCCGTCCACCCAACAAATACTTCGAGACTCGGTTACTTCTGGGTAAGTTGGGTTCGCTTATCTATGAGCCTTTAAAACTACGAGGTAACTCTAGATTAAGACCTTCATTCGGAAACAAATAACAGCTCAAAGTGTCCGAACTTCGGATGGTGTCCGAACGGGGAATGCAATCTGAACTGATGGAAGATGCTAGAAACGGGAGCGACAGGAGACTGCGTTGCGTTGCGATTGCGACGCTCCTGAAGATCGTACGGCTCGTGAACATGGCTCGTACCAGCGTTATGCGATTGAATGGATGCCAGATGACGTTCGAATCCGCGACTACATCTGGGGTGATTCTCTGCGCGGCGATGTTGTGGATGTCCGCAAGAGATTCGCAAACTTTTTAGCGACAAGGATGCGATGCGAATAGAAGCAGCGGCGAAGAATTTGAAGCCAGGGTACAAAAAGCGGCAAATCAGCGCGCATTTACTCCGCGCTACGTGTACTGCAACCCTCAAGTTCTGTTCATTTTCTGGCTCCCCTAACACTTTTGGGGCTTCGCTTGGTCTTTGCTTTCAAAAATTCAAATGATGCTGTACACTAAGCTAGGCCAAGATGCTGGTACAGCGAAGCACATCATGATGCTGCCAAATGTTCACCACCTTTCTAGAAACCATTCCAACCACTGGTTTGTGAAGTATGTACAAGACATATACAGTCGTTTCCTTGCTTTATCTTATTTTAGTCAGGAGCACAACTGCCATTCCTATTGGTATGTCCGCTGTGCACATTTACTTGGAGCCTGAGTGTCCTGTTGAGAAATGACATTTCACATGGTATACACTACATTCATATGTGGACGTGGCAATCCTAGGTATTTGGTCCAGGTGCCTACCTACCTACATGTACGCTACATATGCTTTCCTCATTACCTAGAGCCACTTTCCAGTGCCTCACACTGGCCATCAACTCCTAAGAATGATAACAAACGTGGCCATGTCTCAGGAATCCCACCTGTAATTTCGAACTCCATCAAGCGACCTCGTTCATGGTAAAAGTCTTCCACAGGCTTGCTCTGCACCAAGGGACATGCCATAACGTGGATTCAGTATAGAAACAGAATAATTAAGACATCTGCACGGGCAAACGACCGAAGGAGCCTCACCAGTTCCTCATAAACCTTCAGACGAGCCAGAACTGTTTCCTCTGTGTCATCCGCCCTTTGGACAAGCTTGCCTTCACAACCAGCTGGTGCTGGCAGTGGAGGCATGAAAATGGCTGGCTTTCCATCTTGCGCGGGGATGTCAATGTTCGCAACATTGTAATTACCGCCACAGTCTGAGCATAATCTACGTCCCAGCATCTTCTGAACCAAGACTTCCTCCCGAAGGGTTAGGTTCACGGCCAGGTCAATCTGCGTCATGGACTCCAACACTTCCTGCAAGGGAAAAGGATGAAAGGACCGTACACAACGAGCATCAACAATGGAGAAATGGCTTATCACGACCCTGCCAGAGCCAGAAGGAGGGCAAGTGTGACAAACTTCAATCACAAGCAGGTAAACGGCCCTCGCGCTTACAGCCTACTATCATGCGGATCGCGAGGTATTAGACCCCCTGCGAAACTTACTGCTTGTAAGGCTGTGCGAGGGAATCCGTCCAGAATGAAGCCACCTTCGCCCGTGACAACACCCTGCTCTAGCCGTTTTGATAGAAGATCGAAGATAATGTCATCAGATAGAAGCTGACCGCGATTCATAACTTCTTGCATCTGCAATGGGGGATATACGATCCACGTGCCGTGGGCTCAGTACATTGTCGAATCGCATGAGTTGGAGATAGTTATTTTGTCAATGCCCTCCATACTTGCCTTGACCGCGATCGGCGATCCGTTCTTCAACTCCTCGCGAACCAGATCGCCTGTGGAGATGTGAGCGATATTAAGGTACTTGCTGAGTCTGCTCGCGTATGTACCCTTTCCTGCTCCGGGTGAACCCAAAAAGACCCATTGTATTCTTCTGTCCGCACCGCTCAGTGCATGCTGAGGTTCTGCAGCCAGCCGCCGCGCAGCTGGTGCGACTTCTCGCGACAGATTGGAAAACTGCCTCCAAAGCACAGCTGCTTGAGATCCAGCCGCCTGAGCTAATCTTCGGCCCGCCAGGGCCATGCTTGCTCTCCTCACAACGCACTCAGATCGCGTTGCGCGCGTCAGCTAGAACAAGTTGTGCGAGTCAAGTAATCTGATCGGCGAGGTCGGCGAGGAGGCGACAGGATCTCTGACTCACGACGAAAGAAGTGGGAGAGCGAAAACAAACTAGAAATAGAGCCTGTCGCTTATGTCTAGCTGTTGGCGGGTAGCATGCCAGGAAAGCAGAGCCAGCAACACCTGCACTCAACACCTGCACCTACACAGGAAGTTGTGCCATGAGGCCCACCTTCACGACTCAACTACTGTGTAGTTTTGAACTTGTCGCTGCCCAAGAGCCCAGCTCCATGTTCTGTGCTAGTCAGCTGTTCCCACGTCATCAGCACCAAAAGCTGGGCAGCACAAATTTTCTTGTCCTGAAAATCCCTGCCTTCGCTTACCATCCGACCGCGACTCGATGACTGGTGGTGCTCAATTATCTGTCACCTTCGTTCCCAGTGTGGTGGAAGCGTGCCCATGATGACGTGGAAGAGGGTTCAGGGGCCTCTCAGTTCCAGCCATAAAAACGGCTGTCAGTGGACGTCGGCGTGTGGAGGCACCCCGAAATTCCAGAATCCACGCTCACACGTGGAAGACATCCACCTCAAAAGGAGCAATTGACGGCTCCCTTTGCAAGGACTGTGCAGCTGTTGGAAAGTCGAGATAGGTAACATTTGACCAATGCGACGTCACGCGAAAGTTACAAAATGGCTCGAATGTTACATCTTGGAAATGACGGCGAAAAGTGAAATGCCGCTGTGATCGGCTTGCACATTTTTCAAGTCCCCTTTTCAAGTCCTCTCATTTTGATGTCGCTGTTATTTCAGACCAATTTTCAGGATTACCATGGCGTGCGGTTCCATTTGCCAGTATAGACTTCCAAATGTGTTTCCCTCGACATCCCTGGAAAGTTCAAGGACCAGATTGAGAGTCTCATCCCCTAAGGAATTTAAATTGTCGAAGGGTTTGCGTTCTTCGCGCTTCAGTTTATGGAGCAGAGCCGAGCTTGCCTCGTCGCCATGTACCGTACGAGTGGAGGAGGCCGTATCATCAACCGAAATCAGAGCTGCTGCGTCTTTGCGTTCGTTTTGCTTCTTCACTTGTCCCCCTGACCGTTCATCAGAATTCGTGGAGGTACAGAAAATCGCAGTTGCTTTCCGCTACTTTCCCCTTTTTATCCCTCCTTTTCTCTCCACGGAACTGGACATAACCAATCCTATGGTTCCTTTTGCAGCGACATTTGTTTATGAAGGCCATGGAGGAGGCGCAATGCTTGGAAGATAAGGTTGCTGGACTCCTTCCTGGCTTCAGCCGGGTCTCTTGTTTAGTAGCGACTGTACCTGAACCCAGTGGTGCAATCTTGCAACCTGGTCAAGAGCCTGTAAGGTCGTTTATTTACAGAAGAATTTCCTGCTTCTGTTGACGCTGACTGACTGCCTGTTCTTGTTCTTCTCAGCGTGCATCTCTGCAAGTCGCTCACGGATGGGTTGTTGGAACTTTGGACCTGAATTTAGGGCTTCGCTTGCCTGGTGAAAATCTTGGCGGGAAATACCCTGATAAGGTGCTCACTATTGAGAATTGCTGTGGTCATGAGAGCGTACTTTATATCATTTTCCTCGTCGTCTGGTGGTAGTAACCGACTGGCATTACTTTGTGCTCAGGGGTTGCACATAGAGTCAAGACGAGCCTATCTATCTAATGTTTGCGTGGCGCCAGCTGCCAGAAGACTTGGAGTTGCCTACAGATTGATGCAGTCAGCACGAGCTCTTGCACGAAGTTGGGGTGAGCCGTGGCCACGATTTGCTCAACTGCGTTCATTCATGCTTTCTCAATAATCCTGTTCAGCTGACTTATTTGTCTTACCTGAGCTGCAGGTGTGGAGCATCTGTATGTTCATGTCGCCAAGAACAATGACCCTGCACGACTGTTGTATCTCAAATCTGGATACGAAGTGGAGCAGGAAGAGAAGGCAAACGTTGCCAGATCCATGGGTCGCCCTGCAAGGCTCTTGTTGCACCTTGATATCCGCTGATATACTCTCTATGCTCCAACCAGCAGACAGCACACCAACACTAACCATACTCAACTCGTGGATGTCTATCCAGTCCAGTGCAGCAGTTTGAGCTGGTTTCCACTTTGTTCAGTGTGGGCTGTTTCTGGTGCTCTGCAAACATCTCCACCTACCGTAATTATCCCTTGTTCTATGCAGATGAAAAGTACTTCCCTTACATCCTGGTTGGACCTATCAACAAAGAGAAGCTGATCATAGTATGGGATGTGGACAAAGGAATTGTACAAAGATGCACTCAGCCATATGAACAACCTGGATTTGTTGACTGCTACGGTAATTCAAGTAACACCTCACTTTACAAGATGCCACACGATGCCTTCAGGGAAACTTGCTACTGACAATGGCCGTGCCAGTACTTCACATCTTCCAGGTGTAACAATCGTATAATCACGTCTTCACGGCTGCGTGCTTGTGTCATCGCTCTCTCCGCTAGAAGAAATATGCGCATGGAGCGCTTGCTCTGGAGCTCCGTGCGACCAGAACGACTCCACATCCGAAGTCCTCATAAACGCAGGGCTGCTGCCAGCATCCGCTGCAACCCCACCATTCAAATACGCCTCCATGTCGATTCCTGAAACCCCAAACCCAAACGGGGAGCTCACAGGACCCTGCAGCCCTGCATCCCCTGAAGCTTGTCCAAACAACCCACCAGCAGTAACCGCACCTTCGCTTCCCGACCCCACACCTCCTGCTCCCAACCCACCCCCTCGATCCGGGTATCCATACGGGGCGGGAGAAGCAGACCTGGAAGGAGGGCCTAGCACAGCATCCCCAGGCGAAGAAGCAGACAATGACGTAGTAGGAAAGAGAGAAAACCCCCCAAAAGGAGAGGAGAAGAGCTCAGTGGAGGGGCGGCGGGGAAGGCCGTCAGCCTCGGGAGTACCAGAGATGGCAGAGGAGAAGAGATACTGGTCACGAGGGGGTGACAGAGCATCCCTCGCTCTGGCAGGTGGTGCAATCACGCGCGGGGAGCGAGGAGAGGAGGGCGAGCCGTGAATGAGTGAAGGCCCGAGGATTCCCGAGGAGTGGGGGACAGAGGAGGCGGTCGGCGGAGGAGGAGAGGCGGTTAGAAAGCCTCGGTCTGAAAAGAAGAGGCTCGATGGGTGGGAGATGCCTGCCGGGTGTGGGGATGACCCAAATGACGCCAGGTGATCGAAATGGTTACCCCACAAGTCGTACACAGCTGTGTCATCATCACCTGCTCCCGCCAGCCCACCTCCTGAAGAACCTTCCAACCGCACCCCACTCCTTGAAGCTGCAGCAACCCCTGTACCTCCCCCAGCACCACCAGCACCAGTGGCAGCAGCAGCTGCAGGACTGCCACCAAACGCCCCAGCTCCATGCAACCCATCCTCCCTGCTACCACTCCTGGCAAATGAGCCTACTGCCAAATCCGCAGCAGCTGCCAGCTCCCCCCTGCTGCCACCGCTCCCCCCACTGCTACTCCCCGCACCAAGAAAACTCCCCACTCGACTGCCCGGGCTCAGCAACCCTGGAACCTTCCAGGAATCTGCAGCAGCAGAACCAGCACCGCTGCCACTGCCGCCACCACTACTGGTGCTGCTGCCGCTGCCGATGGCGACCGGAGTGGAGGAGGGGGGAAGGCGCCGATGCACCAGGATAGGGTCGGAACAGGTATTGACGAAGGAAGGGGTTTTGGGTATAGACGCGATCCTGCCCGCTCCTCCTCCTGCTCCTGCTCCTCCACCGCCTCCTCCTCCCCCACCTCCTATCCCCCCTAGTCCTGCAGGCAGAGGGGAGGAGAAGGAGGCGGATATCGGAACGTGCCAGTTGTGCGCAACAGCTTCGCCAACTGCTGTTGGCCGTGCTGCTGCTGCGGCTGGTGACGCTGATGCGGCTGCTGCTGCTGGTGCTGCTGCTGCTGGTGCCACTGCTGCTGCATCTGTAGGGGGAGAAAAGGAGTCCGGTGGTGGTGGGGAGCGGGAGAAGGAACGAGCAACTTGCCTTCCAGAGGGTAAACCAGCAGAGCCAGCTGAAGCAGCCGAAGCAGCCGAAGCAGCCGAAGCAGCTGATGCAGCGGATGCAGCCGCTTTGCCCCGTCCAGCAGCCGAACCTGCTTTCTCTGGGGTGACCCTCATGCCAGATGCATTTGCTGCTGCTGCAGACGCTCGGCCTGCCTTCCCGTCCAGAACAAGCTTCTGCTGCTGTTGCTGGCCCTGTTGCTGCTGAAGCTTCTGTTGCGCTGCCTGCTGCTCCTTCTCCTTCTGCTGCTGTAGGAGCAGTGCCCGAGCAGCAGTCTTCCCAATAGCCACCGGCTTCGCACCAGCCAGAGCAAGATCGTTCGCCGAAGCAGCAGCACTAGCCCCAGCACCTGCGGCGTCTCTTTTGCTACTGCTACCAGCGCTTTGGCCAGCTGATGGGGCCGGAGACGGCTGTCTGGGAGCACGAGGAGGAGAGGCCACAGCAGCCCCCCTAATTCCCGACACCTCTTTCCCCTTCCCTCCGCCTCCTTCCCTTTCTTTCTCTCCAGACCCCTGCTTCTTCCCACCACCGCCCTCCTTTGTTGGGCTCTCTACAGGAGAGCGAACCACCAGGGATCCAGACACAGCAACGGCCGACACAGGGACCAGCTTCGGCTGATCCTTGCCTCTCTCCTTCCCTTCCTTCCTTCCCTTCCCTTCTCCTGCCTGCTTCCCTCCCGCCCTGGTCGAATCCTCACTGCCAGCGGACTTACCGAGCTCCGCGCCCTCCTTCTCTTTCGCCCCAGCAGATTTCTCTGCGACCACAGCAGCAGGAGCAGGAGCAGGAGCAGTGCTCGCGGGAGGAGAACCAGCAGCAGCAGGGGCACTAGGAGCAGGCGACGGCTCACGAGCTGCTGCCTGGCCCTTCTTCTTCTTCTTCCCCGTCTCAACAGCACCTTGCTTCTCCTCTGCAATCTTCCTGTCAACAGCACCCAGCTTCTCAGCCACTCCTGCCTTCTTCTCCTCCTCCTTCCCGCCCTTCCCATCCTCTCCCTTCTTGTCTCCGTTCTTCTCTGAACTTCCAGTCTTTGATCCCTTCTCATTCACCCCGTCAGTCTCTGCACACTTCTCTTTCTCCTTCTCCTTCTCCTTCTCCTTCTCCTTCTCCTTCTCCTTCTCCTTGACTCTCCCCTTCTTTCCTTCCTCCTTCTGAGCCTTCTTCAGCCCAATCTCGTGCTCCTTTTCCTTCTGTAATCCCTTCTCCTTCTCAGTCTCCTCCTTCGACTTACCTGACTCCCTCTCGCAATGGCCCTCCAGCTCCACCTGTTTCTTCTCCTTTTCCTTCTCCTTCTCCCTCACCTTCTCCCTTTCCTTCTCCTTCTCCTTCTCCTTCTCCTTCTCCCTCTCCAGCTCCCTTTCTCTCATCTTCTCCTCCTTCCCCTTCTTTCCACGCTGCTTCTTCTCCTCTTTACCATCACCCCCCTTGCTACACGCACCAGGAATCCAAGCCGCCCCACTTCCCTCCTTCCCAGCCTTATCACTCCCAGTACCCCCCTCCATCACAGCAGCAGCAGCGGCAGCCAGCGTGTCAGTCACAGCAGCAGCACCGCAAGCAGAAGCAACGGTATCAGCCTCTTTCTGGCTGCTCTTATTTCTACCTGAAGGGACAGAAGCGGATTTCACAAACGCTCGTGCTGAATCAGGTGCCTCCCCTCCCACCCCACCTGCAACAGCTATGCCTCCCCCAGTTAAACCTGCTCCTGGCGCAAACACCCCTGCTGTTCCTAAGTCTACACTCTTCCGTGCTGCTTTACCAGCTGCCACTGGCATCGCTGTCACAGTTGCCTCTCCTGCAATCAGCACCTCGCTCTTCCCTGCCCCACGATCAACACCCACCTGCTGCTGCTGCTGCTGCTGCTGCTGCTGCTCCGGCTGCTGCTGGGATACCATCTGACCTGCTACAGACTCGGGCTTCTGCCCTGTGTGCTTCTTCCCTTGCTCCACCGCCTGGGGAGCATTCAGGACCACCCTTGACGCCTGTTGACTTGATAAACCCGCATGCTGCTTTTGCTGCTGCTGCTGCTGCTGCTGCTGCTGGTGCTGCTGCTGCTGCTGCTGCTGCTGCTGCTGCAGTTGCTCCATATGCTGCTTCCGCACTGCCAGCACCGTTTCCAGCCCAAGCCCAATCTCAGCATCAGTAACGCCATCATCCTCCCCATCCGCCCCATCTGTAACCTTCTCCACTCGGGTTACCACCCAGGACGGTCCAGAATCCCCCATAGGGCCATCGTGCCCCTTCCCTACTGGCATCCCTACAACCCCACTCACCCCTCCACCCGCTTCTCCTCCCTGCCCTCTCCCTGCAGGAATCGGCGCCACTGAGACTCGAACCCTGACCACTCGCGCTCGCGTCTCCGCATCTGCTGCAAAACCTCCGCCTCCCACCCCGCCAACCCCCACTCCCCCAACCAGCCCCACCCCTCCCGCTCCCCCTGCCCCTCCCGCTCCCGGTGCCCCTCCCCCTCCCCCTCCCCCACCAGCAGCAGAGCCATGAAGCTGATTCGCCAGCAGAAGCGCATTCTGCTTCTTCTGCAGCCTTCTAGTCAGCGCCGCCGCCGCAGCAGCAGAGAACCCGGGGAACCACGGGGACGGGAAGAGAGTAAGCTGAGACACAGCCGCCCGCACCAGCAGCCCAAACATCGCTACCAGCATCGAAGCCACTACAGCTTTCATGACTGAGTCCATGGGATGCCTAGGCTCCGCGTCTATTGCAATCACTGCGAGGTTCCGCGGAATGTACCCTCGGATTGGCAGCTCGTGCGCACCAGCGGATGACTCTATATGGAGGACGGCGCGGACGACAGTCGAGGTGAGATCCGGTGTGAAAGAGAGGAGCAGAGGGTTGGATTGGCCTGGGGTGAGCGTGAAGGGCTCGCATGGATGGATGGAGAATCCGCGGAGGGAACACACGACCTTGCTTTTGCCCCCGTGCAGGCTCATACTCGTGATTTTCAAGGGTAAATCGCCCCGGTTAACCAGCTTAAACTTCCGCTCGGCCACAACCGGCCATTTCACCTTTCCTACACTGCTCTCCACTTCAGTCACATAAAACCTCGGATAAGCCCCCCCTGCTGCTCCCACCAGCCTCCTCCCCCTTCGCTCCTTTACAAGCACATGCTCTTCAGTCACATTCACCATTAGAAGCATCTCAGGCCCTCTGCTGCCTATCACATGCAGCACCCCCGATCCCCCTTCCCCCACCATCCTCACCTCCTCCAATAACGTCAGATTGTTCCGCACATAGACTGATCCGTTATACACACACCCGGTAGCATCCGGCCGGAAAACCACCGGCCCCAGCCGCCCCTCCCACCCAGGTGGCAGAATCAAATCCGTCACAGCATCCGGCGCCAAGGAAAATCCCGCCCCACCCTCCTCGCTCTCCTTCCTTACACCCAAGCCAAGCCAAGGTGCCCCAAAACCAAGCCAGGGAACGCTCAAGTGAGAGGCTAAGTTGAGGGTCCAGGGGGGAATACCAGCCGCGGCTAACCAGCGGGTTGGGAGGAGAGGGGAGGGCGGAGCGGAATTAGGGTTGGGTACGGGGCAAAAGGGCGGGCCCTTTGGCTCTCCCCCGGAGCAACCGGTTTTACTGCTGCCACCGCCGCCGCCGCTGCCGCCGCTGCTGCTGCTGCTGCTGCTGCTGTGGCTGCTGCTGGTTGTGGCACCATTGTTGCTCTTGCTGCTCCTACCACTCCCACCCTTGCTGCCACTGCTGCTGTTCCCAGTACCCCTCTTGCTGCTGCCGCCACCGCCGCTGCTGTCCCCACTAGCACCATTACCCCCACGGCCAACACCCTTACCAGCGCTTCCGCCCCTACCATAGCCATTTCCACCGTTCCCATTCCCACAAACCCTAAATCCCGACGGTTCATCCATCACCAGCCGCACGCGCACAGGGTAATCACTCGGGTTCTGCACCAAAATCATCTCCCCTGCTGCTGTTCCCACCTGCACCCGACCAAACTGCAAACTAGACGAAGCTTCAGACACCACTCGAGGCTTCGCCAGTACGCCTTTCACCTCCACTGCCTCCGATTCCATCACCTCCGTTTCAAGAACTAAAGAGGATACAATCACATTCTCGCCTGCGCGCACCACGCGCGTCCACTCGTCCAGCCTCCCCTGTGCCGTTTCCCGCTCCTCTATAGTCACACCCTCACTCCACGGGTCCATCCCCTCGTTATTATCACGGTCTGGGCTCCTCCTCCCGCCGTCTTGCAGTCTCTCCAGCATTCGCCCCCAACTCTCGTTCCCGTTAGAAGCACCTCCGCTTGCGGTCACAAAGGTTTCGCGCAAGGGCATGGAAAATACAAGGTCTCCCAACTCCGTTTCATTAGATGGCCCCAGCACAGAAGTCTTAAGATCAGCGGAAACCCTAGAATCCGAAACCCTAATTCCGGTCACAGCAAGGGGATGAGGGAAGCTGCTGTTGGCAAAGAGCTTTATCCTGTGGGCCTTTCCTGGAAAGAGCGACGGGAACACGAGCGGAAGCTTCGGAGAAACCGCAATCTCGCCTCGAAACGATGCGTATCTGAGATCAAGCTTCACTATTTGGTGCTTCGTTTCAAGCACCAGCAGCTCCGACCCTGCTCCTTCCGTTACAGGAGCCAACTCTACAGTCACTTCCGCAGTATGAAACTCTGGAATGCTGAACAGTCCGCAATTCTCGCACTCTAAAACCACCTCCTCGCCTGCACGTGGGCTTTTAAGCACCAGCGATGGCTTTGCAGTAACAGCTGTAGCCGTACTCCCGCTGCTGCCGCTGCCACTGCTCCTCATTCCCGCTCCTTTCATCACGCCTCCTCCCCCGCCTCCCCCTCCTGCCCCTCCTGCCCCTACGCCTGCTCCTCCTACGCCTGCTGTGCCTGCGCGCTCCCCTCCTGCTGCGCCTATCCCGCCGTCCCTTTTTCCCCCCTCCACAGATGATCTAGCAAGCGTTTGCAGGTGTAACCTAACCGGGAGATGGAAAATATGATGCTGGGAGGACGGGAGAGCAGACGACAGAGCAACAGGCACCGGGGCGCGCCTTGCCTCCCTCTCCTCCATGTGGATAACGTCGCTGACGTGGACGGTGACGTGGCGGGACGAGCACGACGCGGACATGATGGCGATCGGGAACGGGCCCGGATTGGCCAGGCGAAACGATATGTTTCGCCTGGAACCCGGGAGAATCAAGCCAAAGTCCAAAACTCCACGGCTGTTCCCCTCCTGCTGCTGCTCCTGCTGCTGTCCCTCCTCCTCCCCCTCGAAACGGCCATCAAAATGCGTGCCTGCATCTCCCCCAACGCGAAACCGCGCCTCCTCTTCCTCCTCCTCATCCTCTTCCTCTTCCTGCTCACTCAAAACCCTTGTGCCATCACCTCCCATTAACGCCCCTTCCTGGGTACCAGCGCGGGAGGAGGCGGGAGAGCGGAAAGCACTCATGCTGCTATCTGCGGCTGTCGCTGCAACTTTTGCTGCTGCTGCTGCTGCTGCTGTCAACGGAACGTCCAATTCCAATAACCCAGGCAGCACTTGCAGGGGCACAACCATATCGCTCACATTTGTTGCTATAGTGAAGTTCACTATAGTGAGTGACAGCGGCAGCTTCTCCGGATTCAGCTGCAGAAGAAACGGTTTGCTGGAGCCGCCAGGGGGAAGCAGAGAGGACGGGAAATCCTTGGCCTGAATGCAGTCGTGCGAGAAGAACGCATCATATACAAGCACCGGGCAGGAAAACTTATTTCGCAGGACCAACTCCTTGGTCACCGCAGATCGAACGAACCCAATGTTTTCTCCCCCGGGCTGCCCGGAAAATTCTCCCTCCTGCTGCTTCTCTTTCTCAGGTGCTGCTGCGAAGATAAAGACGGTGTTTTCGACAGGCTCCACTGTTACGCTACCAAGGACTATCCGCGCTTTAAACGGCACCTCTACAATCAACGGGCTTGACTGCGTCGTCTGCACCACTACCCGCCCCCTACGTGTAAAACCCTCGCTTTCTTGACCTCCTTCCCCTCCCCCTCCTCCTCCTGCTTTCCCGCTTAAACCTCCCGAAGTAGCCAAGCTATAGCCTGCGTATTTCAGCTCCGCTACTTGCACAACCTTCCCAGGCGGCAGCTGCTGTCCTTTGCGAAAACGGGCAGCTTGCAAAAGTTCGTCTCTGACCGCGAGCCGGACGTCTTCTACCGCCGCCATCGTGCTGCCCACGTTCCCCAATTCCACGTGGCGGATCACCGTCTCCCGCACTGACGTCAGCGTGCCGAAGTCGATCTCATCCGCCATTGAGACGACGCCACCTGGCGACGTCGTCAGATCGATGGGCAGCAGCAGATACTCACAGTCGCAATCCGCGTGCGCCTCGACTTTAAGAAAAATACTTAACGACAGCCTCCCAACGTCTCCATGAACCGCCTCTATCACCAGCACCTCCTCTGTTCCCCCTGGCTTCACTATAATATCACTCCCTATAGCGTCACGCAGGTATGACCACGTGTCGTCTTCCATTCCCAGCTCCACCCCTCCCACCGTTATCTTCACCTCGCTTCTAGAACCGGGCGGAAGCTCCATTGGACCGTCTTCCCCCGATATAAACACATCCACTTTCGATTGTACGTCAGTGATTGTAACGGGCCACGGCATTGTATTCTGCATCCAAACGGGGTGTATAATGCGCTGTCCCGGCAACGTTCTTAAACTCGTTCTTGGTTCCAAGCTAAACGGGGACGGAAGACCGTAACCGAACAGCGGGATGACGATCGGCCCTGCGCTAGTCTCTACCGTCAGATTCCCGTCAATAGTTCCTAGTGCCCGGGGCAGGAAAAAAAGACTGATGAAACTAGCCGACCGAGGCTTGATAACGAACTCGTCGAAACTTGCCATGTAGCTCGCCATATAGAAATCGAAGGAGCTGCTTGTAGCGGATTCGATAACCAGCTCTCTATGACGAGACAAATTTATAATCCATAGAGTGTGCGGCGTGGTCGTGCACGCGTATCGAGCGCCCCAAGACAGCAGCGTAGGGAACGTCCTAACCCCTCCCGGGAGCTCCCATAGCGACGGCGTGTTCAAATCCGCTTCGAACATCGCCAGCGCACCTTCCGGCGCATTCGGCGGCAGGCTGATGTCACCTAGCCTAGGGTAGCTCGAATCACTTAGTCTCGTCGATGCCGCTCCGGAATTTTCAGCAGGCGCGGGTGCTGCAGGTGCTGCGGCTGCTGCGGGTTTCTGTCGGCTTTTTATTCTACCCTTAGCTCGCTGCGGCTTCTTATCTCTTGAAACGGTGTCTGTTTTAGGTGAGTCTCTCGGACTGGCGTCTTTGCTATGTGGTGCTTGCGCGTCTATGGAGGAATCCGGGGAATGGGCGTCTCCTATGGGCTGCAATGGCGGTGGCGGTGAGGATTGTCGTATGTGTAAGGCGCCGTCCGTTCGAGACTCTTTTCGCAAATCCCCTGCAGCCTTCGCGGCGAATGTCGCGGAAGCAGAGCCGGAGAAAGCGAGGCTGTTGATGCTCGGCCGAGCTGCTTTCGACGAATCTCGTGCGTAGGTTGCTGCTTCGGATAGAGAGATCTGACGGTCATTATCGGCCCGGAGCGCGCCGGTCAGAAAGACGAATATTACAAACAGGAAGAACTGAGTAAATCGAGAGATAGGTCCAACGGATGGAGCGCCGGAATGCACAGAGGGCCTGCCGTGGTGTTCACGCATTAAGAAAAGAAACATATAGAGAAGGTAAGAGAATAACGACGGTATACGCCACGAGGAAACCACAGAGCGAGGCGGCTGATTAATGAAACGTGACGGAAAACGTAACGGAAAGGGAGCGGGAACGGCGGAAATCAAGCATCCCCTAATAAGGCCTTACCTGTACCGAAGCATCGCCATTGGAATGCGGTTGGATCCTAAAACAAGAAAAAGGCGGGTGTATCCAGGTTTGGTGAACACAAATAACTAGATTATCCCTTAGCTCATGTGCAAGCAGTTTCTAACAACGTAAACTACAGCTGAAGATTCAACAGTGACTAGATTCTAGGGCAAATAGGATATGGCGGCCAAAGACGGTGAATCTAGAGGAAGAGGAAAGGAGAGGAGAGGAGAGGAGGGGAGGAGAGGAGGGGAGGAGAGACGAAGAGTTGCGGAGAGACGGTCCAGGGGGAAAGGGGGGAAGAGGGAGAGGGGGTGGTGGGGCAGCGGGTGGGGGGTGTGGGGGGTGGTGGCGGGGTTTGGAGTTTGGTTGAAAGGACGCTTGGGGAAGGTGGGGCTGATGTGTGTGGTGCGGTGTTGCTGGGGTGGCGTGTTTGTGGAGTGCGCTTGCCCTGACCGCACGACACGATAAGGGAGCCCAGGGAAGCTTAGGGAGTGCGGTAAGGGATGGGTATTTCTGGGCAGGCTGGAGCGTTGGGCAGGCTAGGTTTCTGGAAGGTCGTGCTGAAGCGAAGCGTGAATCATTTTGCACCCTCGATGTGGTGTTGAGGTCAGATTGACTGCCTATCGGACGAACACGAGCGACGCATGCTGGAGCCACACGAACTTATCGCGTTGAATTTTAATTCGGGATAGGGGCATCTGGTGTTACGAGCTGCTTCACCATTGGATTGTAATGAATGGCCTACGAGAGCCGTTGATGACTCGTTGCCGTGCTCGTCATGATTGCTACGTATTGATGGGCTGGGCGCTCTAGCCGAAACTCGCGGATGTCCTCGGACCAAAGCCAATTTGCAGCAACACCACCATAAACAACTTCCCTCAGATTCAGCATGTTCCGAAATAATGTAGTGTAGTGTGTAACTTCTCTAAGAAATTACTAATGTACACTCACGCCACGCGCTGGGAACTGCGTACGATTTCCCGCCCTGCTTGCCATTTCGCCATCCCTGCTGACGATGTTTGATTTGAATTCGCCAGACGAGCCCGCCAAATCACCGAGCTTCGAGACCTGCCAGAGCCTGCAAACTGCATCCCACACGGGTGAACCGAAGCTCGCTTTGTACCAGACCAAAGCTCCAAGCCCCTACTGGCGATGGCAGAGCAGGTTTCAGGGCTAGAAGGCCGGTTCGGAATTCGTATCGCCGTGGCCTGGCTTTCAATTCCAGATTCAAGCCCCCAAGGAGAACCTCGAGATTCCCAGCTTACCTGACAGTTTTCCTATTCTCTTTCTTTTCAGGGATGTTTAGTCGAGTTCTTAGGCATAACCAGGCTTGGCCTCCAGCTCTAGCTTCAGCTTCAGTTCCGGGTAAGCAATGCAAAAAACTTGGTAATGCCTGCTGCTAACGACCTTAGAAGATAACCTCCCTATCTTTAATATTTTCTCGTCAGCATACACTTTGCTGTCCTCGTTCCGCAGTTTCATTCCTGCCTTCTCCCAGTTTCGCTAGCTTTTGAAATGGCGCGTCCCGGAGATAGCATAGAAAAATGGCTCGCAGCCGCGCAAGAAAAGCAATCTCCCAGTCAGAATGGGCCAACAGAGCGGCCAACGGCAGCCACGGCAAGCTCGCTACGTAGTAACTTATCGTCCACTTTCACCCGAACCTCGTCCAATCCCGAACCTGCATCCGCTGGCGGAGCAAACTCTGGGAAGGATTTGAAAAGCTCAAGCTCATTGACCCAGCAGCTGGAATCACGTTCGGTACTGCCACCCGCTCCTTCTTCCGAACCAAGGACCCGAACCTACGGCAGCAGGCTCGGGGGAGACTACTCGCCCGCAGAGAACTCCTCCTACAGTGCGAGCATCAGGGAAAATATCACCTTCGCTAGAGGCACAGACTCTACTCGCGGTGACGTGGCGCCTGCAGAGCGCTTCACTCAGCCAACCCGTGCAGACGTGGCACCTCCGTCCAGCACGGGTGGATCATATGTGGCATCCGGCAACCAGGGCTACGGCAACGGCGGCGCGGCTGCTGGCGGAAAAGCCAACCAATCATTATCCAACAGCAGTGTCGGTTTAGGAGGCGGGGCGGGCGGCGGCGGTGGCGGTAATGGGATCGGCAGAAGTCCGTCCGGTACTTATTTCTCCGCTGCTGCTCTCTCGAACCGCTCTCAGGGCAACGGAAGCCCTCGCAACTCTAGCGAGAACGAGAAGCTGTACGAGGCTTATAACGAGTTGCACCGCTTAGCGCAGCACTTCCAGAAGCCGTTCGATGCGCCAGCTGTTCTGATCGTGGGGCATCAGACGGACGGGAAGAGCGCGCTGGTCGAAGCGCTGATGGGATTCCAGTTTAACCACGTGGGCGGGGGGACGAAGACGCGCCGTCCGATCACGCTGCAGATGAAGTATAATCCGGCGTGCGTGGAGCCGCGGTGCTACTTAGTGATGGATAAGGATCATACGAGCGAACAGGAGAAGACTCTGCAGCAACTACAGGTACTGTTTGGACTCTTTTCTTTTCTTTTCTTTTCTTTTTGCCTCTAATGATTTTTTTTTCCAAGCCGTTGGTGAATGCAACGTGTTACCCGTCTTACTATGACTGTAACGGTGCAGGCTTATATCGAGTCGGAGAACCAGCGGCTGGAGAAGGACATGGGGCGATTTTCGGACCGAGAGGTGGTGGTGCGCGTGGAGTACAAGTACTGCCCCAACCTCACCATCATTGATACCCCTGGACTGATTTCTGCGGCGCCGTCAGTCACACACACGGCGCTGCAGGTGCGTCAGAATTCATTCCTAGGTTCGATAGATGGTGGGTCTTGAGGGCGGGGGGGTGGTGGTGCGCGTGGAGTACAAGTACTGCCTCAACCTCACCATCAACAACACGTCCAGACTAGAACGAGGTCCTTTTTGAACAGTCTCTTTCTCTCCCCCTCTCCACGCCTCACTCCCCCCTCCTCCCCAGGAACAAGCGCGGATCGTTGAGGCACTAGTACTGGCGAAGATGAAGCAGCAGGAGTTTGTGATTCTTTGTTTGGAAGACAGCAGCGACTGGAGCAACGCGACGACTCGCCGCATCGTCATGAAGGTCGACCCGGACCTCTCCCGAACCATCCTCGTGTCCACCAAGCTCGACACGCGCATCCCGCAGTTCTCCCGGGCAGCTGATGTGGAGATGTTTCTCAACCCGCCGCTGCCCGACATCTCGGCGTCGCGGCTCGCCACGCGGCCGTTCTTCACGTCCGTGCCGTCGGGGCGAGTGGGGTCCGGGTCGGATGCGGTTTTCATGACGGATGATGATTTCAGAGATGTGAGTGTGGGGGTAGATGGGTGAGGAAGGGGGAGGAAGGGAGAGGGAGCAAAAGCAAGGGCTGGAAATCTAGGAGGAGGCTGGTCAGGTGGGGTGTTTTTCAACTGGTGAGAGCTGGAAATCTAGAAGGTGCCGCTGCCCGATATCTCCGCGTCGCGGCTCGCCACGCGGCCGTTCTTCACGTCGGTGCCGTCGGGGCGAGTGGGATCTGGATCTGATGCTGTTTTCATGACGGATGACGACTTTAGAGATGTGAGTTGGTGGGTAGATGGGTAGGGGGAAGGGGGGAAGTCGGAAGAGGGAACGAGAGAGAGCTGGGTAACTAGTGGGATCTGGGTTGGTTTTCAGTGGTTTCGACTGATGACGCTGCTGCTGCTGCTGCTGCCCGATATCTCTGCGTCTCGGCTCGCCACGCGGCCGTTCTTCACGTCGGTGCCGTCGGGGCGAGTGGGGTCCGGGACGGATGCTGTTTTTATGACGGATGATGACTTCAGAGATGTGAGTTGTGGGGGGGAAGGGGAGGGGGTGGGGGTGTTGGGGCGAGCAGGGAAGGCGAGTGGGGTCTGGTTCCGATGCTGTTTTCATGACGGATGATGACTTCAGAGATGTGAGTGTGTGGGAAGGGGGGGGATGATGGGTACGAGAAAAGGAGGGAGAAGGGAGAGGGAGCGAGAGGGAGCCAAGAAGCACGTGGGGTCCAGGTATTGGGTTCAGTGTTTTTGGCTGATGGCGCTGCCGCTGCCCGATATCTCTGCGTCGCGGCTCGCCACGCGGCCGTTTTTCACGTCGGTGCCGTCGGGGCGAGTGGGATCCGGATCTGTGAGTGAATGAATGACGGATGATGACGGATGATGACTTCAGAGATGTGAGTGAATGAATGGGTCTTTGAGTCAACTCAAAAGCAGTATGCGAGTGGGGTCTGGGTCGGATGCGGTGTTTATGACTGACGACGATGTCAGAGATGTGAGTGAATGAATGGGGGTATGCGAGTGGGCTGCGTGTTGCATGTGTTCTTCACGTCAGTGCCGTTGGGGCGAGTGGGGTCCGGGGTGGATGCAGTGTTTATGACGGATAATGATTTCAGAGATGTGAGTGGGGCAGAGGGGAGGGAGGGGAGCGAGTGGGGAGGAGGGAAGGAGGGGAGAAGGAGCAGGGAAGGGGAGTAGGGTTCGGGTTGGATGCGGTGTTTATGATGGACGATGATTTCAGAGATGTGAGTTGGGGGAAGGGGACGAGAGGGGGAGAGATGTGGTGTGAGGGGAGGGGACAGTTCCCTCAATCACTAGAGGTAAGTGTCAGGTGTTGAGAGGAAGGCACACTCGACTGTTTCCAAGTCGTAGACTTGACTCTGGCTGATTGAAGCTGACATGAAACCGACTTGGTTGACTTGCGTTGGCCTGCAGGCTGTTGCTCGAAGAGAGATGAGCGACATTGCAGCACTAGAGGACAAAATGGGCCGCCCGCTTTCAGACGATGAGCGAGCAAGGGTGGGGGTTAGCCGGCTTCGGCTGTTCTTGGAGCAGATGCTGCAGCAACGGTAGGCAGTCCCCTTTCCTCCTCTCACCTCTTCCTCGTCTTCCCGTGTCCCCTCTTGGACGCAGATGCTGTAGCAACGGTAACCAGTCCGTTCCCCCTTCCCCTATTTACTTCTCTCCATCCGTTCCCTCCTCTCACCTCTTCCCTCCCTTCCCGCCTCCCGCACTCCCACTCTTCTTTTGCTTACCCCACCCTCTCTTCTTCTAGATGCTTCAGCAATGGTTATCAGTCGGTTCCGTGTGTACACTTCATTGCTTCCCCACCTTTCCACCTCTCCCCCTTTCCTTTCTGCTTTTGAGTCGGCTCATAAGTAGATGCTTCAGCAGTGGTGATGAGTCTGTTCCTTGTGTACACTTCATTGCTTCCCTTCCTTTCCTCCTCCCCCCGTTTCATTCCCACCCTTCTCCCTATTCTACTCCAATGCTCCCCGTCCTCTGCATCTTAGCCTTTAAGATGCAATCAACGTCAATCCTCCCCTCTTTCTGCCCTTCCCCCTCGTCTTTCCACACAGGTACCTCGAGAGTGTACCCTATATAGTGCCGCTGCTCGATAAGGAATACAAGTCCGTCTCTACCAAGCTCTCTGCCACCTCTGCAGAGCTACAGTAAGCAACATATCTCTCCTTCCCATCCTCCTTCCTTTCTCTTTCCTTTTCTCCAATCCTCTTTGTCCCTTCCTCCTCCTCCTCGTCCGCTTCTCCTCCCATTCGTCCACTATTCCTCCCGTTTATATGCCACCCACATACCTGAACCTCTCCTTTCCTCCACCACTCTACATGCTCTTGAGACTCCTCTTTCTCTCTCCGTTCTCCAAAGCGTTTTCTGTTTTCTCCGTCGTCCCCTAAAAGCATCCCTCGTTTCTCCCTCCTCTAACCCGTTAAGCATCCTCAGGAACCTCAGCGATGGCGAGTTGACTGCTGAGGCGCCTCAATAATAGGCACCTACCAAACCCTAAGCATCCCTTGTCTATCCCTTCTCTCTCCATTTGGCCGTCCTCAGGAACCTGAGCGACGGCGAGTTGAAAGAAAAGAGCCGAAATTTCCGCGACAACTTCGTCCGGAAGGTATGTGCGTGGGTATGAGGCCTTACAGGACTGCCTGAGGGGGGCATGCTTGGTGAGTCGTACGTGTTGCTTGATTCGTAGCACCACCCCTCCCTCCCCCCCCCCCCCCCAAAAAAAAACAGCAACATTCTGTACCTCTGTAACGCCTCTACCTCTTGTAACCCCTGTAACACCTGTTAAACCCACTCCATCCTCCTTTGCCTCTCCCCCCTTCAGCTCACAGTTCTGCTCCGTGGCTCCATTGCCGCTCCACCCGACAAGTTTGTAACCCCTGTAACCCATGTGAACCCCACCCCACCCCACCCCACCCCACTGCCTTTGCCTCTCTCAACTTCAGCTCACTGTCCTGCTCCGTGGCTCCATTGCTGCTCCACCCGACAAATTCGGTGAGTTTAGGCTCCATTCTCCATGCTCTCGCCTCCTCGCCCTGTGAGCCTCACTGCGGATTCAGTGAGTTGACAGTAGCATGTTCTGCCTTAGCCCTTGGCTATTTATCTGTGTCACCCTCTTTTCTTGAGTCTGTCTGGCCATGGCTCATCCACACCAACAACCTCCTCTCCGCTCCTCCCCTGTCTACTTCCTGCCGCTGCTGCTCACCAGGCGAGACGCTGCAGGAGGAAAGGGCGCGTGGGGGGATCTTTGTGGGGTCGGACGGGCAGCAGTTCCCTCAGAGGCACATGCCGGTGAGCCCTCGTTGCTTGTTTGGGGCGCCTCAAAGATCGCCTCAGAATATTGCCTCCTGTGGCGGGACCTTTGTGGGGTCGGAGTCAGCAGTTCCCCCAGAGGCACATGCCGGTGAGCCCTTGTTGCTTTTTTTTCTTAAGACGCCTCGTTTTCACCGCGAAGATCTCCTCATGAAGCCACTCAACTTGTGGGGCAGCATTTGTGGGGTCGGATGGGCAGCAGTTCTCCCAAGGCACATACCAGTGAGAACTGCTGCCTTGGGAGCAATCTCTCCCGTGGGGTAAGCCCTCATGCTTTTTCGAGGGGCCTCAGAAGTTCGCCTGAAAGAATCCCCTTGAGAGATTGCTTCGAAAATGAACTGAATCTGTGAGGGGGTACCTGTGGTGTCAGATGGGCAGCAGTGGTTTTCCAAAGGCACGTATATTCTCTCCCCATCTTCACTCTCCTTCCACCAGAACTCCAGCATGCGCCTCTTTGGCGGGGCACAGTACAGTACCACCGGGCAATGACGGAGTTCCAGTTTGCGGTGGGTGCAGAGCGGTGCAGTGCCGGTAACGAAATCTCATTTCCCTTGTGGTTTGTGCCTGAGCCACTCCCTTCTACCAGAACGCCAGTATGCGCCTGTCGGCGGGCACAGTACCTTGGGACAATGGCGGAGTTTGAAGCTGTCCCTTGCCTCTCTCCCTTGTTCCCTCAGTACCTACATTCCCCCCATCTTCTGCACCCACCTCTTCTCCCTTTGTCAGAACGCCAGCGTGCGTCTCAATGGAGGGGCACAGTACCACCGAGGCGGAGTTCCAGTTTGTGGTGGGTACAGTGCGGTGCGGTACGATGACGGAATCTCTTTTCCTTGTGGTTTGTGCCTGTGCCACTCTCCCCTTTGTCAGAACGCCAGCATGCGCCTCTTTGGAGGGGCGCAGTACCACCGGGCGATGGCCGAGTTCCGGTTCGTGGTGGGTGCAGTGCGGTGCCCTGCGATATCAAGGGAGGAGATCGTGAATGCGTGCGGTGTGGAGGACGTGCACGACGGCACCAACTACTTCAGGTATTCGCTTTTGAGAATTCTTGGGGGTGGCTCCTGTCCTGCAGTCCTCTTGCATACTGGCTGTTAGTATCGTGTGCTTCAAGTGGTGTCTCCTGGAACTGCTTAAGTTAGCACTATGGAAAAAAAAACAAGCAGACGGCCCTCAGAAAATTTGTGGGCATGCTCTGCCGTCCATGCAGTTACGTGTAAAAAGAAATGTTCTGAGACGACTCAAAACACTTCTTTTTAAATTGTGGGCATGCTCTGCCGTCCATGCAGTTACCTTCCTTACGACTGCATCCACTGTGCCTGCCTCGTGATGCAATAATTGAGGTTACCCTTGCCTACTCCCTGGTGCCACTTCTCTCCCTTCTTGTGCTCTGCAGGACGGCGTGTGTGATTGCTGTTGCCAAGGCATGGGACGTGTTCGAGCCATTCCTTCGACAGGTATGTTCTTCGGGTTGCTTTCCAACTGGTGTAAGTGTGGGGTACTTTGGTAGGCGGCTCACAAAGCATGTGTGATCGCGGTGGCCAAGGCGTGGGACGTGTTCGAGCCGTTCCTTCGCCAGGTATGGCTGTGGGTTGGTTCGCAACAGGTACAATTGTGGGGTAATTAGGGAGAGGACTCTCCAAGCGTGTGTGATTGCTGTTGCCAAGGCTTGGGACGTGTTCGAGCCGTTCCTTCACCAGGTATGGCTTTGGGGTCAGTATAGCCTGGTGTTCAGCAGTTACAGTAGTCATTTGGGTTTGATTCTTGTAGAATGCATGTATAGTTGCGCGGGTTACATTGATGACTGTATATATCACATTTTTTTCTCGCTAACAGCAGCTTTGGTTTTACACCTCTCCTCTGCTCCAACATGCTTCCCGTCCCTCTTCTTCCCTCCTCTCTTCCCTCCTCCCTTCCCTCCTCCCGTCCCTCCTCCCGTCCCTCCTCCTTTCTCTCCTCCCTTCCCTCCTCCCTTCCCTCCTCCCTTCCTTCCTCCCGTCCCTCCTCCCTTCCCTCTCATCGCAGCTCGGTTTCCGTCTATCACACATTGTGGGCAGACTGCTGCCCATCGTGCTCTTCCTACTCAAGGTGATTCGCGGTGCTTGTTGTGTTGAGGTGACGACTATTGAGGGGCTTCTTTGTACGTGCCTCTTTTGTTGTGATGCAATACATTGTGGGCCGTCTGCTGCAAATCGTGCTCTTCCTACTCAAGGTAAGACGTGCTGCTTGTTGCGATGAAATGTTCATAGAAAAAGTACCCTCTGTACCACTCCTCATCCCCTCTAGAAGGATGACATGTTTACACAAAGAGTACCACAGAAAGTAGTCTCACACTGACAAGCACTTGCTCCTCATTCCGTCTCTCTGAACCTACCCCACCTCTTCCCCTTCCTCCCACTTTTCCCCCCACGCATCAGAGGGACAACGAGCCCACACAACATCCGCTTTAAAGAATGGCATATTCACAAAAAGAGTGCCACAGAAAGTAGTCTCACATTGACAAGAACTTGCTCCTCATTCCCTCTCTCTGACTCTACCCCACCTTTCGCCCCTCCTTCCCTGTACTAACCCACATACCAGAGGGAAAACGAGCCCATGCTGGTGCACGAGACGTTCATAGAGCGAGTGCAGATAGACTCAAGTTGTTCTATTCCCTCCTGGCTTCCTTCCCCTCCTCCCTCTCGCTTACCCCGCAGAATGACAACGAGCCCATGCTGGTGCGCGAGACATTCATAGAGAGGGTGCACAGAGCATTCATAGACTCAAGCGCATATTCTGTCTCTCGTCTTCCTTTCCCTCCGCCCTCTCCCATCGCTCTCCCCAATCAGAGGGACAACGAGCCCAAGCTGGTGCACGAGACGCTCATAGAGCGAGTGCAGGAGTTGTACCACAAGTTCACTCACATACTCACACCACTGCCATGTGCCTGTTCCCTTCCCATCTCCCCTTCCCATCTCCCCTTCCCATCTCCACTTCCCATCTCCACTTCCCATCTCCACTTCCCATCTCCCCACCACCACTTCAGAGGGACAACGAGCCGATGCTGGTGCACGAGACGTTCATAGAGCGCGTGCAGGAGTCATATCACAAGTTCGTGGATGCAACTGAGCGCTCTTGTATTGAGAAGTGAGTGAGAGGGCAGGCTGGAGGAATGGCATTGAGCAGTGGTGGAGGGTGCAAGAGTCGTATCAAAAGTTTGTGGCCGGCTCAGCGCGCTCTTGCATTGACAAGTGAGGAGCAGGTTGGGGTGTCGAGCAGTTGGGCAGTGAGAGAGGGTGGCACAAGTTGGGCAGGTTGGGCAGGTCGGGCAGTCGGGCAGGTCGGGCAGGTTGGGCAGGTCGGGCAGGTTGGGCAGGTTGGGCAGGTTGGGCAGGATGAGAGGCTGGTAGTGAGCAGTGGGGGAGTGTGCAGGAGTCATAGCATAAGTTCGTGCATGCACGGCCTTTGCACACTCCCCGCACCTAATTGTCCTGCATTGCTAAGTGTGAACGGTTTTTTTTAAATATCAAAGATAGTTCGTGCATGCATGACCTTTGTATGGCACGGCGCCTAATGGTCCTGCATTGTAAGAGCACACATGTTTCAGACTAAGCCTCCTGTGCTTGCGATTCCCTGTCTTTCGCCCATTTGTCTCTCCACCCGCCCTCAGGTGCATGGAGGACCTCACCAGCACCACCCGCTTTGTCACATGGTCTCTGCATAACAGGGTAGGCGGTCTCCTGCTTTTCCCTCTCACAACCCTACCCTCCCCTTCAGCTTAGCTCAGCAATGTGTTCAGAAAAATGTTTCACCATGCACACCAGAATCCCTTTTGTCCTCGCTTCCCTCTTTGTGTGCCTTTTTGTCCCTTCCGTCTCTGCCCCTTCCCTTATTCTGGCCTGTACAATCCCGCTCTGCCCTGCGCTCCTTCTTTGATTCAACCATGCCCAACCGCGACTCCTCCCTCCTCGCTGCTCCCTCCTAGAGCTTGGCTCCTTAGTCATACTTCCTTCACTTGTTCCCATCTTCCATCCCACTCCCTCCCTTACAGTCCCGCTCTGCCCTGCGCTCGTTCTTTGACTCGGCCATGCCCAACCACGACTCCTCCCTCCTCGCTGCTGTCGGCGCCTTCGAAGCATCCACGCCCATGCCGGTCCCAGCTGCCACAAGCAGACAAAACTCGCCGCCTTTCGGCCCGACCGACTACCAGTCCAGTCCAAGCGACGACGGTCGGGGCGACAGAGGGGCAGTGGGGGGGACGGGCCGAACCAGTAGCACTGGTGCCACTGCTGGTGGTACCACTAGTGGTGGTGCTGGCAGTGGTGCTGCTGCTGGTGCTTGTTCTGCTGGTGGTGCTTCTGGTGCTGCTGGTGGTGCAGCAGGAGGCAGCGGCACGGGAGGGAGGCTGGCAGATCTCCTCGAATCAACCCTCTGGACGCGCCGCCTCGCTCCCTCCTCCGAAGACATAGTGAACGCGCTGGTGATGCAGATATTCGAGGGCATTCGGGACCACTTTGTGATGGCAGCAGAGCTTAAGTTCAACTGCTTCTTTCTCATGCCGCTCATGGACCGGTTTCCGGCGAGGTTGAGGGAGGATTTGGAGGCGGTGGCGGGGGGTGGGCTGGACGCGGTGTTTGATATCTCGCGAGTGCGTGGGCAGCTGGAGAGGAGCCGCGGGGAGCTGGATGAAGAGCTCAGGCGGGTGAGTGAGGGAGGGGGGAAGGGCGGGTGGACGGGAGGAGAGGGAGGGGTAGTTGGGGGAATGGGACAGCAGAGGGTGGGTGGTGCCACGGGTAAGGCTTTCTAGCTCAAGTTCAACTGCTTATTCCTAGTGAAATCCCAGTTTGAACAGATGAGAATTGAGGGCCCGAGACACGTGGGGCTTGGGTGTGTGGATGAACGGGGTTTTTATGTCACGTGTTCGTCGTACAGTATGTGTGTTTCTGTTTCTAGACTCAATCTCTCGGTTCCCTTCGTCTCCTCCTTTCCCTTTTCTGCCCTTTTTGTCAGGTGCATGCACTCCAAGCCAAGTTCGCCAGTATTCACCACAGCCTTAGCGTGATGCCGTCCCATGCCATGTCAGCACCAACGGGGTCTCTTTTCAGCTCGCACTCTGGAGCATCCTCGTTTTCCTCCTTCGCGTCGTCAGATGCAGCTAACCCGTCATCACGGCATTTCGCCGACTCGCTCTCATCGATGTTGGACGCGCAAAGCTTGGGGACTCCTGGCCCAAGAAAAGCATTAGATAGCGGTCGTGAATATATTATCAGAAAAGCATGAAGTCAATGTCTGCGTGTGTACGTTCTCTTGTGCCAGATCCATGTGTAGAGCCACGCTTCATTCTGCCTTATTGTGTGCAATGGTCTCACACTGGTGCTGGTTTTCTTGTGAGTGTAGAGTGTTTTGAGTGAATGTGATCCGCTATAGCTTGTCACGAGGGACTCTCTAGCGAGCTTTTATCTTGTCTCGAATTTCTGGAACCTCGTTCGGTGCATGACGAAGCAGGCAGGCAATGCGAGTGCCCGTCCCCACCCCCTCGCCCCCCCAGCATCTCAGTATGAACCATAGAGGCAAACTCTATAAAATTGTGTTGAAACGTCGAGAACCCGATTGAACCGCATGGGCGGAGAGCAAGCGGAAACACACCTCAGCGTAGGAGGAATCTGAATTCGGCAGGCAGGCAGCAGCGTCTGCTGTAGTGTCTCCATGGTTGCATAGCCTCGCCTAATCTTTCTTGGTAATCGCAATCTCAGAGATATACCTCAGCCGACTTAGGTGTCACATCGCAACGTGAGACGGCCATTTTTGGGTGAATTCTCGAAAAACGTTCACGGCAGGATGGGAGCCGCGCAGTCGACGGAAGGAACTGATTGGCTAAAAAGGTCCGTCAAGGTCCGTCGTAGCTGAAAACAAAAAAAAAAAAAAAAAACAAAAACAAAAACAAAAATCGATTTTGCGATATTCCGGGCTGCATATGCAAGAGGACATAATCAACGGTAGCCAGATTCTGCTTGTAGCCAGGTCAAGATTCATATGATCAAGTGCATCAGGGATGATGTCAGCTGTAAGACCTACATGAATTGATTCTATTTTACCCTTAGTCGGTCGTTCATAACCGAATGTATTGGGATTGCCCTGTTTGTTGCTCTGGCTGCTGTACTCGCCTGGAGGGGGGGGGGGGGGGAGGAGGGGGGGAGAGTGAGGTGGGTAGAGCTGCAGGGATTGTTATTCCTGAATCATTCATTGATTTTACCTTGTGCTTGCTTGTCTCTCCTGCCTGCACCCATTCCTGCCAGGCAGGCTCTACTCCCCTCGGGAGTGGGAAGAGTTGCAGCGCCTGTTTGTGTCACTCGCTGCACAGTCACGCAGCAACGGGCGGCATATCATAGCGAGTGTGTTCCAGGTACTGCTTCATGGGTACCTAGTTGCACTGCTCTGCACCGCACTCCACTCCGCCTCTCTTTTCGGCTCTGTTTGTGTCGCTCGCCGCGCAGTCGCGCAGCAACGGACAGCTTGTCATTGCAAGCGTGTTCCAGGTACTGCTTCATGGGTACCTAGTTGCACTGCTCTGCACCGCACTCCACTCCGGCTCTTTGCTCGGCTCTCTGACAATTTATCTTCGACGGTGCCGTGTGGGTCACAACTGTGTCCCCCATTTGACAGGCATACTATGGCATTCACGGGAGTCTGGGGGCTCGCCTCTTTGAGATTGCAACTCAGAGGAACAAGGATGGCCTCATGCGCTTTCAGGAATTTGCGTCTATCAAGGTCCGCTCCTGCCTTCACCGCATGATAAGTTTTGTTTTGTTGGTTTGTTCTTGCAAAAAAGTGAAGGTACTAATGCCTAACAATGCCGTTTGCCATTCAAGTTTACATTCTCCAAAATCAGGCTGTGTTTTGACAAGGGCTTTCGGAAAAAATTGGCATCTATTGCTGACTGGCCCTCCAATTTCCGTTAATTTTCCGTCCCCCTTCCATCAGGCCCTGTTCGACTTCACCTGATAAACTGACATTCATTGCCATTCAAAATTCATTTATTGTATGTACTGTTCAATTCGCTTTAACAATTTCCCATCTATCAGGCCGTGTTTGACAAAGGTTCACCTGACGAAATTGACCGCATGTGCTTTCAAGTCATGGACGTTCTCAAGTCAGGAAAGGTCGACAGGTAACCATTCACAATGTTTTTGGAGTCGGGAACATATGAGAACTTCTGAGACTTTTCAAACTTGACCGCATGTGCTTTCAAGTCATGGACGTTCTCAAGTCAGGAAAAGTTGACAGGCAAACGTTTAGCATGTTTCTGAGGCGGCTAGTAAGATTTCCAAACGGAGTGTCCACAAAGAGAGAGCTCGATTCGCAGTGGATCTACAAAGTGTCTTTTGCACCAAACCCTTAAACGGAGTGTCCACTTGTTTCCTTTGCCATTCTTAATGCAGGCGAGAGGTAGAGGAGGTAATGCGCAGTGCCCTCGCCACTGTCTTCGGTCCCCAGCACTCCCCCTCGCCTGCTCTCATCCAAGCCTTCATCTCCTCTGCCTTCCCATCTAATTCCAACTCAAGTAGCCGGCCTTCTCTCAATCACTTGTCCCCCGCTTCCTCAGCACTCGCTTCCACCGCTCTCCACCCCTCTTCTTCTCTGTCTTCCGCAGCTGCTACACCGCTCGGTGCATCAGCAGCGACAGCAGCAGCAGCATCGGAGGGAACAGGAGGTCGTGAACTCACAGATAGGAAAGAAGCAGGGAGGCCAGAGCAAGAAGGGCAAGGCGTAGGTAGGGATGGTAGTGCTGGTGCCAGTGTTGTTGCTGATCCCAGACCTGTTGATGATGATACCAGTGTTGCTGCTGATGATGGGAGGGAGCTGTCTTACCAGGATGCTGTTCGATGGTGGAATACGGTACCTGCTGTCAAGAAGTTTCTCCGAAGCCTCCTCACCCCTCCAGATCTCCGTGAGTCTTTCAGGATGGTTTTTTTTGTTTGTTTGTTTACTAACAACTCAATAGCGTAGGAGAAAACTGCCACAAAACGCTGTGTTCTAAGTACTTCCAAAGATTGTTCAGGGATACATAATTCTTTTGTAGCTGAATGGCCTTCTATAACCGTGCGATCCTCCTTCGCTGTGTAGTTTTCTATGTTCCACTGGTGCTTTGTGCAAATCTTTTCCTTCCGTCACTGCTTCTCCCCTCTTTGCCCTTTCCAGGCCCGCCACTACCAACTCTTGTCGTGCCAGCTGTCACTACCAGCGCCCGCCACATCAGCTCAGAAGCAGGCCAGGAGCAACAGGATAGTAGGGAGGACACGTGGCTTCTGCAGAAGGAGCTGACGTGGCACATAGCCGGTGCACTACAGGACAAAGAGTGCCACGAGTGGTGTTTGTTGTACAGCAGTAAACTGCATGGGCTGAGCTTCAACTCTTTTCTGGGGAAGGTAGGACTGGCCACGGTAGTATCATAATAGCCTTCATTGCCATTCTTATGCCAGGAGCAGAGAGGAGGGGGTGGTGGCAGCAGCAAGTACTGATACAGCAGCAACTGCTGGTGGTGCATCTCATATAGTGCATCTCGTATAGCACATATAGTGCATCTCATATAGTGCATCTCATATAGTGCATCTCATATAGTGCATCTCATATAGTGCATCTCATATAGCACATATAGTGCATCTCATACAGTGCATCTCATATAGCACATATAGTGCATGTCAAGTAGTGCATCTCGTATTGTGCATCTCATATAGCACATATAGTGGTACAGCATCAGCAGCATCCAACCTTGAAGAACACAAACGTTTCGTATTCCTGCTCTCGTTGTCTTCTTGTCCTTCTCGGTCCTTTCCAGGTGTCATCAGTACCGCATCCAACCGTTCTCGTGGTCCGTGACTCTGCTGGAGCCATCTTTGGAGCTTTCGCTTCCAAGCCATGGGAGCGAGGCAGCGCTTTCTTTGGTGACATGCGCTCCCTCCTCTTCTCCTTCCTCCCCACCGCTGCTGTATTCAAAGCAGCCGGCACCAGCACCAACATACAGTGGGTAGGTCGTTTTGGTGAAAGGTGAGTGTGTTCCTGCAGATAATACCTCCTGTGTGGGTAACAGAGGCAGCGCTTTCTTTGGTGACATGCGATCCTTCCTCTTTTCCTTCCTCCCCACCGCTGCTGTTTTCAAAGCAGCCGGCACCAGCACCAACATTCAGTGCGTACGTGGTCCTGTCAGACATTGAGTAGTTAAGAATTTCGAACCAACTAAAGTATTATTCACATTGCTGCTGTTGATGAAGCAGCCGGCGCCAGCACAAACATACAGTGTTTGCGTACGTGGTGTTGTGTGTTGTGTCTTGTTTGACGTTAAGTTGTTACAGACGGAGGCCAGGTATTGTGAGTACGTGGCAGGAGCACCAAGCTTCTTCCTCCTCTCCCGTCCTTCCCATTGCTGCCGTCTTTCTAACATTCCCACTGTTCAGCTGATGACTACCTCTCCTCTCCTTTTCTACCCGCCTTCCTTTCAATTGCAGTGTGCATCAGGCTTTGCATCTGAATCCATTCCCAATGGTATTGGTCTGGTTGGCCAAGTGGGTCATTTCGGCTTTTTCCTCACAACTCAGCCTCTGCTTTCCTGCCCTCATTCATTTTCATTCCAGTGTGCATCAGGCTTTGCATCTGAATCCATTCCCAATGGCATCGGTCTGGGCGGCCAACCGGGCCATTTCGGCCTTTTCCTCTCGTCGGATTTCGACTCGGGTCACTCTCGCCCCAGCACCACATTCAACTCCCCTTCACTCTCTTCAACACCTAACTTCACTGTAGATGCAGTCGAGTGCTGGGCTGTTATCAGTGCATCTCTGTCTGATAGGATTTTTGCCGGTGATGGGGGGTTAGGAGTGGTTGGATTGTCAGGGGCTGGAGTGGGGAGTGGGAGATCGGATCATGCTGGTAGTGGGAGAGGGACGGTGTTGGATAGGTTTGGAAAGGAGCGTGCGATGTTGGGCATGATGGGATTAGCAACGGCTAGTGAGAACATTGTCAGGGATAAACCTGATAGCGAGGGTTGAATGTGACGGGATGCACAAGAGTTGGCAGTTGGCAGTTGGCAGCTGGTAATGGACCGTACCTGCAGCTATCTGGAACCAATATTGTTTAAATACCACTGTCAAGCGGAGAGTTGGCGAGCGGAGAAAAATCACACGGTTGCAGGTGAACTATTATAATAGAAAAGGGGCTGGTGAAATAATTTCGTAGCTCACTTAGCAACAGAGAAACAAGTGTACGTTGCACTTATGTGAATAACTTTTGGTCGCAATGGTTCAACGGAAGTCGGGGATTGCCCGAGCCTTTTCCGACCGACTCCACGTGGCTGCTGCAGACGCGATCCGACGAGGATTTTGATGACCAACTCGTCAGTTTTCGGCAGGGTCCAGCCGAGTGATGGATCGTCAGGTTGCGTAACCAGCCTCGTTCGCGAACATTCTTTGCGTGGACCATTCGCTGGATTCCTTCGCGGCTGCAACCACTCCGTTGACACATCCGACTCAAATGATTCTGGCGAAACGTTCCATTGCTGCGCTGTAACAGAACAACAGAGCAGCGATCGTGCCTTGCTGGCGTCGCATCGATCAAACTTCGTACGCCGAAACGAATCAGTGTGGATAACGAACTTCAGCGACGACAGCCCGACTGATTCGTCGCCCTTGCGACTGTCCATCTCCCGAACTAGGCCATTCTTCCCCCCATCTCACCAACGCCAACGCACACCAAGAATCGTCTCCCCCCCCCAACAAACTCCAGCCAACTCGAGCATGTGTTTCTATAAACCAGAGACACATTTTCGAGTAAGGTAGCACTAGAGGGCATCACAGCGTGTGCTGTTGAATCTGACGCATTTCGTCAATACGATCTCGCTTAGACCAGCTACTATCGTTTCGAGCAGCTTCTTTTGGAATAGTTAGTACCCTGTCCCATAGCGAAACGGCCTTAAACTAGAAGTTAAAATCGTTTTCTAGTGATAACAGAGTTTATACGATAGGCAAGCCTTGCGTCATGGCCTTCACACGTCCCCTACAGTTTATGCTCCTCTCCTTGATCCTCTCCGCCCTTTACTCCCCGTGCGCTCTCGGATTCTTCAATCGCCACCGTGTCGTCATTCCGCCGGCCCACCGGCAGCACGCGCGCTTCAGAGACCTCAGGATCGGCCGTTCGAAGCTACCTCTAAGCCCATTCGAATCCCAGGGCGAAACCCTTACCTCCGAGATTCATCTGAAAACCGTTAATGACGGGGAGGTATTCCCAGCGGACCGCGCTGCGCTATTGGATGTCAAGAAGCGCATCGAAGCCGAGGCGCGCGCGAAGCGCACCTACGGAAGTTTCCTGCATCGCATGTCCATTCTTGGCGCGGACCCGGAAAAGGAGTATTACCGCTTCTCAAACCGCTCGGAAACCATGAAAGAGAATGACTACCAGATATACTACTACGGCGGAGCCGTGCTCACACAGCCGATTAATCTCTACATCGTCTACTATGGCACGTGGTATCAGTCGGAAGTTAACATCGTGGAGAACTTTATCAAGTCTATTTCTTCAACCTCCTACACCTCGGTGAGCGCCGCCTGAAAGAAACGCTCTCAGGATTGCGGCGTCAAGGCTTTCAGGGTCTATCAGCTTCTACTCCGTGCCCCCCCCTCTTCTCTCCCTCCCTCTGTTAAATTCACAATAACATAGCCCTCTGTATTCCCGGCGTCAACCCCCCTCTTCCCTCCCTCTCTGGCCCCCCACTCTGGCTCCCCCCTTGTTGTCACACTTTGTTCCTGTGCACCCATTCCCCCCACCATGTCTCACCCTCAGAGTTATGCCACGGTGCGTGGATGGTGGAAGATGATCGCATCGCGATACTACCAGATATCTAACGGGAAATACTACTACATTACTCCCAAGGTACTGATTTCGGCAAATGTACTACTTTCTGCCATATTGATGCAGTTTTGTCCCACGTGGTCCGGTCCGGTCAGTAAGGTAAGGAGAAGAGCGATTTTGTGGACCTCTGCTTCGCTCCTCGTAGCTATCTGCCTCCCTTCCTGACACCATTTCCACTGCCACCCCTCTGCGTTGCAATCTCGTCGTTCTGCATCCCTCTGTGTCTCTCTGCACCGCTCTGTGTTGCTTAAAATTCATACAGGTCAAATTGGCCAGCACAGCCTATGACAAGTACACCAGCTCGAGCATCGTTGGAGGTAAGCTGGCATTCCGCATTGCATGCAGATGCAGTGGCAGCACCACCATGTGACAATCATTTTGGCCACACTAAATGAGCATACTGTACATCCTGTGGATGACCCATTGTTTGCCCTATTTTAATGAATGTTGGGTCCTTTGACATGCACTCCCTGATGGTTTCCAACTGCAGCTATTGAGAGGCAGATAATGACCACCAAGCGCTTCCCCTTGGACCCTAATGGGATCTACATGGTGCTCACCAGTGCCGATGTTACGGTTACAATTGGCGGGGATGGCTTTTGTCAGAAGTACTGCGGACTCCGTACGGCATTTACCGGGATAAAGAACGGAGTCAGCAAGCTGTATCAGTACATTCATGTTGGAAACCCTATTCGCCAGTGTCCCGACTCTTCCTGCGTTCTCGGACAGAGCGAGTACTACTAGTAAGTGTGTGATGGATTCCTCTGTTGTCCCTCCATCTCATGTCCACTTACCGGTAGTTCATACCATCATATCACTCCGTCCTCCTCCTCCTCCACTGCATGTGTTGCTCGAGTGTGTCCTTCTCCCAGTTCTTTTATCTCACCCGGCACGGTATTTGTTGTTGCACCTGTACGCTTGCTTGCCAGCAAAACGCCGAACGGGAACTGGGGTGTGGACAGCATGATTGCAACAATTGGCCACGAGCTGGCAGAAGCAGCCACTGAGCCAGATTTGGAAAAAGGCTGGCATGATGAAACAGGGATGGAGGTTGGAGACAAGTGCTCAGCTGATTTGGGTGCCAAAGTGTGGGTGGCTAATAAGAATACAAAGAATAGCTATCTGTTCAACACTGCGGGGTTAAATGGCGTGAGATTCTTGCAGGAGGCTATCTGGAATTATTCACCCAAGAGTTGTGTCGTGCAGTGAGAATAGGAGGAGGATGCCAGTTGGGTGTGGGGGTTGTGCGCATTTGTGTACATACTAATTTGAGCAGTTGTGCTGGAGTAATGAATGGCGGGGAAATACCGGTATGTTTCCCCATTATCCTGCTCCTGACCTTGAACCAGCAACCATGGTTCATTGTAAGTTCTGTTCTTGACCATGCAGAGTAGCCATCCAGGACGGAGAGAATGCCAGAATTTGCAGTCAACGAACACAGATGGCTTACAGGAAACTGGGTCTTCAGAAAAAGGTATACCAGTGGAGTTGACCAGCGGATCATCACAGTTACAGAAAGGCATCGATGGACATTACAGAAAGGAACCAGAAATCCTTACAGTTTGCTTAGAAAGGCGTCAGAATGCTGCTCTAGAATTGTGTCAGCTACATGTCTAATAACCCCAGCACCTTCAAAGTGCAACCACTCCATTTTCACCTGAAATTGAACAAAGCAAAGCAGGTTAGGGATATCTAGCATACGCATTAGCAGAGAGAGGGATAGGAAAAAGAAAACTTGTCAGTGAGTTACATGGATGTAGTTGTGGGCGAAGAATGGCCAGAACGCCTCCTCGAAGTTCACGTCCACTTTCCTCCATGAAACTTGTTGCAACCCGGCAATCATATACTCTGTACAGACAGATTCGTGTGTAGTTGGCGCGTCAGCCAACACAGTCAACACGAAACACAGCCATCACGCCCCTCAAGCAAGATTTTACCGTGATAAAGCTCGAAGTCATTCGATGGGTCAGTGGTAAAAGCATGCGGATCAGGCAAGTTAGACCCCTCAACAGCAGGAAAATTTTGGACGAGCACAATGTGGCGATAAAGCGGACTGATTGCTGTCTTCGGAATCTGCAACAGAAAAGAGCTTGTCAGGGTACAGCTACCTAACTGTCCCTATTACTCCTAAGAACCAGTCCTGTTAAACCATACGTACCACGGGAAGCTCAGCTGCTCTGCGGATGGAAGAGGTCTGCCAGCCGACCATGCGGTCGTAGCCAGCGTTTGCGTAAAGCAGCCTCAACCTAAATGCTCGAAGCGCTGACCTGAGGGAATGCAGGGTGCAACTCAAAAACTTCACCTTCGTGCTTGATGGACTTATTTGCACAATCACGACTACAATATACTCACAGAAATGGTTTGCCTTGGGTATCAGCGGCCATTTCAACAAGAACAGGGAGTTTCTTCTCTTTCAATGAACCATCAGCAAGAAAAAGTTGGCGCCCGGTTTCCCCAGTGATGAATGGAGCTACAGAAGGGGCGAGTTTCTCCAGAACATTCAAACCAAGAAGAAACGGAAGCTGCAATGCGGATCAGGGTAATACGGACTGATTTTTACATCACAGGGTAATACGGACTGATTTTTACATCACTCAGCCTTCATGCGTCACAAGAACACCATATATGGAGCGTACCTGACCCTTTCCCGACACTCCCAAGTGTGGTGTAGCCAATGTGATAAAGCAGACTGGTTCCAAACCAGCAATTGACCCAGGTCGCTGTTCAGAGCCACCAACGCTAACCCTCTCGCTGCACAGGTTGTGGAGATGAAAAAATGAGAATCCAAAAGGGATGCGACACTGCGTCCACGATAAAGGAAGTCACGGACACAACTAAACCACTGACCTGTTTAGCGGCTCGTGCAGCAAAGCAATCGCGTATCGAACAAACAAGCCACCTAGTGAATGAGCCACGAATGTTATTCTTTGTAGACTGGGATTCTTTTTCACGAGGGTCCTGACCTGTTCGTGGACAATACATCCCAGGAAGGTGTTAACAAGCTTGCATAGCATGCCTCGCTGGCATCGAAAGCGAGGTTCATTGCTCACCTCATTGGCTAATCGTTCCCCAGCCGTAATGACGCCTTGGAAGGTGAGCAAAAACTCGTTAGATGAGCTTGCTGGAATCTCACAGAAATTGCGAAATTAGATGAAGGATAGTTGGAAATTTGCGCACTGCTGTTTTTGAACAATACAGGTGACGGCTTATACAGACCATAGATGAGAAATCGCTTGCCCAGTCTTTTCTTCAGCTCTCCGCGAAGGTAATCCCAGTCACGTACTCTGAAAGTTCATGTCACGTAATGACCGTACGAGCTGGATTCAGATCTCGGATCGACAAGAGATGGCGGTAGTAATGGCAATCAATTGCGAGACCTACGTGGACACGATGCCGTGAACAAGAATTACTGCATGAACTGGCTCCTCCTCACTGCGTTTCGACACCTCGCTTGGCGACTGTTTCGAAAGTCGAGGGCTTTTTGACGAGCTGGCTGTCTCTTCTACAACGTCCATACTTCCTGTCTCTTGCCCTTGAGCTTTCACCTGCTTCCAGTCCTTAGAATCTAACCAACCACTTGTCACTCTGCATTGCGATTTTGCCGCGGATTTTAGAAAGCGGTGCTGTGTTCCAGTCGAACGAGGCAGTGGTAGTATGCGGTGCTGAGCTCCAGTCAAACGAGGCAGGGAGCGACAGACACTCAACATCCTGGAAATTACCCTAACAAAAAGGGCCTAAGTAGGCTCGCACGCCGCTAGCCCGAAACCATCGCGACACGCAAATCGATCGATACTGAAACGTGCTCGGCGCGCAGTGCGGAAAGCCTAGCACAGCGGTGTTGGTGGTACTCGCTTCTGTGATGCCCTCACAAGCAAATTCACATCCCCTCCACTGATATTGCCGCATGAGAGGGTCTTGGGTGGTGTGCTGTCAAGCAGCTGATGTTGGGGCGAACTCATGTCATCACCAACCCAGGGTGACGCGGGAAACCTTGAGCTCCACGCGATTTGTGGGTAGTGTGGGGACCACAATAGGCTCGCAGCAGTGGCTTCGCTAAGCTGTCGATTCTTCACTACGCAGCACAAGATTTTGTCGGAATAGCACTAAACTTAGCTTCGTACAAATAATCTAACAGCTTTATTAACAACATTTACACAAGCACCGAGGCTTTCAGCACTAGTTTGGCAGGTCCCACAATTTACGAGAGTGTCTGCACGTCAAGCATGGCGCTGCTCATACACAGCTTGGCCAAATTCTCCCTCCGCTGTTCTAGGCTTTTGATGTATTGAATAGCCATGCTAATCAAGGTACACGTGTCCATTTTGGTGAACGACGCCCGCCTCTGCTGGCAAAACGTAGAAGGAATAACGTTTTCGAGCTTGCTGAACCCAGCCCTGAAAAAGGAAATACAAAGATTGAAGAGGATTAGCGATTTATTCAAACAAAAAGAATCAAACACCAAGTTTAATATGAGGTAAAAACGCAGACTTACAAGATGCGATGGCGGCGATTCTTCTCGCGCATACTCCTCGGTTGAATATTTCCGGAACTATTTCCACTCCCTTGCGATCCACGGTTAGGCGTAGCATGATGTTGATCCGAGTGCGGCGGCATAGGAGCAGCTGTGTCGCAACAATCCGCTAAGACCGTCCGCTGAGCAGCCACTTCGTTACACCGCGAGGATGTGACTTCCAATTTGAAGCGCGGGAATGTGTTTATGCTGTTTGGAGCGACACATGACGGCAGGACAGTTTGCCTTGCTGAAACCGGATTTTTCGCGGCGATAAGCGCGTTGTTGAGCATATGCTGGATGACCGCAGCATTGTCTAATTCAGATCCTCTCGACTTCTTGTGGCTATGGCTGACGTTTTCGTCCATGGAACGTTTCTTCCCAACTGTAGCTTTTTCCTCTTTCCTCGAGTCGCACATCGCCTTCGCTGCAACGGAAAGCTCCGTGGACGCTGACATATCCGCGTTGCGACTCGATGATTTCGCCGTAACGTCGGAGGGACTAACTTTACTCGCGGTTTGCCAACGGAAGTTGTCGTACCACGGCTCGAAGTCAACAAGATCGGGAAGGAAGCTTGCAAAAGCTTGTGACATCGTTGTAGAAAAGGGGCTGTGCGGTCTTGGAGATGGATAACTTATGAATCAGTGCTATGCGTGGGTAATGTTCTGACTGCGGCACGCTTTTTGTAGGAATGACTTGCAGGAGGAGCGGGGCACTTGCAGGAGGAAAGACGGGGATCCGGGGGCGGGGAGGGGGGGCGAGGAAAGCGGTGTAGGTGCGACGAGATACACGAAATCGGGTTTGAGGGCGCAGATAGTCAGGGGAAGAGATCCGCCACCAGGCAATTCTCGCGCAGATTTGCGAGCTGTGATTTGGCTCGACGACCCCCCAACAGCGCATGCTGTAAGTTGCTGCTTACCCAACTCAACCCAACCAAACCCCTCGAAGAAATCGCATCAGCAGGACATGGCAAGGAAGAGATTGTTGGGGGGAGACTGGAAGCAGATGCATCTAGACATGATCGAAAGGAGGAGGGAGATTGGAGGTGAACTTTTGTCGCTTACCAAAATTCGAACAAAACCGGATCGGCTCGCGGCAGGATGTGGTTCACGTGCTTGAGAAGGAGAACCGATTTTTATTGACAGCGCAGACCAAGGAACTCTCTGATACGTTGGGCTGCAATGGCATGCTTGTGCTGGAATGGGCTGAGTGGTTCGCCATAGGATGATGTGGACACAATCTAGCATCTACTGGTTCTCGCTTGTCCCGTGGCGAAACAAATGGCAGGGATTTGCCGGTGCTTGTGTCCGTATCTGACAAGAATCACGTGAATATATTATATTTAATGCCCACATCAAAGGTGAATCGCCGTTACACAACATCGAAGAGCCAAACCGTCAGATATCTTCCTTTTTGCAATACATCTTTACAGTATTCAAGATACAGATACATAACCAGTTGCCAACCGCGAATATAAGTTGACTGGTTATGTATCCGGTCAACACCAGGGGTAAAGAAATGGAAATGTAAACAAGGAAATGCAATAAATGTATGAAAGACAGGATCAAGGATTTAAATTTACAAAACTATACGTTGACATGCTAATATCACCAATTCTTAGTTGGAAAAATATTGCATTGCGCTGTTATATATACGCACTATGCATTGAAAAAAACGTTCATATATACATTAATCCTATTCTGTGGAGGGTGCTATAAAGCCAAGGCAATGTGTTAAGGCTAGTGAATAAAATGGATGATAAGATTCAGAGTTTCTTGGAATGTATCTATGAATTTATTGCTGCTAAATTGGAGGCTCACCACCATCTTCGGTCACATTCATTTCGCCCCCCCTCCCCTCCTTTCACCTAGGTTTTTTTCCACTCCCACCACCTCCCCGCCATCATCATTTACTCCCGTCCCCCCGTATACCCCCGTATCCCCCCCGTGCCTCCACTTCCCCCCTCGCTTTCCGGATCATCCCCTCAACCGCAAGGTCATTCTAGTCCGCCCCAATTCGCTGCAATACCTCCTTTTTTCCCCTCCTCTTCCTCTCCTAATTCCCGCTGCCAAGTAGCAGCAGTTTAGCAGCAGCAGAACCGAGTGCCTGCGAGGCGATTAAGGCCGAAGCGCGTCAAGATGGTGCAGCCGCTTGTGAAGCCGAAGATCGTGAAGAAGAAGACGAACAAGTTCTGGCGGCCCCAATCCGACAGGAAAAAATGCGTGCCCGTGAGTCATTTTGTCTCAAGGCGATTCGGGCATCCCGTGCTTACGCTTCGAGTTTCCCTTAGGACCCGAAGCTGTTTCATCAGGTCTTTATTTCTCTAGACTAGCCGATTCAATGCGACAAGTGGAGTATTTTAGACCAGGATTTAGTCGCGTGCTGATCCAAGCTGCTCGTATCTTCGATCTGACGCGGCCAGCTAGTTCGTTCACGTGGCAACACCTGCTTCTCAATCGGTGCGGTGCTCAGGCTGCTGCGTCGGGGTTATGGAGTCGTTGAGCCTCGTCTAGATTTGCTGAATAAGCCCGCACGCTTAGGATGTTACCGTTGAGGGATGCAGCGAGATTGCATTACCTGGGGACAAGATTCGAAGCCTGAAAGAAGGCGGTGGTGATGTATCTAAGGAGTAATTGCGAAGTAGTAATGCCCCCTACTAGCGAAGCTACCGACGCGGGGGGCGTTCGCGCTCGCGACTGGCTTGCCGCAGGGACCGTTGGTATGTTGAACAGCGCATGCACGGGTTTCAGATATTCCATATCCAATGTGATTCTCCGAGACGCTCTAGGTGGTTTTCAGACGGTTGTCGTCCGAAATGTGGCGGCAGCTTGACCATCAGATTTATATCGACGAGTCAGGCGCTACAGATGCGAGTGCGCCAATGTTGTGATAGATTCGACGACTACGCCAGTATTCGACCATTAGATCGGTTTACGCCGATCACGTTGACTTTTGAGTCGACTCAAAAGTCAACTCAGACACGAGTCAATTTTGTGATAGATTCGACGAGTATGCCAGTATTCGACCAGTATATCGGTTTACGCGGATCACTTTTCTCGTGTGCCAGTACGTTAGCTGACTCGGCTCCAGCGAGCCATTTACTGACTCAGCATCCAGTCTCCATGTCTGGCGCGACAATGTTAGGGCTGTCTAGTTTCCGCACCATTTCGTTCCTCCTTTCCTTTTCATCAACCTTCAACATTCCCCACATCACCCCTTCCCTCCTCCGTGCCCTCCCTTTATGATTCCCTCGTTCCCGCTTCCCCTCTCAACATCTTTCGACACCATTTCTTCCGTCATTATTCTCTCTCCTCCCTTCGCCTTCCTCTTTCCCGCCTCTGCCCCCCTTCCCCCCCTTCTTTCGTCCCGTCGCCTTTCTTCAATCCCCCGCTCCCTCTCTCTTCCTCCTCCGCCGTTCGTCTTCTTATCCCTGCTCATTCTCCTCAATGTCTATTCCCCCTCGTTTCCCCATTCTCTCCGCTTCCCTTTTCTCCTCCCCGTCTTGCTCCCTTATTTTCCTCATCCTCCTCCCTGCCGTCCTCTCCTCTCTCTTCCACAGCAGATCCTTCATTCCTGCCTCGTCATCTCATCCTCTCTCGGCGCTCTTTCCTCCTATCCAGGACCCCGCCGCAAGCCCCCCCCCCTCCACCCCCTCTCCCCTTCGCCTCTTTTCAACAAGTAGGCCCAAGGATATGAACTCGCGTGTTCCGCGCAAGTTCAGGGGCACGCCGCTGATGTTCGCTTATCTCCGCCTTTCGATCCCCGGCGGTCTTTCTTCCCCCTCTCGCCCTCTTTCCTCCCATCCCCCTTCCCCTTAACAGGAGAGCTGGCGGAGGCCCAAGGGTATTGACTCGCGCGTTCGGCGCAAGTTCAAGGGCACGCCGCTGATGCCCAACATCGGTTACGGCAGCAACAAGAAGACCCGGCACATGCTGCGCAGCGGATTCCAGGTGTTCCGCGTGCATAACGAGAGGGACGTGGAGCTCCTGCTGATGCACAACAGGTACAGTAATTTACTGTAGTCTGTTATTTATATCTCATTTAGGGTAGGTCAAGACAGAAAGAAGAAGACCCGGCACATGCTGCGCAGCGGATTCCAGGTGTTCCGCGTGCACAACGAGAGGGACGTGGAGCTCCTGTTGATGCACAACAGGTACAGTAATTTACTGTAGTCTGTTATTTATATCTCATTTAGGGTAGGTCAAGACAGAAAGAAGAAGACCCGGCACATGCTGCGCAGCGGATTCCAGGTGTTCCGCGTGCACAACGAGAGGGACGTGGAGCTCCCTGCTCATGCACAACAGGTACAGTACTTTACTGTAGTTTGTTATGTATATCTTACTTGCGAACAACAAGAGCGACTTGCAGTTCTGGCTGTGAAAGGCAGGGACCATACTTCGCTGCAATCTGCAGAATAATGTACAAATGTCCATTGGGAGGGGGAGCGATAGGAGGGCGATAGGAGGGGAGGACGATAGGAGGGGAGTAGGGGGAGGAGAGGGGCTTTTACTGTGCAGCGCACTCGCAGACTATCGCCCCCGAGGGCATATAGAAAAAAGAATCAGGATGACTAAGGATGTAATGGGTATGCAAGAGGACGCGATGGGAAGAGCTGCGAGAAAGAGAGAATAGGAGAAGGGCAAGGGAGGGGAGAGGAGGCAGAGGCGAGGTGGGGAGGGGATGTGGGAGGAGGGTAAACAACAGTCCGTGAATGCGAAGCTACTGTAGAGCCCCGTATTGCCCCTCTACTGCCTCAGCGTCAGGGTTTCAGGTGTACTCCCCATTCCTCCAATTCCGACACCTTTCTTCCGTCTATGCACTCATAACATCGACCCTTCGCCTTCCCATCCATCCATCCGTCGGTCCCTCTCTCCCTGGTCCCCTCGCTGTCGTTTCTGAAGTCCTTATTTCAAGTTAGCTTTGGCGACGCGAAGAGACGATTTGAAGAGGGTGCAGCATCAGCAGAAATTGTGCATCCCTGAACTATGTGACCCATTTCCTTTTCCAAACAACTCAGTTCCCTTACCCTCCCGGGTTGTCGCTTTACCCAGGAAATGTGTGGGTCAGATTGCCTTCGCTGCATTGAGGCCATTGTGATGCAGGCGCATCAACTGGATGTGATTAGAGGAGCTTACATTGATGGCATTTTTATTTAAAAACGTATCTTCCTCCCTTTTCTCAATTTTGCAGGAAGTAAGTGGCTCGGATCGCCTCTGCCGTGTCGACGCGCAAGCGCAAGGCCATTGTGGAGAGGGCGCAGCAGCTGGATGTGAAATGAGGGGCTCAGTTATACAGATTAAACTTGTATGTTCTCTCCTTGTCTTCCAATTGCAGGAAGTACGTGGCTCAGATCGCCTCTGCCGTGTCAACGCGCAAGCGCAAGGCCATTGTGGAGAGGGCGCAGCAGCTGGATGTGAAGGTGATCAACGGCAACGCTCGCCTGCGCAGTACTGAGGACGAATAGATATAACACTGTTGTCTTGAATCGTGCTAGCTTGCATTGCATGGCTGTCAATGTGTATGCACCAGAGTTGCTTGTAAGGGCGTGTTCCTACGGCCCCTTATCAGGCCAACCTCTTATCAGGCTCGCGTCACAACACACTGAAATTTCTCTAAACCCGAAAACCTTAGCGAATTTTACCAGGCAAAAATGCGAAGCTGATATGAGGTGTCCCTGATAAGGGGCCGTAGGAACATGCCCTAACTGCCAGGCTATGTTACAAGTTTCTGTTACAGGCAAAGTCTCAAATTGTTTGTGGCCTTGAGGACAACTACTAAAGGTATCTAGTTTCTGTAGCAGGTTGTAATATTTGAAAAGGCGAAGTGTAGATGGCAGTGCAGCTGGACGCGACAGTGGAGAACATGCGTTCATGCAGTAAAGAGGAGACATCAAACCATACACCACACTTGTTACACACTCAAACAACATTGTAGAATTTCCCCGAATGTAGATGACTGCAAATGTAGATTCAGCAGCTGTTGATATGTTTGAAAACCTGACATCAATCCGAAACTCGTAGCTGCTGGGGTAACTGATGTACAGTTCGAGAGTGTTTCGGCAATGTTACGGTACGTGCTACACATGAATGTTTTTCTCAGAATGACGGGGACGGCTCCCACCAAAATAATTGCTTTCTTCTCATACCAAGTGTCTCGATCGGCGGCACCATCCCACATCACACGCCTGATTCCAGTTATCATGGCACCAGCTGAACTGACTTGCGTTCTGCCAAGTGCACTGGCATCAATCCACCACACCATTCAACTGATTTCTAATGTCATGTCATGACATGACACCAGCCAACAAGTCCGATGCTGGGTGTCACATCTACTGGTAGTTTCCAATGCGCCCTGGCAAGCAGTTCTTCATACCATTCGACTAATTCCAAGCGTCAGAACGACAGCTGCCATCCTGATGTTAGAGTGGCACGCCAAAGTTGCGCTGCCTGGTGGGGAGTGTCATCACGATCCTCGGCACTGTTTCAACTGCACAAGACACGTGGTGTAGCAACGCAACGGGGTGTAGCATCACAGGGTAAGACTCGAAAGCAGGAGTTTTTAGTCTACTTAATACTTGGGTCACGATCTTCGACACAGTTTCAACTGCACAGGATACGAGGTGTAGCAACAGAATGGTGTGTGGGATCACAATGAATTACAAAGAATTGCTCGAGTGCAAGAAGAGCAACTTTTATGTGACAAGGATGAACATAAGATAGCTGGTGGGGTGCGGCGACACAACGGAGAGGAAATGCAACCATTTGAGCAGGCAAAACCGAAGCTGCCTGTCTAACTTGCTTTCCTGCGCTTGCCTCCTCTGCTCTGAACTGCAGCAGCATGCTCTTTGAGCATCGCTCTTTGAGAGGGCATGAGAGTGTGAGAGAGTGAGAGTGCATGAACAAGGCCTCAGAAGAGTGCCATTCGGCTTAGTCTCACCTCCTCTGGGCTAAATTGCAGTATCATGCCGATGACAGGAATGAGCGTAGCTCTTTGAGAGGGCATGAGAGTGTGAGAGAGTGAAAGAGGGAGAGAGTGCGTGAACAAGGCCTCAGAAGAGTGCCTCCCTAGGCTCACCTCCTCTGGGCTGACCTGTAGTGTCATGCCGATTACAGGAATGAGCGTTACTCTTTGAGAGGCATGAGAGTGCGAGAGAGTGAGAAAGTGAGAGTGTGCGAGAGTGAGGGAGTGCGTGAACAAGGCCTCAGGAGAGTGCCTCCCTAGGCTCACCTCCTCTGGGCTGAATTGCAGTATCATGCCGATGACAGGAATGAGTGTCGCCCTCTGGTCTGATTGGGGGGAAGTAGGGTAGATGGGAAGGGGCGTGAGAGCGGGTCAGTTGTCTGGGCTGAACTGCAGTATCATGCTGATCACAGGAATGAGTGTCGCCCTCTGGTCTGATGGTGGAAACAGGGGGAGAGGGAAAAGAGGGAGCAGAGGGAGAAGAGAGCAGAGTGGGGAGGGGAGCAGGGTGGGATGGGGATAAGACGGGGGAAGAGGGGAGCAAGTTGTCTGGGCTGCACTGAAGCAACATGTTGATTACAGGAATGAGTGTCAACCTTTGGTCTGATGGTGGACCAAAGAGCAGGTTCAAGAGCTGGTGACGGGGAAAGAAGTATATTCTTACTGTGAAATCAACCCAGCAAGTTTGCACAGCAATTGCAGGTCCTTTAGTGTGTGTGTGTGTGTGTGTGTGTGTGTGTGCGCGTGTGTGTGTGTGTGTGTGTGTGTGCGCGTGTGTGTGTGTGTGCGTGTGCATGTGTGTGTGTCTGTGTGTGTCTGTGTGCGTGCATGCGTGCGTGCGCGCGCGTGCGCGTGTGTGTGTCTGTGTCAAGGATGGGGTGGGATAGGGAGGGATGGCATGAGATGAGGATCAACTCTGCCTGTTTGCAAACTGGAACCTGCTCTGATACGCAATGCAACCAGGTATGATAAGCACTCATAACTGTTCTGATAAGCACTGGTACCTGTTCTGATAAGCAGCTGCAGAATGACGTTCTTCAGATAAGTCATGTCCACTGTCTCTCGCTTCTGTGCCCTCTCCATGTTCCTTAGTTCCTCTTTCAAGACAGATTCCTGGAAGAAGGTTGGTCAGATAAGAAAGAGGGAAGGGAGGAAGCAGGGAAGAAAAAAAAGAGGGGTCGTATTGATGCACTCCCCTCTTCTCCGCCCTCTCCGTGTTCCTCAGCTCCTCCTTCAGCACCGATTCCTGTGGGTGATGAAAGGGAGGAGGAAGGGAGCAGGAGGGGTGTTGCTTTTAAATGCTCCCTTCTGCGCCCTCTCCGTGTTCCTTAGCTCCTCCTTCAGCACCGATTCCTGGAAGAGCGAAAATGGAAAAGGAGAGGAGGACAAGAAACGGGAGATTGGAAAAAGAAGACATTGGTACAGGACTTTAAAAAACGACTTCAATGGAGTATGGGGCTTGCTGATGATTCTCAAAAGCATTGTCTAGAAACAGTTGTAATACCTGTGGGAAAGAGATGGGAAGAAGGCCACGAACAACAACTGGAAGAGCTTGTGGAACACTGGAACCGGGTCGAGCGGAAGTTATGTGAAAGGCCACCTGAACGCAACAGAGACCCACCTGAACGCAACAGAGCACCCACTGATCGCAACAGAGCACCCACCTGCTTGGCGCGCAGCTGATTCTCTCTCTGCAGATCCGTGATCTCCTCCTGGTAGTTGGAGCCAATAGGAAACAGTGAAGAGAGATGATTATTCAGTCGCATGAACAAACATCTTGCACCAATCTGGCAGACAACAAAACGTCAATTCCGATTGGATTGACACAACGAGGGGAAGGATTGGTGGTGGCACGTAATGAAGCCCAGACACACTTGTGTGTTACAAGTACATGTAAATACGGAAGTATGAACTGTACACGAGGTGTATGTTTCCTTCCTGTACCTGCAATGCCTGAATGTGCCGCCTACACTGTGCTACCTCCTCCTCCCTCTGCGCCTGTTGCCGTGCAAGGAACTGGACGACAGGGTGGGGGTTGGGATGGAAGGACAAAGGGAAGATGCTTAAAAGAAGAGCCCAGAAAAGGGAACAATGGAAACCTGCCCTCCTTCCTCTGCGCCTGAATGTGCCGCCTACACTGTGCGACCTCCTCCTCCCTCTGTGCTTGCTGCCGCGCAAGGAACTGGATAAGAAGGAGGAGTGAGGGTGAGATTGAACGGGACAAGGGGGTAGACGCTTAAGAACGGAGCTCAGGCGAAAGAGGATAAAAAAAAAGGGTTCTGCTGTCGCTAAGACACTGCATGCGCGACCTCCTCCTCCCTTTGTGCCTGCTGCCGTGCAAGGAACTGGATGGAAGGAAGGAGGACAAAGGAGGTGGATGCTTACAATCAGAGCTCCGCAAAAGGAAATAGGAGAGGCATTCCCTTCTCCCCTTGCGTGCAACACATCAAAGCTCAAAGGCTTACCGTTTTGGAATACCGTTTTCATTTCCTATGAAGGCATACCGTTTTGGAAATGAAAATAGCACAGAGGCAGCAAAGGCAATAGAAGGAAGCAGAAGCAAGAGGGGCGGGAGGGGCAAGGCAAGAGGAGCAGGAAAGGCACGAGGGGCGGGAGAGGCAAGAGGGGCAAGAAAGGCAAGGGCAGTAGGGTGGCAAGGGCACGACATACCAGGATGTGTTGCTCTGCGATTGCAGCCTTCTCTGCTGGGTTGTCTGCCATCCCCTCTGGTGGACGCAACAAGGTCATGGCATGGCATGGCATGGCATGGCATTGCAGCAGAGGGCATGACATGGTAGAGAAAATAGGAAAGTCATTTGACAGATGGAAACAGGCACACAAACGTAGAGGTTGACTGGTGTTCAGAGCGATGAAAAAAGGCAGTTGCAAAACTAAGGAGGTAAAAAGAGGTGACAGTGAAAGGAGGTGATAGTGAAAGGAGGTGACAGTGAAAGGAGGTGACAGTGAAAGGAGGTGACAGTGAAAGGAGGTGACAGTGAAAGGAGGTGACAGTGAAAGGAGGTGACGACAGGTGATGGATAGAAGAGGTAAAACGGGGTGACACATACAGGGAAATGAGAAGGGACACACAGAGGGAATCTGACTTGGACAACAGGAAGGAGAGAGGCAACGCACCAAGGGAGAGAGGCAGGCCGGATGTGGCTGATTTGCTGCCGAAACCCGGATCTGATATCCGAGAACCGGGCTGTATGAAAGAGGGGATTGAGGAAGGGGAGTAAGGGGAAGGAGAGGGGAACATGGGAGGGAGAGGGGGACATGGGAGGGAGAGGGGAGGGAGAGGGGAGGGAGAGGGGAGGGAGAGATGATGAGGGCGATTTGCCAAAACACGGATCTGACATCCGAGAACCGGGCTGCATGAACGAGGGGATTGAAGAAGCGGGGGGGAGGGGGAGGCGGGAAATGGGAGGGAGGGAGAGGGAGGGAGAGGGGGGGGACAGGGGAGGGAGAGGGGAGGAAGAGGAGAGGGAGAGGGGAGGGAGAGGGGAGGGAGAGGGGAGGGAGAGGGGAGGGGAGAGGGAGAGAGGAGAGGGAGAGGTGGGGGAGAGGTGAGGGAGAGGTGAGGGAATTTATAATGTAAATCCAAAACAGTGGAGTGGAGTGGAGCGGAATGGATTGGAGTGGAATGGAGTGGAATGGAGTAGAGAGTAGTGGAGAGGAGTAGAAAGCAGTGCAGTTCAGTGCAGTGGACTCACCGAGATGAGCGCAGGCTTCCTGGGACTGGCCGCTCCATCCATCCCAGCAGCACCCAGCCCGGCAAGCTTAACCCCATCACCATCCCCACCACCAGCATTTACAGCACCAACACCCTCACCACCAGCACCAGCACCACCAACACCACCAACACCACCACCAGAACCAGCGGCACCAGCAGCAGCACCAGCCTGCGCAGCGATCAGGGCCTCCTGCAGGCGTGCCGCTTCAGCAGACAGCCGAGCAATCTCCTTATCCTTCCCCTCAATCGCCTTGTCCTTGGCCTCTATGGTTCTGTCCACCATCTCTCTGTACGCCGCGTGCTCCTTCTCCCCCGCCTCCACTCTCCTCCTCAACTCTGTCTCGAGCGATGCTGTCTGGCTGTCTGTCTGCCCCTTCAGCTTCTCCTCCTGCTGCCGCACCTTCTCTGCTCGGGAGAAGGCAAGGGGATCAGGGGAATGAGGGGATATTGAGAGTCCAGGGTGTAAAAATCAGGAAACATCTCCTTATACTTGCCCTCAATCGCCTTGTCCTTGGCCTCTATGGTTCTATACGCCATCTCTCTGTATGCTGCATGCTCCCTCTCCCTCGCCTCCACCCTCCTTCTGAGTTCAGACTCTAGCGATGCTGTCTGGCTGCCCGTCTGCCCCTTCAGCTTCTCCTCCTGCTGCCGCAGCTTCTCTGCTCGGGAAAGGGAGAGAGAATAAGGGAGATTGGATCAGCGGCGTTGTCAGCCCATTTTTGAGGCGCCTCAGAGATTGGATCAGCGGCGTTATCAGCCCAGTTGCGGGGGGGGCGTTATTCAGTGACTGTCCCCTTCAGGCACTCATGCATCGATTGCTCACAGTCACATTCCTCCCCCGCTCCTCTCAGCTCGTTCCTCCCCCGCTCCTCTCAGCTCGTTCCTCCCCCGCTCCTCTCAGCTCGTTCCTCCCCCGCTCCTCTCAGCTCGTTCCTCCCCCGCTCCTCTCAGCTCGTTCCTCCCCCGCTCCTCTCAGCTCGTTCCTCCCCCGCTCCTCTCAGCTCGTTCCTCCCCCGCTCCTCTCAGCTCGTTCCTCCCCCGCTCCTCTCAGCTCGTTCCTCCCCCGCTCCTCTCAGCTCGTTCCTCCCCCGCTCCTCTCAGCTCGTTCCTCCCCCGCTCCTCTCAGCTCGTTCCTCCCCCGCTCCTCTCAGCTCGTTCCTCCCCCGCTCCTCTCAGCTCGTTCCTCCCCCGCTCCTCTCAGCTCGTTCCTCCCCCGCTCCTCTCAGCTCGTTCCTCCCCCGCTCCTCTCAGCTCGTTCCTCCCCCGCTCCTCTCAGCTCGTTCCTCCCCCGCTCCTCTCAGCTCGTTCCTCCCCCGCTCCTCTCAGCTCGTTCCTCCCCCGCTCCTCTCAGCTCGTTCCTCCCCCGCTCCTCTCAGCTCGTTCCTCCCCCGCTCCTCTCAGCTCGTTCCTCCCCCGCTCCTCTCAGCTCGTTCCTCCCCCGCTCCTCTCAGCTCGTTCCTCCCCCGCTCCTCTCAGCTCGTTCCTCCCCCGCTCCTCTCAGCTCGTTCCTCCCCCGCTCCTCTCAGCTCGTTCCTCCCCCGCTCCTCTCAGCTCGTTCCTCCCCCGCTCCTCTCAGCTCGTTCCTCCCCCGCTCCTCTCAGCTCGTTCCTCCCCCGCTCCTCTCAGCTCGTTCCTCCCCCGCTCCTCTCAGCTCGTTCCTCCCCCGCTCCTCTCAGCTCGTTCCTCCCCCGCTCCTCTCAGCTCGTTCCTCCCCCGCTCCTCTCAGCTCGTTCCTCCCCCGCTCCTCTCAGCTCGTTCCTCCCCCGCTCCTCTCAGCTCGTTCCTCCCCCGCTCCTCTCAGCTCGTTCCTCCCCCGCTCCTCTCAGCTCGTTCCTCCCCCGCTCCTCTCAGCTCGTTCCTCCCCCGCTCCTCTCAGCTCGTTCCTCCCCCGCTCCTCTCAGCTCGTTCCTCCCCCGCTCCTCTCAGCTCGTTCCTCCCCCGCTCCTCTCAGCTCGTTCCTCCCCCGCTCCTCTCAGCTCGTTCCTCCCCCGCTCCTCTCAGCTCGTTCCTCCCCCGCTCCTCTCAGCTCGTTCCTCCCCCGCTCCTCTCAGCTCGTTCCTCCCCCGCTCCTCTCAGCTCGTTCCTCCCCCGCTCCTCTCAGCTCGTTCCTCCCCCGCTCCTCTCAGCTCGTTCCTCCCCGCTCCTCTCAGCTCGTTCCTCCCCCGCTCCTCTCAGCTCGTTCCTCCCCCGCTCCTCTCAGCTCGTTCCTCCCCCGCTCCTCTCAGCTCGTTCCTCCCCCGCTCCTCTCAGCTCGTTCCTCCCCCGCTCCTCTCAGCTCGTTCCTCCCCCGCTCCTCTCAGCTCGTTCCTCCCCCGCTCCTCTCAGCTCGTTCCTCCCCCGCTCCTCTCAGCTCGTTCCTCCCCCGCTCCTCTCAGCTCGTTCCTCCCCCGCTCCTCTCAGCTCGTTCCTCCCCCGCTCCTCTCAGCTCGTTCCTCCCCCGCTCCTCTCAGCTCGTTCCTCCCCCGCTCCTCTCAGCTCGTTCCTCCCCCGCTCCTCTCAGCTCGTTCCTCCCCCGCTCCTCTCAGCTCGTTCCTCCCCCGCTCCTCTCAGCTCGTTCCTCCCCCGCTCCTCTCAGCTCGTTCCTCCCCCGCTCCTCTCAGCTCGTTCCTCCCCCGCTCCTCTCAGCTCGTTCCTCCCCCGCTCCTCTCAGCTCGTTCCTCCCCCGCTCCTCTCAGCTCGTTCCTCCCCCGCTCCTCTCAGCTCGTTCCTCCCCCGCTCCTCTCAGCTCGTTCCTCCCCCGCTCCTCTCAGCTCGTTCCTCCCCCGCTCCTCTCAGCTCGTTCCTCCCCCGCTCCTCTCAGCTCGTTCCTCCCCCGCTCCTCTCAGCTCGTTCCTCCCCCGCTCCTCTCAGCTCGTTCCTCCCCCGCTCCTCTCAGCTCGTTCCTCCCCCGCTCCTCTCAGCTCGTTCCTCCCCCGCTCCTCTCAGCTCGTTCCTCCCCCGCTCCTCTCAGCTCGTTCCTCCCCCGCTCCTCTCAGCTCGTTCCTCCCCCGCTCCTCTCAGCTCGTTCCTCCCCCGCTCCTCTCAGCTCGTTCCTCCCCCGCTCCTCTCAGCTCGTTCCTCCCCCGCTCCTCTCAGCTCGTTCCTCCCCCGCTCCTCTCAGCTCGTTCCTCCCCCGCTCCTCTCAGCTCGTTCCTCCCCCGCTCCTCTCAGCTCGTTCCTCCCCCGCTCCTCTCAGCTCGTTCCTCCCCCGCTCCTCTCAGCTCGTTCCTCCCCCGCTCCTCTCAGCTCGTTCCTCCCCCGCTCCTCTCAGCTCGTTCCTCCCCCGCTCCTCTCAGCTCGTTCCTCCCCCGCTCCTCTCAGCTCGTTCCTCCCCCGCTCCTCTCAGCTCGTTCCTCCCCCGCTCCTCTCAGCTCGTTCCTCCCCCGCTCCTCTCAGCTCGTTCCTCCCCCGCTCCTCTCAGCTCGTTCCTCCCCCGCTCCTCTCAGCTCGTTCCTCCCCCGCTCCTCTCAGCTCGTTCCTCCCCCGCTCCTCTCAGCTCGTTCCTCCCCCGCTCCTCTCAGCTCGTTCCTCCCCCGCTCCTCTCAGCTCGTTCCTCCCCCGCTCCTCTCAGCTCGTTCCTCCCCCGCTCCTCTCAGCTCGTTCCTCCCCCGCTCCTCTCAGCTCGTTCCTCCCCCGCTCCTCTCAGCTCGTTCCTCCCCCGCTCCTCTCAGCTCGTTCCTCCCCCGCTCCTCTCAGCTCGTTCCTCCCCCGCTCCTCTCAGCTCGTTCCTCCCCCGCTCCTCTCAGCTCGTTCCTCCCCCGCTCCTCTCAGCTCGTTCCTCCCCCGCTCCTCTCAGCTCGTTCCTCCCCCGCTCCTCTCAGCTCGTTCCTCCCCCGCTCCTCTCAGCTCGTTCCTCCCCCGCTCCTCTCAGCTCGTTCCTCCCCCGCTCCTCTCAGCTCGTTCCTCCCCCGCTCCTCTCAGCTCGTTCCTCCCCCGCTCCTCTCAGCTCGTTCCTCCCCCGCTCCTCTCAGCTCGTTCCTCCCCCGCTCCTCTCAGCTCGTTCCTCCCCCGCTCCTCTCAGCTCGTTCCTCCCCCGCTCCTCTCAGCTCGTTCCTCCCCCGCTCCTCTCAGCTCGTTCCTCCCCCGCTCCTCTCAGCTCGTTCCTCCCCCGCTCCTCTCAGCTCGTTCCTCCCCCGCTCCTCTCAGCTCGTTCCTCCCCCGCTCCTCTCAGCTCGTTCCTCCCCCGCTCCTCTCAGCTCGTTCCTCCCCCGCTCCTCTCAGCTCGTTCCTCCCCCGCTCCTCTCAGCTCGTTCCTCCCCCGCTCCTCTCAGCTCGTTCCTCCCCCGCTCCTCTCAGCTCGTTCCTCCCCCGCTCCTCTCAGCTCGTTCCTCCCCCGCTCCTCTCAGCTCGTTCCTCCCCCGCTCCTCTCAGCTCGTTCCTCCCCCGCTCCTCTCAGCTCGTTCCTCCCCCGCTCCTCTCAGCTCGTTCCTCCCCCGCTCCTCTCAGCTCGTTCCTCCCCCGCTCCTCTCAGCTCGTTCCTCCCCCGCTCCTCTCAGCTCGTTCCTCCCCCGCTCCTCTCAGCTCGTTCCTCCCCCGCTCCTCTCAGCTCGTTCCTCCCCCGCTCCTCTCAGCTCGTTCCTCCCCCGCTCCTCTCAGCTCGTTCCTCCCCCGCTCCTCTCAGCTCGTTCCTCCCCCGCTCCTCTCAGCTCGTTCCTCCCCCGCTCCTCTCAGCTCGTTCCTCCCCCGCTCCTCTCAGCTCGTTCCTCCCCCGCTCCTCTCAGCTCGTTCCTCCCCCGCTCCTCTCAGCTCGTTCCTCCCCCGCTCCTCTCAGCTCGTTCCTCCCCCGCTCCTCTCAGCTCGTTCCTCCCCCGCTCCTCTCAGCTCGTTCCTCCCCCGCTCCTCTCAGCTCGTTCCTCCCCCGCTCCTCTCAGCTCGTTCCTCCCCCGCTCCTCTCAGCTCGTTCCTCCCCCGCTCCTCTCAGCTCGTTCCTCCCCCGCTCCTCTCAGCTCGTTCCTCCCCCGCTCCTCTCAGCTCGTTCCTCCCCCGCTCCTCTCAGCTCGTTCCTCCCCCGCTCCTCTCAGCTCGTTCCTCCCCCGCTCCTCTCAGCTCGTTCCTCCCCCGCTCCTCTCAGCTCGTTCCTCCCCCGCTCCTCTCAGCTCGTTCCTCCCCCGCTCCTCTCAGCTCGTTCCTCCCCCGCTCCTCTCAGCTCGTTCCTCCCCCGCTCCTCTCAGCTCGTTCCTCCCCCGCTCCTCTCAGCTCGTTCCTCCCCCGCTCCTCTCAGCTCGTTCCTCCCCCGCTCCTCTCAGCTCGTTCCTCCCCCGCTCCTCTCAGCTCGTTCCTCCCCCGCTCCTCTCAGCTCGTTCCTCCCCCGCTCCTCTCAGCTCGTTCCTCCCCCGCTCCTCTCAGCTCGTTCCTCCCCCGCTCCTCTCAGCTCGTTCCTCCCCCGCTCCTCTCAGCTCGTTCCTCCCCCGCTCCTCTCAGCTCGT